GTTTAAGAAATTGTCGTTGGAAGAGTTTAGCAAAGTACAATTTAATGTGTTCCCCACGTATTTCAAGTTCCAAATTGTCTCGCCCTTGATTTTGGGCCTCTTGTCTCCTTACAAGTATTGTCCATTCACTCTTGGTGCTTTAGTTGCTTCATCAATTTCTGGTTTGATCAACTTGGTGTTTGTCGAGCCAGCTTGCCATCTGATTAAGGAGGAAAGAATAAAATTGACTGCTATTAATAAGGACAAGAAGGAGAATGGTGAATTGAGTGACGAAATGCAAGCTTTGAACAAGAAATTTGGCAGATGGCACGGATTGAGTCTTTTGGCTAATCTCGTTTCTATCTTTTCCCTTGGTGCATATGGATTGGCCCTGGCAAAAGCATTGAGCAGACTTCCCTATTAAGTACACTATTGAGCACTATCGAGCACTATCGAGCACTATCGAGCGAAGCGAGATAGTGGAGCAGCATTGACTGACAGTGTTGACTGACGCTTTGCTCGATAGTAGCAGTATTGACTGACGCTTTGCTCGATAGTAGCAGTATTGACTGACGCTTTGCTCGATAGTGGAGCATCATTGACACTAGTGACACTATCGAGCAGGGGTGAGAAGAAGTTTCCCTGTGGATTTTGTGGTTTTTCAATTTGGCGAAAAGTGTTACTCTGTATATACTAAATCTAAATCAATCTATATGTATATCTTATTTATATATATCTATGTCATTCACATCAATATGCTAAAGCTTACTGACGCTTCCTTTTCATTATCTCGTTATGTTCCCTTTTCATTATCTCGTCGTGCTCCCTCTTTAATCTTTCATCTTCAATTTTTTGTTTAGCAAGTTCCTCCTTATATAAGATAGGACCATATTGAAACAAGTACAAGTACCAAATGAAAATTTGCGTTATCAAAAATAGACTAAAGTATACAACTAATTTATTTGTTGAAATGTCGGGGTTGAGGAGCCATTTCTTTATGATCCAGAGGTAATGAAAAATTCCTATACTCATCGCAATAACACCAACTATAAAATATTTGATATCCTTGATAAGCTTGGACTTAACGCTTCGGTCATTGTGTTTTTGGCTCGTTTCAACCATCTCAAAATCTCAGTGTTTGACTCTTGGATAGTGGCTCTTTGATTATCTAATTCAAGTCTCACTATCGAGCGAAGCGAGATAGTTGAGATAGGAGATAGTCAGTGCTGCTCCCACTATCGAGCAAAGCGAGATAGTGGAAGCTTGAATTAGACTGCTGAAAAATTTCGGTGCGGAGCTACCATCACAGCAGCACTAGCAGCGACACTAGCAAGCGAAGCGAGCTAGTGGAGCAGTAGAAGTAGAGAGTACACACAATGTTGCCCCACCATCGAGCAGAGCGAGGTAGTCGAGATAGTGGAGATGACAGCTAGTATGCTCCACTATCGAGTATGGCGAGATAGTGTCGGTAACCGCTAGTATGCTCCACTATCTTGCTCTGCTCGATAGTGTCGATAGTGTCGGTAACCACTAGTATGCCCCACTATAGAACAGAGATAGTGGAGCAACTTTTTGTAGCTTGTTATAACACTATCGAGCAAAGCGAGATAGTGTTGCTTTGCTCGATAGTGTTGCTCTGCTCGATAGTGTTGCTCTGCTCGATAGTGTTGCTTTGCTCGATAGTGTTGCTCTGTTCGATAGTGTTGCTCTGCTCGATAGTGTTGCTTTGCTCGATAGTGTAGCGTGTGTAAGGAAAGGAACAGAGAAATGGGGCAGAGGATATGATAAAAAAGAAACAGCGATAGGAAGGAGGCATAGGATATGATGAAAGAAGCATATGTATAAAAGGAAACAGTCTCTAGTCTCTAGTCTCTTCTCTCGTTCGACTAGAATCGCTTTGCTCGTCTAGATCATGACAGTTGAATTCCTCTAGCCACTGCAAAAATTTAAAAGTATTCATACTTTTTCATTTTAGTCATGTCTCGACACTATCGAGCAGTGCAAGAAATCAACATTATATAATTTTAACAAATATAAAAAGTAATTATATAGATAATGATGAAAGTTCAGACAAATGTGGTATCTCTAAAAGATGGTTATTAGTGAGACCATGCTATACATATATAATTATTGATAATTTGTTTAGTACATCATATTTAATTATAGATTCAATATCTGATAATTTAAAACGCTTTGAAGTATTTAGTAAATCTTCAAAAGCTAATAATAAATATATGGTTAATAAAGGTAAAGATGAGAAAATAAGATCAGAATATACTGTTAAATTAAATACAAATATACCAAGACGAATTCTTTTGCGTTTAGCTTTGAAACAAATTATGGATCCGTTGTTGATGGAAACACCATCAACCACATCTTGTATAAGTTGTACCTAAAAATCCATTAGAATTTTGTGGTAAGAAAAATAAAAAATGTGTTGAATTCTTAAAAAATGTTGTTATAAATAATGATAAAGGTAGAAAATTTAAAGATAGAATGAAACGAATAAAAGATATTAATAAAGACTTAGATATTAAATTGAATGCTTATGTTAGTAATATAGATGCAAGTACTCCTGGAGTCGTATGTAATGCTTTTAGATATTTAGCAGATAGATATAGGTTTAATAATATAGATAAATATTTCAGGAAACATGGTAAAAAAGATTATTTGTTTTTATCAAAAAATCCACTTAGTAGTACTAAATCAAGAAAAGTACTAAATGGTGTACATGGATGTTGTGATAGAGATAGAGATGAATTCCCTTACTCCTCAACTAAAGATAATACTAACTTAAAAAAAGATGTCAGCATATTATGTGTTAATAGTATAACAGATAACAGATTAGATGGATCTAGATTAGGTAGATTTTATGCTGCAAGTACTTATAATAATATTGATTATAGTAAAAGTTTTCCATTCTGGCCAAATATGGATATAAAATCATCTGAAATACCAAAAAGATATGAAACTAGTCCTGTTGATGGGTTTATTTTATTTTTTAACATAGAGGGAGTTGATTGTAACTTAAAGACTAATGAACCTTTATTCAATGGTAAACTTTTTTCTGAAGCTATTCGATACCCAACATTTGAATAATATCGTAAGTAAATTTAAATCTAATAGGTTTGTCGAAAGACCTATATTTTTGAAAATTAAATCCTTCACTGAAATAGAATTCGTATTCTCCATTTATAAAATAAAAATAGTAATTATTTCTAGATCTACATGTTTCTCTATAGGTTTGATGATAAGTACTATATTTATAATCTTCATCACTATGTTCTTCTTTGCAATTGTATACATCGCATTTATAAATTTGAACCCCATATTTAATTTTGAATATGTCTTTTTCATTTATAATAATAAAACTTTTGTCTATCAAAAAATATAATCTTATGTCATCTTTAACTACTATATAATATATGTTACAACTAGATATTTCATTGTCGACAAAATCATTTATAATTTCGTCTTCATTTTTTACATTGACTATTATTAATTCATTAGATTCAATTTTTTTATTGTTATAAACATAAGCTTTAATTGGATCAGATACTACAACTCTCATGATTGCAAAGTTTGCTGTGCTCTACTATTTTATCATATAAATCTAGATCTTTTGCATAACAAGCATAAAGATAATCTTGATCTGCGATTGTAAAAGGTAATATAATATGGTAAGTAAAAGGAGTTGACGTAGACTAAACTCCAAATTTCTTATTTCTAGTATATATTATCTATATGCCGCTAGCTTCTCCATAATTATCAAAAATATATTTCTTAATACCAAAGACTGAATCGTACTCAACAATTTTAAAATCTTTATCTATTTCTGTATCAATATTAAGATCACGTGGTTTGAAAATTATCATTTTTATAATATTATAATATTTATATCACATATATATATATCTCTTATTATTTCATAAATGTAACTGTAATAAAATATACAAAGAAGAACATATATAATAGTCCCCCCCCCCCGGAGCTATATAATCCGGAACGGGCTATCAATTGTTTTTACTTTTTTTCCCTTGTCGATGAAGTGGGGTAAATGAGTGTTGCATCCCCCCCCCTCTTCCCCCACGTTCTCTTTGGAAAAATATAGACAGGGCCTAGAATTTAAGTTTTTTTTATTTCAAGGGTTTATATAGTTGTTTGCGTGGGTTTATATAGTTGATACTATCGAGCGAAGCGAGATAGTGCAGCATAGGCTGCCACTGGCACTATCAAGCAAAGTGAGATAGTAGAGAAACACTTTGTAGCCATACCATTGACACTATAGAGTAACACTTTGTGACCATACTATTGATACGATCGAGCAGACAAGATAGTTGATTCATTTAGGTTACCCTCGCAAACATCGATTAATGAGTGGGAATTTAAATACGATTTTATCCCCAAAACCGAACAGAAAGTACCTCTAATTAGCAGAGAAGCAGTAAAGCAAGATATAGCTCATGAGAAGGCTAAATCTGTCGAAAGGGAATTGTTCACAAAAGAGTGTAACTCATCGCATAAAGTTGAAGCAAACGAAGCACATGTTGCACTATCGAGCAGAGGTACTGACTAGCTTGTAACAACACTATCGAGCAGAGCGAGATAGTGGAGCAATATCGACTAGCTTCTTACAACACTATCTCGCTCTGTTCGATAGTGTCATCTCTTTCCACTTGATAGTGGAGCAGTACTAGCTTCTTACAACACTATCTCTTTCTGCTCGATAGTGGAGCAATATCGACTAGCTTCTTACACTATCTCGCTCTGCTCGATAGTGGAGCAGTACTAGCTTCTTATAACACTATCTCGCTCTGCTCGATAGTGGAGCAGTACTAGCTTCTTATAACACTATCTTGCCCTGTTCGATAGTGTAGCACCATTGACTAGTAAAAAATATACCACGACATTCTTACTATTCAAGAAAAAAAAGTGCTTACATTTTAGCTGATTTTCAGTCAAAAAAATGAAGCTCCACCTTGATCTTCAATGATGAAAGAAACATTGGAATAAAAAGAAAATAGTTTCTAGTTTCTAGTTTCTAGTGTCTAGTGTCTAGTTTCTTCTCTCATTAAACTAGACTTGCTTTGCTCGTCTAGTTGGATGAGATTATCTACAAAGGACGTTAGGTCATTAAACGCCGCTACGACTCAATTCCCAATTTCGCCGAATATAGTTGACTCACAACTGCTCCAAACGCCTCACTTTTTTACAGATTTTTTACATCTCGCCTTACTTTTTTATTTACAGATTTTTTACCGCTCGCCAAGCAAAGATCCTATTGTTTCGGAGGTGCATTTCCCTTTCTGAGCAAACGGTTCCGTCGACGCATGTCACTCTGAGCAAACGGTTCCGTCGACGCATTTCCCTTTGAGCAAACGGTTCGGTCGACGCATTTCACTCTGCGGATTGTTCCGTCGACGCATTTCACTACCGAAAAAAAAAAAGAAACTAAAAAAAAGAAAAGGCATCACAAAAAAAATGAGATGAGAATGCCTTATATCAATTTTTTCAATATACATATACCAGAAATGCCTATTATTTCCTGAAAATTTTTTAAACAGAGTTTATTGCTCAAGGATCTCCAAACTAAATTAACTTTATATTGGCATAATTTGCTTTATTTGGAATGAGTAATCGATGATGAGCTCTTGCCAAAAAAAAAAAAAAAAGAAAAAAAAAAAGAGAAGAATGACATTTGATGTCACTTTGTAATTAAGATGGTTACAATCAACTGTTTCTTATAATTCATGTATCCTTTCTATTTTCTTTCATTTCTTGTAATTCTTTCATCCTTGTAATTCTTTCATCCTTTGTCTCAGCTCTGGTGAGATCTTTATCCAAAATTGGTGAAAAATGTCAAAGGAATCAAAACTTGAAGATAATTACACATTATCGTCACTTCGACTACAATCTCCAAGCAAACAAGAAATAAGCACCACTACCACCACGACAAATGAGCAGCACACTGAAAATTCTGTAAAAGACTCTTGCGTTGTTTCCTTTTTCAAATCCTTTCAAATTGAAAAAAAAGGGTTTGAAAATGGTGAGATTGAAGTTTTAACGCCCGAAGATAACTTACGTCCATACCAAGTTAAATTGATTGCGCTAGCATCATGTATTGGTTCAGGTTTATTTATAAGTAGTTCATCAGTCATATCCGAAGCAGGTCCAGGTGGTGCTATTATTGGATATGTGATTGTTGCATTTTTGATTTTCTTGGTTGTTCAAGCTTTGGGCGAGTTGACAAGCTCCTACCCAGTAAGAGGCAATTTCCTCATCTATAACTCGAGATTCATAGACGAGTCATGGGCTTTTGCAATGAATTGGAATTACTGTTTACAGTGGATAGTTACTATCCCCTTGTCTTTGGTTTCCGCTTCTTTAACAATAGATTTTTGGGATAGTCTGATTAACCCAGCAGCATGGATAAGTATCTTTTGGATAGTCATTTGTGTAATCAATATCTTTGGTGTTCGTGGTTATGGCTATGCTGAAAGTTTTTTTTCAATTGTTAAGTTATTGGCCATTGTTGGATTTTGCATTTTGGCGATTATTCTTATTGCAGGTGGTGGTCAACAAGGGTATATCGGTGGTAAAAACTGGCATCCACCATTTGTCAATGGATTTAAGGGAACTTGTAATACCCTTGTCAATGCAGCATTTAGTTTTTCGGGTACAGAGTTGGCCGCAGTTGCTGCTGCAGAAACATCAAATCCTCGAAAATCATTATTGAAAGCAACTAAGCAGATTTTTTGGAGAATTGCTCTTTTTTACATGTTGTCTATTATATTGCTTTGTTTTTTGGTTAGATACGACGACCCGGGCTTAGCGGGAAATTCAGATTCCTCAACTTCCCCCTTTGTTATTGCCATTACAAATGGCGGTATTAAGGTCCTACCATCTATTTTCAATGTCGTGATTCTCCTTTCTGTTTTATCGGTTGCTAATGCTAGTGTTTTTGCCACTTATAAACCATTGGTGGCACTTGCCGAGGCCGGTCATGGACCAAAGTTTTTGGCGTATATGGATCGCAAGGGGCGACCAATTTTTTCAATTTTGATCGCATTGGCATTTGGACTAATTGGGTTTGTTTGTGCCTCGAAAAGCCAAGTCACCGTTTTTAATTGGTTGCTCTCTTTGGCTGGATTGTCTTGTATTTTCATTTGGTTTTCCATATCCTTGGCTCAAGTGCGTGTCAATTACGCTTGCAAAGTTCAAGGCGTTCAATTGGATCGAGCTTTCAATGCAATTGGTGGAGACTATGGTGCTTATTGCTCAATGATTATCAACGTTTTGATCTTGATGGCTCAATTTTATGTCGCATTATTTCCAGTCGGAGGCAAACCACCATTACAAGCAACTACATTTTTCCAAGCATATTTGGCTGCTCCCATTGTATTAGTTTTTTATGTTGGTCATAAGATTTGGACTAGAAACTGGAGATTGTATATCAAGGCCGAGGATATCGACTTGATGACTGGAAGAAACCTTGTTGATGTCGAAATTACAAAACAGGAAATCTACGAAGACGAAATGAACTGGAAACTGAAACCCTTTTGGTACAAGGCTATTCGTATCTGGTGTTAATATAGAGTTTAGCATTTTGCACTTTATCAGATTAATCTCTTTTTTTTTTGGTTTTTCCGCTCCGCTCTCCTTTTCTTTTTTTTCCGAAAAAAGTTTTTCCGCTCTGGTATTTCCGATAATCACGTGATTCTTTTTTTTTTGGCACCTGACGAAATTTTCCACGCTGGAGGAAATTTTTCAAGTTCAAGGAGATTGGGGTGAAGAGAAGAGGAGAGGAAAGGGAGATTGTGAAGGGTTGACTGACAATTTGAGGAGTTGACGATAGAGGGTTTTGGTATAAGGATAATAGAGAACAAAGGTTTGGTTGCGTTCTTATAAATATTTTGACAAATGAGCAATGTACAGCATCTTTTGACTGAATTGAGCGGTTTGCTTCTGGAGTCAAAAAAACGGTATCCTGAGGTTAAGCACTCGGTAGATGATATTGTCAAGACGTTGAAGTCATATAAGCCAACAACTCCCTTGGCGGCCATTCAAGATACCAATGTCCAATCGAAAGTAGCGCATAGTTTAATTCTGGCCTGTGATACAGGGAACGTCAAGTTGAACAATACGGCTCTTCCAATAATCCAGCGTCTTTTATTGGTGCTGTTCTTGCCCAATAGCAATCTAAAGAGTCTAATAAGCTCTTTTTCCGAAGCTTCACATCTATCGGTAGACATTCAGTTGAAAATACTACAATGTTTACCGCCATTGGTGTCTAATTACGGCATGTTTCTCACCGAGGACGTCATATTGGACTTGCTCGATGTGTGTTCCAGTTTAACGTCGAACAATAGGTCGCCAATAGTTATGAATGCGGCATCGGCTACTCTACAGCAATTGTTCTCCGATATCTTTGAGAATGCTAAAAAACTCAACTCGGATGTTCCAAAACAGTACATGGTTGAGATTGAAGGTGAGGAACCAATTAAGTTGGACGCTTTTTCTAATGAAGCATATTTAATGTTTCGTGATTTGGGACTAATCATCAATAACAAAAAAACGATGCACTTTAAACAACTGATGCATATCAAAGTATCATCAGCTTTGGAAATTATTGAAAATTTGCTCCATAGCCACAAGACCACTTTTGAAACCCATCAAGAATTGGCTAATTTACTACGCACGGAGATTGTCCCAGCATTGTTGAAAATACTAAACTCACAAAATAAAAATTTTTCATTAATAACTAGATCTATACGAATCATTCAGATCTTATTAAGTACACAATTGCAAAACTTACAAATTGAAATTGAAATCATCATTTCGTATCTTAATCATATGTTGCTTGAAAACAGTGAGGACCTAAAAGATGAGGCAGCGCCAAATTGGGAAAAAGTGCTTGTTCTAGAGATGTACAAAAATTTGTTTCAGGATTTCAATGTTATCAAGTCCATTTATGAAACTTATGATTATGATGATCAGAAGAAAGATGTGTTGAGGGAGCTTTTCACGATCATGAATGCTTACTTACAAAACAATAACCAATTTTGTGATGATATAGTACGTTCTCCAGGAATGGTTTTGGAACATAGCCAACATAACCAACAACAGCAGCAACAACAGCAGCAGCAGCAACAACAACAGCAACAACAACAACAGCAGCAGCAGCAGCAGCATACAAACACTAGTCGAGGTCGAGTAGTACACTTTCTATCTCAAGAAAATTCAAGTCTCAAAACTTCGATATTAGATCATTTGGACAAGTCAGAGCCACCCTCAAACATTCCTTATGCGTACCCGGTATATTTGATTTACGAGATTTTATTGCTATATTCCAATGGAGTCTCCAGCTTTGTAAGCTTTCTTTCTGGTGCTGATAAAGACCAGAAAAATTTAGAGTCTGATGTCGACTTTGTCAATGCTATTATTAAATCCACGGCACTAGAAGCTTCCTCCATCTTTCAACAATACATATATACGTCAACTTCAGACATTATGTTTGGCAATGTTTTGAAATCATTCCGAGTTTTCACGCACAGGGTTGGACTATTAGGAGTGAACTCCATTCGCGATGAATTGCTCTTGATTTTATCCAAAGCAATTACAAACAACATAAGTAAGAAAATACAGCAGCAACAGCAACAGCAACAGCAAACACCACAATCATCAGCTTCAACAGCACCATTGTCATTACAAGAAGAAACAGCCTCTATCTTAGAGGGACAGAAGAAACAATTGATGGCAATTGGGGGTTCATTAGTAGATACAATCAGTGCAACTATGCAGTATTCGGGAGTTGATCACAATGCCAATTCAAGTGGTCCTTCTGCGGCAGTTGTAGAGAGACCAAGATACTTTAACTCTAGACAAGTTCAGTGTTTAAAAACGCTCTTGAGCTTAGCGGCCAGTTTAGGATCGACTTTGGGAAGCTCATGGTCGATTGTTTGGATAACATTACAATGGTGCACATATTTTTTGGAGGGATGCGACCAATACAGTGGGGTTATTAATGCCAAACAACAAAAAGCTCAAGCAAGTGATCTTCAAATGAGTAATAAAGACCTTAGCATCGTTGACACTTCGTATAGGAAACTTTTTGAGGCTATTGCAGAAATGTCAACAGCTTCATTTGAAGAGCTACTTGTTTGCATAATAGAACTTTCCGATGCTGCATTGTTTTTAGATTTAAATGAGTTTGAAAAATTTGAACTAAAAGAGTGTCCATATAACAAAACTTATTATTTACGAATAGTTCTTGAATTGTCCGAATTAAACACTATCAAGTTTTTCATTGAGGACGACAAAATCTGGGATGTGGTCTCTGATTACTTTACAAGATTAGGAGCTGCCAGAAATTTGAGTACAAATCTAAGATTGTTTGCTGTTTCTGCTTATACCAATGTTATTCAATCCGTGGCACAAAAGGGGTTTGAAACGGATGTTGATGAAATCACCAAAAGAACTTCAAAAAAGTCATTGGAAGGAATGAACCTTTGCTTGCAAAAGCTCTTTCATCGGGGCATTCCAAAAGAGCTTTTGATACTCAATTGTCAAGTTGAAATTCATTTGATCATTTTGAAAACATTACACCACTTGATTGAAAAGTATGATTCTCGTTATCAACAATCTTGGGGCCAAGTCTTTGAAATACTTAATACACCATTCAAGATAACTGGTGATCTCGGTAATGGAAACAGCAGCGACAACAACAACAACAATGATGATTCAAATTTGCGACAGAAACTCCAATCCCTTGTTGAGAAATCGTTTGAGACATTGAAATTAATTTTGGACGAATTTTTATCTTCACTCCCCTTCCAGCAATTAAAAATTTTAGTTGATACACTAGTTGATTTTGCATGTCAAACATATGACCTTAATATCTCGTTTAGTGCTGTGAGTTATTTTTGGCTTATCAGTGATTCGCTTAAATCCAGACTTTTGTCGTCGAGTAATAGCAAGGGAATTGACTCATTAAAGGACATCAATCTGGAGTCAGAATTAGTGACTTTTATTGAAACGAGCAAAGAGAGCTACGCTTCGTATGTCTGTCTTGATTTGTATCTCTTGTTTTGTTTAGCTAAGCTTTCCAAGAAAGAAACGCAAAGAGTTCAAGTACGAGAAGGTGCTATTCAGACGTTTTTTCGAATTATCAATGACCATGGACCGATATTGGAGGACAATTGGGATATGATTTATGACATTGCATTTCCCTCCATGATTGAGATATGCCCTGAACAACACTACTCTAAGGAATGGGAAGAAACGTTAGTTTTATTATTGGGAGGGTTTACAACAATGTATCGAAGATTCTTTTGCAATCATAATGACGGGAAGAAAGAAGAAGAAAAAGAGGAAGAAGATCCAAGGATTTGTTCTAGATGGAAAGTATTGGTTGATTACATGCAAAAATTGTTACAAAAGAATTTGATTGAAATTAATTTGATTGTATTCAAGGCATTTCAAGAGTTACTTCAAGAACCCAGAGGATTTTTTAGTCAAGAGGTATCCTACATGCTATTCAACTTATGGAGCAGCATATCTATTGAATATGACTTGGTGAATCCTGAGTATCAAGAATCGTTAGTCCAGTACATGAAATGTTTTCCGCTGTTGTATCAGATTCTCAAATCTAATATAACACCCAAACAAATCAGTATTATTGTGGATTTATTCAACAAGAGTGCAAGATACCCTGTGTTACCGCAGCACCAATCCGATGATATCAAACCATCCAAACTTCAATCGTCTGTTTTGTATAATATAGGTGAATTAGATGCTGGCGAACAAGTCATTCAGCCTGCTGTCGTTCAATTATTGACCAATATCATTGTATACCCCTTTGGTGTCAAGTCACGTATTCAGCAGAAATTGTCTACAAATTCAGTTGTCAAGAACAATTACAGGATTCCAACCTTCATTGCCATAAGTCGAAGTGCGCTTGAATTAATGCAAGTTAAATTTGAAAAATTTGGCTACTTGGAGTGTTTTGAAGATGACCAAGGATTAACGAGGTGTATGAGATCGTTACTTGAGATAGTAGAGAACAAGGAAAACGAAAGTGTTCAAACAAATTCACCTACATTATGGATCAAGAGTCAAGAAATTTTGCGAGGTTTAATCAAGGCACAATTAGACAAGGAAGATATGACTACAAGCGATGAGCTTTGGAGTTTGTTTGTAAAAAGTTTAACATTGACTTTTAAGAATGAGAACACGAGAGCTGGCTCTCTGGATGAAGCTACAAAGATTGTCCAATATTCTCATTTAAGGGATATAGTATTGACCAAATTGGTAAAAACGGATAAGGCTCAACTAGTTGAAAGTTTTTTATTGGAAATTTACAACAACTCCTATATATATGGGTTGAACGAAATGGAAAAAAATTTGATATTGGATGGCGTTGAAGATGACGACAATCTTAAAGCAATAGACAGATTCACGTCATTCAAGTTTGACGAATTTTTTGGCACGACGGAACCTTTGCATCTATTACCCAATACTGAAATAAGGTTCAATTGCCTTTATGAACTTTATAAGCTTCTCAAATTAGAAACCAGTTGTAAACTACAAATTGAAATCTATTTCTTGAGAAGAATTTGCTTTAGTTTGAGAAGAGCTGTTGCCGATTTGAAATTGACCTTAAAGTGTCCTTTACCAATCCTACAATTGGAAGAGTTGAATTTAATAATTCAAATGTTGACGGACTTGCAAGTTTCTGAAGAGAATAAAAAAGAATTTGCAAAGCTACGCATCTTGTTGACTCAGTTGATACCTCATGCTTATAAGATTCGAGGGTTGAGTGAAAAGTTGCCTCAACTATTATTGTCGGTTGGGGCTATAGGTAATAGCTGCTAGTACTACACTTGCTAGTACTACTACCCACGATGCCTTGTGTGTTATTATGTATAGTATGAAATGAAATGAAAATAAAATCAACGTGTTTTAACTAAAGAGAATATAAATTTAGCCTAATAATGATAAAACTCCACTACCGTCATCATCATCATCATCGTCATCATCATCATTTTTGACATCTCCTTTGGTCGTCAGCGTAGAAGTTGACAAAACAATTGTTTGCAGTAAAGCACAGATCGCTTAAAGTACCATCTTCATTGGTACAGTTTGGAGTATATGGACTCAATCTGTATCTAAAATTAGTGAATGTCTGACTAAACTCTACATCGCTCGTGTTCCATAAACGTTGAGCAACATATTTATGCCAGAAAGTACCATTCAATGGCGCATCCTCGGGCCATGTGTGTTCTGGATCATAAACGTCTCTTGTACTATATTCCACCTCCCATTCAGGCTCTTCACCATCATTAACAAAAGTGACATTCAATTGAGCATAGTAATTGTAGGCGTTGATGATGTTGAAACTTTCGTTTTCAACTTCGTACCATTTCCATGATGGATTATAGGCAACGAATGGTGTCACAGATTGAGCGACCCATGCCATATTGAGGACATCATTGGCAACGGCATTAGCAGCAGTTACATTGCTCGTGTAAAGGATTGTGAATTGATCTTCATGGGTGTGGCCATAGAACAAACTTGCAATAGTATATGGAGAGAATCTTTCAACGATTTTACCAAAGATTCTTGAGTGAACTGGCAAGACATCATTGTGGTTTGGAGGAACGTGAGCCATGATCCAAACTCTTTGTCCTTTTGATTCAGCATCCACTAATTCGTCAACGAGGAACTTCCAATTTCCGAATAAATCAGCATTGGTAGTATGATCAATATATGCCCATAAATTGGATCTGTAATATGTGTTTGAGTTCAAAGCAATGATTTTCAATCCACGGTTGGTCACATACGAGAACCCTGTGTAATGTTTCTTTAAATCGTTGGCATCTTTTTCATCAAACCATTCATTATTAATCCATAAATTAACCATATCATCAATATTGTAGTCATAGGAATGGTTTTTAGTTTGAAATTGATGTGGTGCCATTTGAGCATATGGGAAGGTATCATGGTTACCCAAGGATGGCATAATTGGAATATTGTTCAAGAACTTTTTCATCAAGTTGAAAGACTTTACTTCAGCTTCCTTGGTAACATTTGGAGTACAATGAGCAGTATCGTGATCGACCAAGTCACCAGTGAACAAAACCAACTCGAAATTTTTCTTTGCATGTAATTTGGCAACTTCAACCAAGGAACTGTTCATCAATAATTCTGGACTGTCAGAAAGATAACCTCCGAAAGGAGTTGCTGGAGCATTGTTGTAATTGTAGCCACGATACTTTGGGAGATCATAGTAGTCTCCTTTGATATATGTGTTGTTCTCGTCATACCTAGCATCTGGGTAAAAGGAAAAATCAAAAGTTTCAAGAGATGGGTTAAGGTTTTTATAATAGGTGGTGAAGTTGTAGTCTATTCCTGGCAACTCTTTATTGTATGATTCTGGAAGACAACATGGGTAAGAGGAACAGTTGGATTCTGAACCAAACGTGTACCTTGGTTGGATATGGAAGTCAGTAATGTGAACAACATTGAATCTTTCGCTGTTGTTTTTGTATTCTGGTTGTTGATAGTACTCTGGTTTCTTTGCTGGCCACCAACTTTGCATATCAAAAATTTCCTCAACGTTTGGAGTCTTTGGCAACCTACACAGTCCCACGCTACTGGCAAGAGAACAAAAGTATTCCAAGTCCAAATCGCTGGAAACATTGAACCTTTTGATAACTTGCAAGAAATCGTTATCGAAAAAATTGACACTTCTACCAGAAGTTATACCTGAATCGGAATCTTCATTAAATGATTCGAAATTTTCCGATTTAGTAGTAACAAAGAATTCTCTAGCATCACATCTATAAATGTTCTTTCTGTTCAAACAATCTTGGAATAACATCAAGGTAACAAGATGTTCTTGTTCAGGATAGTCTTCAACCATTTGCTTAGCATATCTCATTTTATACTTGCATAGCTCACACTTTGTACCATTAAAGTTTTTCAATTTTTGAATATGATAATTGATGAAATCAGTTTCATTTAAAGGCAAATTGACATAGATATCCAAAGGCAGGACAGTGTCTGATTTTTTGGATAAGATCTGACGTTGAAGTGAGCTATATCCTGGTACAGTAAAGGAAACTGCACCAACAGCTAAAACAAGCACCGATAAAACGTCCAAAGCAAGCATTTCTCAAGTAAAGAAAAGTTGCAAAAAACAAAATAGTTGCAAAAACAAAAGTTGCAAAAACAAAAGTTGCAAAAACAAAAGTTGCAAAAACAAAAGTTGCAAAATGAAAAAAAAAAAGAAAAAAAAAGAGGGAACGGAGAGCGGGAAATAGGACCCAGTTATATGTGCTCAGGTCCTCGTGGGGAAAGACGGCATTTCCTTTTTGAAGAAAACATTGCGTTCATGTTGCATGTTGAAAGTAGACAATAAAACCCAATAAACCGACTGGCTTCACCAATTAAATGGGTTGAAAACAGAAGCCGCTCAATTCTTCATGCTACCGAGGATTGTGTTTCGCAGCAACGTGGGCGAGAAAAACAAAAAGAATTACTCCACGTGAGCCGAGCTAGAAATTTCAACAATAGAAACAACAAAAATGATTAGCAAAGGAAGGAAGTCTATTGTTTGGGGTATGCTTTACAGCTATCCATTTTGGTAATTGCCGAAAATTCCCACCATTAACCGAGAAAACGGCACTATTTGAATACCTTGTGATATAATTAACAAAGCAACACGTGCTCCGCAAAGGAAGAGCCTTTGATAAACAAAGCACTTGTTACATGAATGAATGAAAAGAACCCGTGGGACACTAGAGCTACACGAGTGAGCGAAGCGAGTAAGTGGAGCAGTTTGTAAATAGACTATCGAGTAGAGCTCCACTAGGGAGCGAAGCGAGTAAGTGGAGCAGTATGTAAAGAGACTATCGAGCAGAGCGACACTAGCTCGCTTCGCTCTCTAGTGGAGCAGTATATAGAGAGGTATCTACTTTTGGATAGATAGCGCTTCTAGGTAGAAAAGGCTTCTAAGTAGATAAAACCTTTTTGAGCGAGGAAAGTTGACGGGTAATTGGTAGGAGTTAGATTATACCCAGTGTAGTCAGTGTTCCACTATCGAGCAGCGAGATAGTCTCTCTCGATAGTGTCGGTAGCAGTCAGTGTTCCACTATCGAGCAGCGAGATAGTGTCTCTCGATAGTGTCTCTCAACAGTGTCGGCCATAGATTCAGACATCTATATCCTCACTTGATTTCCTGTAAACCATTATTCAGAATGATACTGTGAGGTATCTAGAGGTATCTAGAGGTAACTAGAGGTAACTAGAGGTAACTAGAGGTAACTAGAGGTAACTAGAGGTATCTAGAGGTATCTACGTTTGTTGAACCCGGTGTAGTAAGTGTTGGCCATAGATTGTAGTCAATGCTACTCCACTATCTCGCTCCGCTCGATAGTGTCGCTTCCATATGCTAACAATTTAACAGTATGAGTTATCGCGCTAAAGTTTTCTCTATAAAAACTTCATCTATAATAGTTTCCTCTGTAAATAATCTATAAAAGTGTTTTTTCAGAAAAAACCCCGTTAAAGAACTCGTAAAACTCTTTATTATTGGAAAAATCCAGTGTCGTCAGTGCTGCCCCACTATCGAGCGGGGCCAAAATTACAACACTATCGAGCGGAGCGAGAATTACAACACTATCGAGCGGAGCGAGATAGTGTAGCACACTGACAGTAGCTTGTTGCAACACTATTGAGTGAAGCGAGGTACACTTTGTAGCTTAGTACACTATCGAGCGGAGAGAGATAGTGTAGCATACTGACAGTAGCTTGTTACAACACTATCTCGCTCTGCTCGATAGTGTTGCTCGATAGTGGAGCAAATTGACATTAGCTTGTTACAACACTATCTCGCTCTGCTCGATAGTGTTGCTCGATAGTGGAGCAAATTGACATTAGCTTGTTACAACACTATCTCGCTCTGCTCGATAGTGTTGCTCGATAGTGTATCTCGATAGTGTCGCGTAAGGGCCCTCTCTTTTAAAGTCATTCTTAAAATCTTAGAAACCTCTCGAATGCACTAGCAAAACTGCCTTTAATGAAAGGGTCTATTGTTTTCGAAAATTAGACGAAACGCTACCATCAATTAGAGCTTACATATCATTCTAAATTTAGAAATAGAATCTTGATAGGGGCTTCTTAGGTGACACGGCACTAGGGAGCGAAGCGAGCTAGTGGAACAGTATGTAGAGAGGTTAGAAAGCGAAGCGAGCTAGTGGAACAGTAAGTAAATAAACTATTAAGCAGTAAGTAAATAGACTATTGAGTAGTATATTAATAGACTATTGAGCAGTAAGTGATGGACTATTGAGTAGTAAGTGATGGACTATTGAGTAGTAAGTGATGGACTATTGAGTAGTATAGACTATCTCGCTCTGCTCGATAGTCTAGCTTTAGTTTTAAACTAAGCCTCTAGGTAATGCGACACTAGGGGGCGAAGCGAGCTAGTGGAGCAGTATATAGAGAGGTATCTACTTTAGGATAGATAGAGCCTCTTTTAGCGATGAAAGTGATTGAAAAGAGTTAAATTAAACTCAGTGTGGTCAGTGCTGCGCCACTATTGAGCGGAGCGAGATAGTGTTGTAACAAGCTACTTTCAGTGTGCCCCACTATCTCGCTCCGCTCGATAGTGTTATAGCAAGCTACTTTCAGTGTGCTCCACTATCTCGCTCCGCTCGATAGTGTTGTAACAAGCTACTTCCAGTGTGCTCCACTATCTCGCTCCGCTCGATAGTGTTGTAACAAGCTACTTTCAGTGTGCTCCACTATCTCGCTCCGCTCGATAGTGCTGTAACAAGCTACTTTCAATGTGTTCCACTATCTCGCTCCGCTCGATAGTGGTGTCACTAGTGTCGCTTATTTTCTTTTTTTTAGCCTTGATCAAATCAGTAAACAATAGATTCCATAAATATAAACAAGATGAAACCCCGTGTGTTCTACTATATCGCTGTATTGGCACTACTACCTTGCTACGTCTACTCTACTTCCTTATTCTCATTGCTACATTACTCTTGCTCCACTATCGAGTGGAGCACACTAGTGACACCAGCTCCACTATAGAGCGGGGCGAGATAGTGCTACATTACTCTTCCTCCCCTATTGACCGGAGCGAGATAGTGGAGCACACTAGTGACACCAGCTCCACTATCTCGCCTTGCTCGATAGTGCTACATTACTCTTGCTTTACTACCTTGCTCCACTCGATAGTGGAGCACACTAGTGACACCAGCTCCACTACCTGCTCCGCTCGATAGTGGAGTACACTAGTGCTATTCTTAGTATCTACAATTATATTTTTTCTAAAGAATCTCAATCTTTCCAAGGCTCTGGTCAATAGAAATTCAAGTATATTTGCAAGCGCTCGATAGTAATCTAAGCCCAGTGTAATAAATGCTGCTCCACTACCTTGCTCCGCTCGATAGTGCTACATTACTCTTGCATCACTACCTCGCTCCGCTCGATAGTGCTACATTCTCTTGCTTTACTATCTCGCCTTGCTCGATAGTGCTACATTACTCTTGCATCACTACCTCGCTCCGCTCGATAGTGCTACATTCTCTTGCTTTACTATCTCGCCTTGCTCGATAGTGGTGCTTAGTGGATTGCCGGGTAACTTTTCTTTCTTTTCTTTTTTTTTTTTTTCTTTGCTTTATTTGATACATCAAGGTTACATTGAAGAGATTGGACAAGAAGAGGAAATTGGTATACTGGAAAACAGGGTAGAGGTGACAGGTTTCTTTCACAGATAGTAATATTTGCCTAGTTTTGAGCTGTTAGATATGTCCTATGGTAGAGGTACTAGTCCCAATAGAGGTTATATGGAGTTTGATCCTGAATCAGGAGATAATCTAAGTAGGAAACGATCACTCGTTAGACCAGAAAGATCAAGGATAGATCCTAATCATCCAAGGTTCCACTATACGCAAGTAGCTAACCAAGAGTCGGATCATATCAAAGTACAAGTTTCCTCAAATGCAATACATCCTCCTCCTCGTGGCTCAAACGATTTGACCAGATCAAGGTCCCATTTGAGCCCTTATTCCTCGCAGAGATCAGACTCTCAACATCTGCAACTGCAACTGCAACTGCAACTGCAACTGCAACTGCAACGCCGCCACCACCACCACCAACAGCAGCTGCGTCACCCGCTACGTCAACAACATGGCCCCCTCGGCACTGACGTTGCCCCGCCTTCTCCACTCGATGACGAAAATGAAGGAATACCTCTTATGGATATTCACAACTCATCGCCAGGAACAAGCTTCAACAACAATAAAACAAACTTGAAAGGTGGTAGAGAAGTATACGGATTGAACGATGAAGTTGGCGGCGAATTCGGTAGAACTCCACTGAGAAGCAAGGTCATTTCGAACGGGTTGCCGAGACCACAAGTTCAAGGATCGAAATCCCGTAAAAAGAAAGCTGGTAAAAAGCACGATATTTATTTTTGGAAAGTATATTGTTACGCTGTGACATTTTGGGCTCCTTCACCATTATTGAAATTGTTTGGACTTCCTACAAAAGATCGTCAGTTTGCTTGGAGAGAAAAAATGGGATTGATCTCATGTATATTGTACATTGGTGCCCTTGTTGCTTATTTGACTTTTGGTTTTACGAAAACAGTATGCTCTTCAGAAAAATTGAGAACAAGAATAAATGAAGTTAGTACCTCAAGCTTGATCATTAATGGAAGATCTTTTGATTTGTCTTCTTCAAAACATCCAGCGGCTGCAGGGATTGGCGCGGGTTCTAATGTCTTGTATCCTCCTATCAATGCCGGTGGTAAAGATGCTTCGTTTTTGTTCCAAAATGTAAATGGTAATTGCAAGGGTTTGATTTTGCCAAAGGAAGGTTGTACTATACCGTTTAATGAAAATAACGAGTTAGCCTGGTATATGCCGTGTCGTTTTTTTGATCAAGATGGCTCTAACGAAGTTAACAACACTCAGGTGTATTATAATGGATGGGCTTGTCATACAAGTGAAGTGGCACGTAGAGCTTATTATGGGCTTAAAGTATCAGGTGATGTTTATTTCACTTGGGATGATATTAGAAACTCGTCAAGAAATTTGGTTGTTTATTCAGGAACTGTTTTGGATTTGAATTTGATAAATTGGATCCAGAATGAAGATGTAACTTATCCCGAATTGTTTGACAGATTACGCGATGATCCAACGTTCCATGGTTTGGATATATCCATGGTTTTAACTAGTCCAAGTGAACGTCAAGCGGCTAGGTGTTTGACTGAAATTATAAAAGTTGGTGTTATTGATTCAGATACCATTGGTTGTATCGCTTCGCAAATTGTCTTGATTGTTTCTTTGGTGTTTATTTTATCGGTTGTTGTTGTGAAGTTTATTATGGCTTGTTGGTTTAGATGGGTTACTTCGAGAAAACAAGGTGCAACTGAATATGATAATAAATCAATGGTGGCAAGAAACAAGGCTATCGAAAATTGGGTTGATAACAATAACTCAGCAATTGGGACTCAAATCAAAACTGTTCCACTAAGAGCAAGAGCTAATTACAAATCAGCAAAAACTAACAGGCAAAGTGTTTTCCATAGGTCACAAAAGCTTTCGCTTGGACCAAATGCCGATTTGTCACAATATTACGATAATCCTAGTGCGCTTTCAAAAACTTTCAAGTATACAACAATGTCAACACAAGCTGCGTTATTAGGACGTAACGGATATGGTAAAAAGTCTCTGACAGTTTCAGGAAAGAATGGTGGTAGTGGTGCAAAACAATCAACTATCTACCTCAACGATCAAGGTTCATCAACAGATTTGTTGAACCGTCCCATTTCAACTTACAATCCATTTGAAGCCTTTGACGAGCAAGCAGCTGTTGTTCATGGATTATCCCCAGATATTATCCATCCAGACATCGTTCCTCAACCGCCTGTTGAATATCAACCTTTTGGATTTCCCTTGGCGCATACCATCAATTTGGTCACTTGTTACTCCGAAGATGCAGATGGTATACGTACCACTTTGGACTCTATTGCAACTACAGATTTTCCCAATTCTCACAAATTGATTCTTGTGATTTGTGATGGTTTGATTAAAGGTTCTGGTAATGACAGAACCACTCCGGATATAGTTTTGGATATGATGTCTGATTTAACTGTGCCAAGAGATGAGGTTGAACCATATTCATATGTTGCAGTTGCTCAAGGAAGCAAGCGTCATAATATGGCCAAAGTTTATGCAGGGTTTTATGATTATGACGATGGAACAGTTCCACCTGAAAAGCAACAACGTGTTCCGATGATTACTGTGGTCAAATGTGGTACTCCTGAAGAAGCAAACTTGCCTAAACCAGGTAATAGAGGTAAGCGTGATTCACAAATTATTTTAATGTCCTTTTTACAAAAAGTTGTATTTGACGAAAGGATGACAAGTTTAGAGTTTGAAATGTTGCAAGCAATTTGGAGAGTTACGGGGCTAATGGCGGAGTTTTATGAAATTGTGCTTATGGTTGATGCAGATACTAGAGTGTTTCCTGATTCACTAACACATATGGTTGCTGAAATGGTCAAAGATCCTCTGGTGATGGGGTTATGTGGAGAAACCAAGATTTCAAATAAGGCGCAATCGTGGGTTACTGCAATTCAAGTGTTTGAGTATTATATCTCGCATCATCAAGCAAAGGCTTTTGAATCTATATTTGGTGGTGTTACTTGTTTACCGGGATGTTTTTGTATGTATAGGATTAAAGCTCCCAAAGGATCCGATGGGTACTGGGTTCCTATTTTGGCCAATCCAGATATTGTTGAAAGATATTCAGATAATGTGGTTGATACATTGCACAAGAAGAATTTATTACTTTTAGGTGAGGATAGATATCTTTCTTCATTGATGTTGAGAACGTTCCCCAAGAGGAAACAGATTTTTGTTCCTAAAGCTGCTTGTAAAACAATTGTTCCTGATAAGTTCAAAGTCTTGTTATCACAGCGTCGTAGGTGGATCAATTCCACGGTGCACAACTTGATGGAATTGGTATTGGTGAATGATTTATGTGGTACGTTTTGCTTTTCGATGCAATTTGTTATTTTTATTGAATTGGTTGGTACATTGGTTCTTCCAGCGGCAATTGCATTCACGATTTATGTTATTATTTTTGCTATTGTTTCGAAACCAACGCCAGTTATGTCATTGGTATTGTTGGCTATTATATTTGGATTACCTGGATGTCTTATTGTTATAACCATTTCATCACTATCATATATCATATACTTTTTCATTTACTTGATGGCCTTACCAATTTGGAATTTTGTTTTACCGTCTTATGCATATTGGAAATTTGATGATTTCAGTTGGGGTGAAACAAGAACTGTGGCTGGTGAGGGCAAGGGAGATCATGGAACTAGTGAGGGTGTATTTGATGCATCAAAAATCAAAATGAGAAGATGGAGAGAATGGGAAAGAGAACGCAGAAGTGAGGAAAATGCTATTATTGCTACTGCTGCTGCTGGCCAAGGTGGTCAGGGAATTGGTACTAACCAGAGAGGATATTCATCTAATCAAAATTTGGTTGCCCCTTCAGCCGTTTGGGATCCTTCAAATAATGAAAAAATAATTGATGATTTCGAAAATGAAGGATCTTACTCTGAATCTAATTGATAAAGAGGAACGAGAGAGAGAGAAAGAGAGAGAGAGAGAGAACAATGTAGAGTAGATTATATATATATGACATTATATGGGCAAAACAGTATTTATTGAACTCATTATATGTGGTGTAACTATGAAGAATCAGTGCAGCTGGCACGTTTCTTGTAGATGAAGAACTAGTGCAGCTGGCACGTTTCTTGTAGATGAAGAACTAGTGCAGCTGGCACGTTTCTTGTAGATGAAGAACTAGTGCAGCTGGCACGTTTCTTGTAGATGAAGAACTAGTGCAGCTGGCACGTTTCTTGTAGATGAAGAACTAGTGCAGCTGGCACGTTTCTTGTAGATGAAGAATCAGTGCAGCTGCAAATACAACTTTAAATTCTATTCTTCAGCTAAAGCTGCACCATTACGCCGTAAACAGCCTCTCGTAAAATATACCATCAACGTTGCTTCATTATGATAATTGATGTGTCCCAATTGTATTGAATAGAAATTAATTCTTGAGGGGTATTGACAAAACGGCTTTTGTCATCAATCTATTGTCTCATGTAGCCTACAAAAACAAGGGACACAATGAATGCTGACAGCCTTTGTTAAACTCTGCATGCCAGACCAATGTTTCATTGTGTGACAGAATTGAGCTTATGCTTGAATAGCAAAACTTCAACAAACACTATTTCCCTCAATTTAACCAGTTCAACGGTTCTACCTTTTTCACCAGTTCACGTCAGTTTAAAACTCATCATTAGTAGAAGAAAACGCACAAGATACCGCTGAGGATCTGACACTTGACTCTGTCGAGTTTTCACTACTTGAAGAAGCGCCTCCTTTTTCAATATATCTCTTTTTAAACTTCTTCAATCGCCATGTATTTTTGACCTTTTTGATCAGCGGTTTGAATGCAGAGTTTGGTGTAGCTAATGCAGTTAACATTGTATGTAGAAGTTCAAAGTATCGAACAAAGAAATAAGAGGGCTAACCAAATAAACCAATTCTACCAAGCTATATATATATATATATATATATTGTAATACCAGGAATAGCTAATACGCAAAACCGGATCTTCTATACAAAAAGGGTTAGTCTTTTTTGCACTTTGCTATGCAGAAATGTTATTCTGTTGATTCTTGTTTCATACCTAATTTTAACAAGCAAGCAATATATATTAACTACACGCACAAAGTCTCCCTCCCCACCACCACACCCACACACATACATATGAACACCTTGGGGTTATACTAGGGTGGAAGGAGGCGTGGTGTTAGATAAGTAGTAAGGAAAATATACGTTTCATACAATAAAAAAAAAAGGTAAAAAAAATTTTACTTGAAACAGACGAAGTGCAAGAACTAAAGTTGAAAAAGTAAAGTCTTTTTTCAACTAGCAACGTTCAAAGGCACTAAAAATGATAAAGAGACCTCCTGGTTTGCACCATGTGACAAGTAGTACTTGTCGAATAAAATTATCGAGCCATATGGACAAATAAGGTTTTATCATCTTTGAAAAATTTTCCTTTTGGCTTATACTAACAAATTAGAAACCCCTTAGGTATATTTTTTTTGCATTTCTTTTTTTCTTTTTTTGTGGAGGGGAAAGGGAGTAGACCATGTATTAAATTGCCGTACTCTACTATCGAGCAAAGCGAGATAGTGGAGTAACTTGTTGTAACACTGACGGGTAATTGGAAATTTAAAAAGTCCCTGCTGTGCAAATGAAGGATCTTAGACTGGTTTGGGATCCTAAACCAGTTTATGATCCTAAACCAGTTTACTGTTTCCCTCCTTGCTCATGCTGAAACAAAATACAAACCCTTTTCTTTTCATGCAGCTTCTTACTTCTATCCTCCAATAAATTTACTCATTTCATCGACACCACAACCAAAGAAAACAACATATTCCTATTATTATATTATCTCTTCTTTTTAGTATTGACTTGAAATTTGCACTAGGTGACGTAAGAACTGGAAACAATTGGAAAAGGAAAAAAAAAATGGATTTTCTGAAAACGCAATTTCGCTAATATTTTTTTATTCTGATTAATCGATTTGAAGATCTGGCGTAGCATAAAGTAGGTGGAGGGTAGGTAATAGAAAGTATACGTTGATCTAATTTTGTTTATCCATAAAGAATTTCGGTCTATAAATTTCAATTGTTACACTGCTCCATACTTCAATGGCTGCGAAAAAAAAAAATAAAAAAAAAAACAGATTAGCAATAATCAAAGCCAAGTTTCCAAAAGTGTTATGCTGTGCTAGTTTCGACTTTACTACGTAATTTAATACGAAAACTGTGGGTTACAATATGTATACTTACATTTGGGTATATTTTTGTCACTTTTACTGAGAAATTGATACGGTCGTTAGGCTCGTTTGAGATGTAATTTTTGTCCAGTGTTGCTACAAAGTGCTGCTCTAGTGTTGCTACAAAGTGTTGCTCTAGTGTTGCTACAAAGTGCTGATCCAGATCCAAAAGAAAAGCCTTTAAAGTAAATAATCTAAATTTATAATAGAGAAAAAAAACCATATACATCTATATATGTATAAGTTCAATCTAATTGGAATTTTTTTTATGAAAATTTGGTAGTAGTAGAATTGAATTAATAACGATTAGAATCTAAACCGATTTTTATCAACAACGATGAAAAAGTCAACCAGAATGAAAAAGAAAGATAAAAAATAAAATAAAATAAACCCGAATTCAAGGTTAAACTTGATTGAAGAAAAAAGGAATTTTTTTTGAAACTGCAGTTCAAAAAATAACAAACTGTCTCCCTCTCTTTCTCCCTGCTTCTGGTTACAAGTCCCACTCTTTCTCCCTGCTTCTGGTTACAAGTCCCACTCTTTCTCCCTGCTTCTGGTTACAAGTCCCACTCTTTCTCCCTGCTTCTGGTTACAAGTCCCACTCTTTCTCCCTGCTTCTGGTTACAAGTCCCACTCCTTCTCCCTGCTTCTGGTTACAAGTCACTCAAAATGCATTTAGTAGTTTCTTCTCTTTAATGAAGCTGCGGCACTGTTAGCAGCTCCCACCAATTGGTTCAAGTTGTTAGCTAAATTTCCAGTGTCCACGGTAGGTGCTGTGGCTGTGGCAGTACCATATTGGTTAATCAACGAGTCCAAAGCATTTGTGTTTCCAGCAGCGGCAGCGGTAACGGCAGCTGTGGTAGTGGTAGTGACGGCCTTGGCAGTTGTGGAAGCTGGAGCAGCGGCAGCAGCGACATCTCTAGTTGAAACAGTTGAAGTTGAAGCAGCAGATGAACCAGTAGCATTATCAATTTCTGATGCACTAACTAAACCTTTTGTCAAGGCATTACCCAAGAATGATGCAATAGCACCAGCCCAAGTACCGGCATTTGCTTCAATGTATGATAAAGCAGAATCCCATAATCCAGATGATTTGGCCCATCCGTAAATTTCTTGGGCAACAACCAAACCAGTTTGGAAAGCAGTAGTCAAAAAGTTAATAGTAGCTTGTGGATCAGCCAAAACCTTATTGATCAATGAAGAAACAATTCCTGAATCTTTGATTTGAGTAACAATAAACGACAAGATTGAAGCCAAGTCTCTCTTGTCCATGTATTCTCCATCAAGGATAACGTCCCTCTTTGCTGCAGTAGTAGCAGGAGTAGCTGCAGCTGTTGAAGATGAGGAGGAACCGCTCAACCATGAAGTAATCAAATTGACAGCAGTACCAAAGATTGATTTAGCAACATTCAAAAAGGCGTTTCTCAAGTCAGCGTCATTTAAGAAACTATTGAAAATTGATCCCAATAAACCAGAGTTCCAAATAGCTTTAATCAAAGCAGGACCCTGAACAACAGCAGTTTGAATTGCTGATTGAATAATAGCTTTAATGGAAGAAGAAATAGCTTCATCGGTGGTTAAAATGTGCCAAATGTCACCAATAATTCCAGAATTGGTTAAAGCAGTGATCAAATCTCCCAAGACGGAATCGCTTCTTTTATCGTGTTCAATCAACTCGTCTCCTGATAAAAATTCTCTCTTTGCATTGTGATTTTGGAGTTCACTTAAAATAGCCAATACTTCATTGATATCTTCTCTCTTGACCATAGTTTGCTCAGAGATGATAGCTGGAGCTGGAGCAGCTGAAACAAAGGCTGAGGAAGCTAATATAGCTAAAAGGGTAGCTTGTGAAAATTTCATTTTTGAATAACTTTAATTTGTCAAAAGGTTGCAAATGGAAGATTTAAGATTGTTGAAAGTTGCAAAATATTCTTATTTAAAATAAATAAAAAAGTGGAAAATATGTGACACTTGGTAGCGAGCAAAGAAAGCGTCAATTGAAGAAAATGGAAAAGAAAGCAAGATTTTGATTAATAAATCAATCAGGGAACTCTGATGTATATTGCTTTGAGGGTCTGGGGGAATTAAAAGAAACAAGAGTCCATTATCAAAATGAGGAAAATTGTATAGATATTTATAATCGAGATTATTGAGAAAAAATTAAGTTAAAAAAAAGAAAAGAAAGAAGGAAAAAGAAATTGAATTGAAGACTTTACTCATAATAGGTTGGTTCTTTGATGATAAAGCTCCTTTACATTTAGACATTATGCCTTGTTAACTAAAGTTGGTAAAGTATTAAATTTATTATTATGGATATTTTGAGTTTGTTCTCCAAATACTAAAAAAAAAATTATATTAAACTAAAATTCATTTACCTAAATAGGAAATAAATGCAGCAGCCAAAAATAAAAAAATTGTTAATAGAAGTTCATAGTGATGTGAGTGGTTATAGTGAGTAAAACTTAACTCGATATAGCAATGACCATGGAGATGGTTAGAAGATAACCCTGTGTGGGTAAAATTTTACAAAAGGTTGAAATTTTCAAGTGTTTACTCCTCAAGTGTTTACTCCTTTTTCAAGTGTTTTCCTTTTTCAAGTGTTTTCTCCTTTTCCTGTTACTTCATTATAGTTGTTTGTTTCTTTTTTTCCTTCAGTAAAAGTGGAAAATGGTATAATTGAGTTTGAAAGGAAATGTATATGGAGAGCTTTCAAATTAAAGTTGGTATTTATTTGCATAAACTCTCAGATACTTGCAGAACATTTGATAATCGATTCACATTGTTTTATTACATATTATATTATTAGAAAATATGCTCACTTCTTACTCCTCCTCCTCCTTCTCTTCCTCCCCCTCCTTTTCTTCCTCCACCTCCCCTCCCCCCCTCATTTTAGGCTCCTGTCTATTTCTGTAAGCCTTACCAGTAAACTGCGTCGAATCTCCTTTTACTCGTTGCTTTTTTTATTTATTATTTTGTCTTTTTAGTTAAAGCCGTAAGGGAACAAAAGTCAAAATTTAATTACTGTATATATTACATTTGGTAGCAATGGGCCAAGAAACAGACGAAAGAAACTCAATGGGGTAATTAAGAAATTATGAAACAGGCCCCATTAGAAATGACACATGTGTTTTTGTGAGGGAACAAGTCCGAACCTGTGCAATACAACAAGGCCCAACAACAATCATTAATTGAAGAAGAAGAGTTGCCAAAGAAGGAGAAGGAGAAAAAAAAATAAGTTTGTACCAAAAGGTATAGCTTACCCATTTGAATTTAATAGCTTTTAATAGCTTTTAATAGCATTTCCATTTGATTTAATAGCTTTTAATAGCATTTCCATTTGATTTAATAGCTTTTAATAGCATTCCCATTTGATTTAATAGCTTTTAATAGCTTTTAATTTGATTTTATAGCTTTCCCATTTGATTTTATAGCTTTCCCATTGATTTTATAGATTTTTCCATTTCAATTTAATAGCCTTTTCCATTTGTTTCTCTATAGTGATTCTAGCCAGTTTTCTATTGTTTTATTTATTTGTCTTGATGAAAAACCGTAATTCGGGCAATTGTAAAGGATGAAACCAAACTCTAGTGTGTACACAATTGTGGTTCAACTATTGTGGATCTCAATAAATGTGCTCGATGGTAGTCACGCGTCTCCTATACACCTGATATCTACCTATTGCCATTTTGTGCATACGCATGAGCTCACTTGAGTCAAAACGTTGGTACAGAATAGCGATAAAAACTAAAAACAGCGTCCCATGTAATAAGATTTCCCATTCCCCGTAAACAGTTTCATATTGTATTTTTACTTTGACAATCGCGTAAATATGAAAACCTTAATTAAAGATATGTACCTGAATAGTTTAAATTGTAACAACACAATGTCAATCCTGAGCTCAGATACTTGTTTTTTTGTCACTCCCTCATTCTCATCTCCTAATCTCTGTTTTCACCCTCATTCTCATCTCCTCTCCTCTTTCTACCAAGACACACGGGTTTTCTTTTCTTTTTTCAACCTACAGTGTGACTGCATTATCTCCAAGAAAAATACATTTGGAAAATGCTCATAACTATTCAAGTTTTATACGTTTACATACTTCTACGCAATGATTTTTGAACGCAAAATCTACTAATAAATCGAGATCAGTCACTCTGATTCAATTCTTTAAGGCGTAAATTGGGTGCAAAATATGTTTACAAAACTACACTACCTCTCTGCATATCCGAAAAAAAAAAATAAAATAAAATAATAATAATAATTACCCAAAAAGGAAATCTCAAAAACTGCTCTTTCTAAAATCATCTTCAAATCAATTTGACGGATTTATTGCAAACCCATTAGTTGCGATCGACGTTTTTAAAATGGGTCTTATTTTTTCTTTCCTTACATTATCTCATTCGTATTATTCATAATTAAATAAAACGTATTGGGGGGAAAAATCGCTCTCGCAATTCAATGGTATCAAACGTTATGTAATTATTGTGTCAAGTGGTGCTGCTCTGTTCCACACATCCGCAAACACCCCTCCTCTTTCGTTAATTCTTTCCACTATCGAAAAACACCATTGGTAGCAGCTACTGTGCTCTACATACAAACCCGTGTTGGCAATTTTAGAGTTGAGTAAACTTTACATTAGTTCACTTTTTTCACAGTGTCTTTTTTGTTTCTTTTTACTCAATCTAGATATGCTGTAAAAGATATACGAGGTCCTATTTCCCACTATAGGGCAGAACACTATCGAGCAGAGCGAGATAGTGGAGCAAAATCGACTAGCTACATTCTATCAACTAGTGTCTCTCTACATACATTCTATCGACTAGTCTCTCTCTATATACATTCTATCGACTAGTCTCTGTCTATCTACATTCTATCGACTAGTCTCTCTCTATCTACATTCTATCGACTAGTCTCTGTCTATCTACATTCTATCGACTAGTCTCTCTCTATCTACTTTTTCTCAATCTACATTCTATCGACTAGTCTCGTTTCACTCGTCTAGTCTCAAAACAATATCATAAGCTACTGCGTGTTACTCCACTATCGAGCGAAGCGAGATAGTGTCGATAGTGTCGGTGGCAGCTGGTGTTGCTCCACTATAGAGCGAAGCGAGATAGTGTCGATAATGTCGATAATGTCGATAGTATCGGTAGCAGCTAGTGTTGCTTCACTATCGAGCGAAGCGAGATAGTGTCGATAATGTCGATAGTATTGGTAGTGTCGGTGGCAGCTGGTGTTGCTCCAATATCTCGCTTCGCTCGATAGTGTCGAGAGTATCGGTAGCAGCAGGTGTTGCTCCACTATCTCGCTTTGCTCGATAGTGTTGATAGTGTCGATAGTGTCGATAGTGTCGATTTTTTTGCATCAAAAAAAGATAAACATAGTTGATGGATAACTTTTTTCATCCAATCAAGGACATTTTAAAATTGAAAGAATCTAAAATCGAAACAAATCACATAAAGAGGCTGATAGTGGGACATTCTCATGTTTGGACCTGTTTTCTCCCTCTCTTTCATTGAGAATGCCAAATTGTAGTCTATAGAAATAGAGTCCAGTAATAAATATGCACGGCTGTATTTTGCATGAATAAGTTACCCGTCCCACATAGTACAAAACTCTATAATCTACATGCTCCACTATCTCGCTCTGCTCGATAGTGGAGTGGAGTTCTGCTCGATAGTGGAGTAGAGCATTACTAGCTGCCTCCGACAATCAATATTTCACCACTTCCCACAATCTCTTCAACACAATGAGATTCTTCTTGAAAAGACAAACTGTCTGAGCCGTTGATCTAAAAATAGTTGTCTTTGATTTCTTTTTTTTTTCCGTTATCTCATCGCGAAAAAAAACCAATCACCAAGGACTCGATGTAAGCACCGGTAGCTCAGTTCGATGATAGCATTTAGTATGAAAGGAGAAAGACAGAGATAGTCGGGGTTTAACTTTTTGAGAAACACACGGGGTTTGATAATATACAAATGTAGTTTCAATCTTTCTCTAAAAAGAAACCACCAATTTACTACACGTTTCAGCACAAGGAAATTTTTCACATCCATTCTAAATTTATTTCATTTGTGGATACAAAGGTAAAAAATAAATAAAGAAGGATGAAAAAAAAAAAAAGAAAAAGGTCAACGTCTTTCTTTGAAAGGATACTTGCATTTCTCTTTCTTAGCTGTTGAGTTCTCTTTTTTAGTTGTTGATTTCTCTTTCCTAGTTTTTTATTGAGTTGCGTTGAGAAGAAATGAGTATTCTTGAGACAGCTACAACTGGGACTAACCACCAGGAAGACCAAGACGAGTTTACCAGTAAAAACACATTCACCAAGAGGAGCAAAAATTTTGCTACATTAGAGACAACTACTTCCTCAAATCTCAAGGTTATTGATACAAATGGGAATGTGTTGAAAGTCCCCGATTATACAATAAAAGAAATTTTACAAGTAATTCCTAAACATTGTTATGAAAGATCTTTAGTCAAGTCCTTGGGGTTTGTTGCTCGTGATATTGCAATGATGTGCATTATTAGTTATGTTGGCCATATGCTTATCCCAGAAATCGAGTTTGTTGGGCATGAAAGATTATCATATTTTGCTAGAGGTGCTGCTTGGATGGTGCAATCGTACGCTATTGGACTCTTTGGTTTTGGATTGTGGATTTTAGCTCATGAATGTGGTCATGGTGCATTTTCAGATTACCCAGGTATCAATGATTGTATTGGATGGGTATTGCACTCATATTTAATTGTTCCGTATTTCTCCTGGAAATTTAGTCATGCCAAGCATCACAAGGCGACTGGCCACTTGTCTAGGGATATGGTGTTTATCCCATATACTAAACAAGAATACTTGAAGAAAAAAAAAGTTGATAAGGTTGCCGACTTGATGGAAGAAAGTCCAATTTGGTCCTTGTTGGTTTTAATCTTTCAGCAATTGGGAGGATTACAATTTTACCTAGCTTCAAACGCTACTGGTCAAAAATACCCTGAGACTTCATGGTTTAGTAGATCACATTATGCGCCATCATCTCCTGTTTTCGATAAACATCAGTATTGGTTTATCATTTTATCCGATGTAGGTATCATTGCTGCCGTTACCATGGTTTACCAATGGTACAAAACATTTGGTCTTTTCAATATGATGATAAACTGGTTTGTTCCTTGGTTGTGGGTGAATCATTGGTTGGTTTTTGTTACTTTTTTGCAACATACAGATCCAAGTATGCCTCACTATACTGCAAAGGAATGGACATTTGCTCGTGGTGCAGCTGCTACAATTGATCGTAATTTTGGCTTTATTGGACAGCACATTTTTCACGATATAATTGAAACACATGTCTTGCACCATTATGTATCAAGAATCCCCTTCTACAATGCAAGAGAAGCTACTAAGGCTATAAAGAAAGTTATGGGCGAACATTATAGATATGAAGGTGAAAGTATGTGGTTTAGCTTGTGGAAATGTATTAGAATGTGTCAATTTGTTGATGACGATTGCCCTGACGCAAAAGGGGTATTGATGTTCAGAAATGTTAATGGTTTAGGTGTACAAGCAAAGGACTAATATCGCTTATATATATATATATGTATAGAGAGTGAAAGCTTTCATATGGAAACCCCTTGGTGATATGCCATTGGCTTTTTTGCAATTGGTAGCAATTCTGCAACCTTTTTTTTTTTTTTTTTTTTTTTTTTTTTTTTTTTTTTTTTTTTTCAATTCTTTTTATACCGTTGATTCAACTTGTCTTATTGGAAACGATATATATCATGTCCAGTGTGGTACGTGGTGTTTGGAGAAGCTCAAGGTTGGTTGAAGGTATTACATACAAATGTAGTAATTATAACTTTGGTACGAACAAGTTGACTCGAGGAGGAGTTGGTAAAGGTTTGTGTGTCCCTAGATGTATTTCGAGAGGTTTCCAGACATCGACTTATTTAAGTGAGGACGTGAAGCACCAGCGGCCACACACTTATGAGGAAGAAAAAGTTATTATAGATGAAATTATTAAGAATTCGACAACGGAAGATATTCTAGCTTCCAAAAGAATAAGAAATATTGGAATTTCTGCTCATATAGATTCAGGCAAAACGACATTTACAGAACGTGTTCTTTTCTATACTGGTAGAATCAAGGCGATTCATGAAGTTAGAGGTCGTGATTCTGTTGGTGCCAAGATGGACCATATGGATTTAGAAAGAGAGAAAGGTATAACTATTCAATCTGCAGCAACTTATTGTTCATGGGATAAGGACAATCAATCGTATCATTTCAATTTGATTGATACGCCAGGACATATTGACTTTACGATTGAAGTTGAGCGAGCTCTACGTGTGTTGGATGGTGCGGTTTTAGTTGTTTGTGCAGTTGCAGGTGTTCAATCGCAAACGGTTACGGTCGATAGACAAATGCGTCGGTATAATATTCCAAGGATTACGTTTATCAACAAGATGGATCGTATGGGAGCCAACCCATGGAAAGCCATTGACCAAATCAATGCAAAGTTGAAAATGCATGCTGCTGCTATACAAGTGCCTATAGGTGCTGAAGAAAACTTGCAAGGTGTTGTGAATATAATCGATCGCGTCGCTTTGTATAATGAAGGAGCACAAGGTGAAACAATTAGAAAGGACAAAGTGCCTGAAGATTTAAAGGATTTGGTAGAGGAAAAAAGACTTTTTTTAATTGAGACTTTGGCCGATGTTGATGAGGAGATTGCGGATATTTATTTAGAGGGAGAAGAGCCAACAGTCGAACAGATCAAAGCAGCTATTAGAAGAGCTACTATTGGAAGAAAATTCACACCTGTTCTCATGGGCTCTGCTTTGGCTAATAGAGGTATCCAACCGGTTTTAGATGCCGTTGTTGACTACTTACCACAACCTAATGAAGTTTTAAACACCGGGTTTGAAGTACAATCCGATGGGTCCGAAACACCTATTAACTTAGTTGCATCAAGTGCTGCTCCATTTGTTGGATTAGCTTTCAAATTAGAAGAAGGACCTTATGGACAATTGACTTATATTAGAGTTTACCAAGGTAAATTGAAGAAAGGTGCATACATGACACATATCAAATCCGGTAAGAAGGTTAAAGTTTCTAGATTGGTGAGAATGCATTCCAATGAAATGGAGGACGTTTCCGAAGTTGGAAGTGGTGAAATCTGCGCCACATTTGGTATCGACTGTGCTTCGGGGGACACTTTTATTGGCCAAGGATTAAATAAACAAATTGCAATGAGCTCAATGTTTGTCCCTGAAGCCGTTATTTCATTGAGTATTGCCCCAAAGAGTAAAGAAAATGGAGCTTTCTCCAAAGCTATGAATAGATTCCAAAAGGAAGATCCTACATTTCGAGTCCATTTTGATCCAGAATCAAAAGAAACAATAATATCCGGTATGGGAGAATTGCACTTGGAGATTTATGTTGAAAGAATTAAAAGAGAATATGGTGTTGACTGTGTGACTGGTAAGCCACAAGTTTCTTATAGAGAAACAATTACAGGATCGACTCCATTTGATTACACACATAAGAAACAATCAGGAGGTGCTGGTCAATACGGTAGAGTTATTGGTGAAATGAAACCAATTGAAGGTGAGAACAAATTTGAAACTCAAATAGTAGGTGGTAAAATTCCTGAAAAGTTCCTTTTGGCATGTCAAAAGGGTTTTGATGACTGCTTGGAAAAAGGTCCATTGATTGGTCACAAAGTCTTGGGAGTGGATATGCTTATTAACGATGGTCAAACGCACGTTGTTGATTCTTCAGAAATGGCCTTTAGAACGGCTACGCAAGGTGCTTTCAAACAAGCGTTTGAGAATGCTCAGCCAGTTATTTTGGAACCAATCATGACTGTTGATATTACAGCGCCAAACGAATTCCAAGGTGCCGTTGTTGGGTTGATCAACAAGTTAGGCGGTATGATTAATGAAACCGTTAATGGTCAAGACGAATTTACAGTTTCTGCAGAATGTTCATTAAACTCTATGTTTGGATTCTCAACCACTTTGAGGGCATCTACTCAAGGTAAAGGTGAGTTTTCGTTGGAATTTTTGAAATATGCTCAAACTGCTCCACAATTGCAAAAACAATTGATTAGCGATTACCAAAAAGCTCAAGCTAGTAAAAAGTAGACAAACTTGTAAATAAACTTGTAAATAAACATTAAAAGATAATTGATAGAGGGTTATTGAAAGAAACGTAAGAGAGAAACGGCGAGAGGGTACTTCAGAACTACTACTGAATACCTTCCTTTTATGCTACATTTCCAACTTACACGTTTGCTTACTTACTTTATTTTCTTTTTTTTTATATTATTCTTTAAATACATACATATATTTATATATATATATATTACTATAACTAGTAGTGGTAGGAGGGGAGATAAAATGATGGCATTAGTGTGATGATAAACTGTTTTTCAATGCAATACGTCGTTAACCTTTTCTTATTCCCTCCCCATATTTAAAGCACTGCTTTGAATGGAAAAAAAAACATCAAGGGGACTAATACAAATGTTGGTGTTGGGAGGAGTAAAGTTGAGTGTTTTCAATTGTCAAAAGCCAAAAAAAAAATTAAGCTTTAGCTAAAGCCTTCTTAGTAGCGAATCTTCTTTGTTTCTTTAATACCAAAACTTGGAATCTTTCAAAATCACTCAATTGGCTTCTTCTTTCTCTTGCAGCCAATTTCTTAGACCATGCTGATGAAGCCCATTTGGAGTCAACATCAGAAGCAGCCCATTTCTTGTTGACGGTTGCGGTTCTTGCACCTCTTGGTAAGTTTGGTAATACAATTGGAGTCAAGACAACTTTTGCCAAGGAGATAGCTTGTCTTGGGACTTTAGGACCATCTATTAAAACCTAGAAAAAAAGGGAGTTAGTAAGTGTCATAGGATTATCAAGAAAAGAAAATGCAGCAAAATTGAAGCAAACAAGCTCTTTGTATTGGGGATAAGTGAGTAATATTGAGTATTGATCCATGCAAAAAATTTCAAGTATTGATCCATGCAAAGGAATTCAAGTTGATCCATGCAAAAAATTTCAAGTATTGATCCATGCAAAAGATTTCACATTGATAAATGAAAAAGAATTCAAGTTGATAAATGCTTTCAAAGAGAAAAAGAGCACTCATCACTTAAGCTTTTCCCCCCCTCCTGTCACTTAGCCGAGCTTGCCAGTAACCTGTTTTGCTACTTTTCTGCCACACTCCTTTGTCTGTTTCCACATACTCTTTTATCATCTATGATTTGAACTATACTAGCTAAGTTCTTGTTTTCAACCAAAACAATACGTCCTTCTTGAACGAATCTCCAGTTAGAAGCTTTGACTGAGGATGACATTATACTGTTATTCTAAGTGTATTCTGTGTGGATATAAAGTGTTGATGAAAAACAGATGGGATATACACAAACACTTTTAGTAATGAACTTTGATCAGTGTCTTCTACTTAACCGAGCGAGCTTTTGAAAAAAAAAAAAAATTCACCAGACTGAAAAATGACACAAAACGGAGCATTTCTTTTTTTTACACTGAAAAGGTAGTGCATGTGTGAGAAATGAAGGTTCAGTATATGATAATCGCGCGCAATTAAACAAAAAGTGTAAGAGAAAAAATATAAGGAAGGGCACGTGAACTTGAGGAATTGTTAGGGCTATAAAAATGAGCGACATCAAACGACACGACACTATGGAGGAGAGCGAGATAGTGTCGCAACATTGATTACACCGACACTGATTGCACAGATTACACCGACACAGATTACACCGACACTGATTGCACAGATTACACTGACTACACCGACACAGATTACACCGACATTGACTGCTCTATGTAAGCAATATTTGTCAAGGAACATCTTGATTTATAGGATTATACCCATGTCAAAAGATTCAAGTTTCTTTAACATGTATTGGGATTAAATTACCACATTGTTATATAGCATATAATTCAGAAAATAAGTATACACGCCGACACTATCGAGCAGAGCGTGATAGTGGACACTGACTAGCGACGCCGACACTATCAAGCAGAGCGAGATAACATACGGGTTTGATTGTATCCTTACACTGACTAGCGAAAGGATGTACTCCAACGCGTGTGTAGCATCTAAAGCATGTCGGTGGCAGCTAGTGTCGGTGCAGCTAGTGTGCTCCACTATCTCGCACTGCTTGATAGTCTCTCAATAGTGTCGACAGGCTTCTCTCTATTTCTTAAGAAAAGTCGTGCATTTAAATACAGATACTATTTGTACGAGTCAAAGAATTTTGCACAGTACATTTTTTTCTTCTCTTTACCTCAAAGTTTCTTTGTCTAACGACACTATCAAGCAGAGCGACTAGTGACGCTATCGAGCGAAGCGAGGTAGTGGAGCATTGACTAACGACACTATCGAGCAGAGCGACTAGTGAAACTATCTCGCTTCGCTCGATAGTGGGATCAAGCAGAGCGACTAGTGAAACTATCTCGCTTCGCTCGATAGTGGGATCAAGCAGAGCGACTAGTGAAACTATCTCGCTTCGCTCGATAGTGGGATCAAGCAGAGCGACTAGTGAAACTATCTCGCTTCGCTCGATAGTGGGATCAAGCAGCTTAAAATAACCAGATGTTATTTTGGGCAGGTGAAGATGGAAAGAATAATCTCTCTTTTTTCTTCTTTGAATTTTGAGTAAAGTGTTTCAGTCTGTTACTTTGATGTAGAAGAACAGATTGATTTACTACATTCAAAATTTCTACTTGAAATGTTGCTGAAAATAAAGTTCTAACTTGATGATGTTTTATAATTTGCGATTGAGGGTAACTGGTTTTCCCGAGGTTTCGCCGATCTCATTATGGGGGCAGTTACGATATGCGATCAACTTTTGACTGAATACATTAGAACTTGTTTAAAACAGTATCGCACTATCGATATCGAGCGAAGCGAGATAGTGGAACAGCATTGACCGACACTATCGATATCGAGCGAAGCGAGATAGTGGAACAGCATTGACCGACACTATCGATATCGAGCGAAGCGAGATAGTGGAACAGCATTGACCGACACTATCGATATCGAGCGAAGCGAGATAGTGGAACAGCATTGACCGACACTATCGATATCGAGCGAAGCGAGATAGTGGAACAGCATTGACCGACACTATCGATATCGAGCGAAGCGAGATAGTAGAACAGCATTGATCAACACTATCGATATCGAGCGAAGCGAGATAGTGGAACAGCATTGACCGACACCATCGAGCAGAGCGAGAGAGTAGAGCACATTGACCAGTGACACACTCGAGGTGTAGGTTTTACGTTTGGCACTATTGCTCCACTATCGAGCAAAGCGAGATCTATCCCTCGGACTCTTATTGTAAGCTATTACAAATAGATGACACTATCTAGCGAAGCGCGGCACTATTGAGCAAAGCGAGATAGTGTCGTTGACAGTCAATGCTCGCTCTGCTCGATAGTGTCGTTCGATAGTGTCAATGGCAGTCAGTGCTGCTCCACTATCTCGCTTTGCTCGATAGTGTAGTTTGATAGTGTAGTTCGATAGTGTCGTTCGATGCCCATCGCGATTGGTATTTTTTTTTCAATTTTTCAGCATGATTGAAACACATCATCATCATCATCATCATTATTTCTAGCTAAACAAAAAAAAAGGGTTTATGATCTTGAAAAGAAGGTGGTTGAATCTTTCTGCAATAATGTCTCAGTCTACCCCTTCTACAGCCCCTTTGTCGGCAATGTCTGCTCTCAAAAAGCCTAGTGTTAAGCAGCCAGAGTGGCATCAACCGAAAAGCATATCCAATATTGACGAGCCCAAATTGATCATCTATAATTCTTTAACTCGCGCTAAAAATGAGTTTATCCCCATTAAACCTGGACATATAACATGGTATAGCTGTGGTCCTACTGTATATGACCATTCGCATATGGGTCATGCACGTAACTATGTTTCTACTGATATTTGTCGTAGAATATTGGAGAATTACTTTGGTTTTAATGTCAACTTTATCCAAAACGTTACCGATATAGACGATAAGATTATCATTGCTGCTAGACAGCAATACTTGTTTGAGGAGAAGATTACCAAAACTCACCCCGAATTGAGCAATGAGCTATTAGAACAAGCAAAGATTTTTCTAGAGCATTATGTTTCAAAGAATCTTCCTGAATTCAAGGGGGATCTTGAGAGTGATTTTGCTCGATGGTCTGGGTCAATTGAGAATTTCGAAGAATTGAAAGCTAGTAAACCAAAATTTCCCATGTATCTCGCGGCAGCGCTGAGAGCATACAATGCAATCTATGGCGAGCCCAGCGAGTTTCCAGTGTTTTTGTCGAATATTCAAGATGTAGCCGTTGTTTATTTGGATGAGAAATATGGAGCATCTGTTACCGATCCACGAATTTTCAAAAAATTACCTTCATATTGGGAAAACAAATACAATGAGGATATGAGAAAACTCAATGTACTTGCACCAACAATTACCACGAGGGTTTCGGAGTATATACCTGATATTGTTGAATATGTTGACAAAATCATCTCCAATGGCTATGCATACAAAACGGAGGATGGGTCCGTTTACTTTGACACTGTCAAGTATGAACATTCAAAGCACGATTACGCAAAGTTGCAACCATGGAACAAGGGTGATATGAGTTTGATTAATGATGGTGAAGGTTCATTGAGTTTGGGTAGTTCTAAACGCAATTCTAGTGATTTTGCATTGTGGAAGGCATCAAAACCAGGTGAGCCAGCATGGGACTCGAAATGGGGTAAAGGTAGACCAGGGTGGCACATTGAGTGTTCTGTTATGGCTTCTGACATTGGAGGCTCTCAATTGGATATTCATAGCGGTGGTATCGATTTGTGTTTTCCTCATCACGATAATGAATTGGCGCAATCTGAAGCATATTTTGATAATCAGCAGTGGGTCAATTATTTCATGCATAACGGCCACTTGCACATTCAAGGACAAAAAATGTCCAAGTCGTTGAAGAATTTCATAACGATTAATGACGCATTAAAAGAATACAGCTCGAGGCAGTTGCGGTTGGTATTTGCATTGAATCCGTGGGAAAAGCCTTTGGACTTTAAAGATGCATTGATAAGCGAAGTAAAGTCTATTGAGTCTACATTTAATAAATTTTTTACCAATGTTCGTGCATTGCTTAATGACTACAAGCACAAGGTTGAGATTGGAGAAGACATTAGCAAAAGAGTAACTGAAGTTGAAAAGCAATTGTTTTGTGATTTAAAACAAACGCAAGACGACGTGGATGTTGCTTTTAAGGACAACTTATCAAGCGGTCAAGCAATTAGAAGCTTATTGAACTTGGTTTCGAAAGCAAATAATTATATCCAGCAGACATCAACGGGAAAAGTAAAACTCAAAATCGAAGCATTGGTGCTGATCACGAGGTGGATTCTGAAGATCTTGAACGTTTTAGGTTTCGATGCAAGAGCAGACGAATTAGGTTGGAGAGATGAAAGTGAAGGAGGCAGTAGTGGTGGTGGTGGAAGCAATGGTGGCACGTCTAGTGAAGAAATTGCCATGCCATATGTCAAGGCTTTAGCACAATTCAGAGACAATGTTCGTAATTTGGCGATAAATAAAGCAGAGTTAAAAGAGTTTTTATTAGCTTCAGACGAGATCAGATCACAACTTGTTCTGTTGGGGGTTTCTTTAGATGATAAACCCGACGGATCTGCTTTGGTCAAGTTTCTCAATCAAACTGAGAAGTTACAATTACTTGAACAACAAGAAGCCAAGGCAAAGTTGTTAGCTGAGAAGCAAGCGAAAAAGAGACAACAAGAAGCAATAAAAGCGCAAAAGGAAGCTGAAAAATTGGCCAAAATGAAAATAAAGCCAAGTGATTTATTCAAAGATGACAAATTGTACAAGGAATATGACGAGATGGGAATTCCTACAGTTGATGCTAATGGAGAAGAGATTAGCAAGAGTATGAGGAAAAAATTGCTTAAGCAATACCAGCAACAAGAAAAGCTTTATGATGAGTATTTGAAGTTGAATAAGTAAATGAATAAATAAATCAACACTATCGACACTATCGACACTATCGACACTATCGAGCAGAGCGAGATAGTGGAGCATACTGACCTCTTACATACATGGACACTATCGAACAAACCTGTGTTTGACACTATCGAGCAGAGCGAGATAGTGGAGCACACTGACCTCTTACATACATGGACATAGACACTGACCTCTTACATACATGGACATAGACACTGACCTCTTACATACATAAACACTGACCTCTTACATACATAGACACTATCGAGAAAACCCGTGTGCTCCACTATCTCGCTCTGCTCGATAATGGAACACACTGACCTCTTACATACATAGACACTATCGAGCAAACCCGTGTGTCAATTGATAAATAAATAAATAAGCTTTGTCGTAAAAGAAGGCGAGAAAAAATGAGAAAAGCGAGAAAAGCGGATGCTACCATTTGTTTGTCGGAAAAAAGATTTTCTGTCGTAAAAAAAAAGAAAAATGAGAAAAGCGAGAAATGGGGGGCTACCATTTGCTTGTCGGAAAAAAGATTTCCTGTCGCGACAATACTCGAGGCTCTTTTTCTTCTTTTTTTTGTTTCGACGCGTCGCGACGCGTCTCTAATTTTTTTTTTTTCAATTTTTCAATTTTCCATTTCTTCAACCTTTTGAACAACGTTGGGGTTTAAAACGTTGAGTGTAGTGGCAAGCCATTGGCGAATTACTGAAGGTTCATGGGTCGGTTAATTGGAATAGAGCTTTATAACTTCAAGTCGTACAGAGGGAAGGCCGTCATAGGGTTAGGCACCTCGAAATTCACGTCAATCATTGGTCCTAATGGTTCAGGTAAATCCAATTTGATGGATGCAATATCATTTGTGTTGGGTGTTAGCTCTTCGCAATTGCGATCACAGAGTGTTAAGGATTTGATATACCGAGGACGTAAAAGCAGGGAGACGGGTGATGATGATAACGATACGCTATCGGACAAATTTGAGAGAGATCCCCAGACAGCTTATGTAGTAGCGACATACGAGAGGGAAGACGGTGAAATTCTAAAATTCAAGAGGAACGTTTCGATAAATGGGTCAACAGAATACCAAATCAATGGCAAATCCGTAACGAGACTCAATTATACGCTGGTGCTACAACTGGAGAACATTTTGATAAAAGCTAGGAATTTTTTGGTTTTCCAGGGTGATGTTGAACAAATTGCATCTCAAGCGCCAAAAGATCTCACGTCAATGATTGAGCATATTAGCGGATCAAAAGAATATGCCAAAGAGTATGACAAACTAAAAGATGAGATGGAAAAAGCCCATGAAGTTACAAATAGTTTATTTTCAAGAAAGAGGACTTTAAATTCCGAATCTAAGCAGTATAAAGAACAAGCTTCAGAGCAACGTCAATTTGAAAAACAGCTCATCTTAAGAAATGACATAATCAAAAAGATAAATTTGTTCAAACTCTATCATAATGAAAAGAAGCACTATCAGTTGCAAGATAGCATCAAAGAAAAGAGTACTGATTTGAAAAGGTTGAAGGAGGAAATGCGTTTAAAGGAAGCAACATTCAAATCATTAACTGCAGATTACTCCAAATCAGTGTTGGAGCTTAAAGCTCATGCTAAAGAGATTGACAATTGTAAGCAAAAAATAGAATCAACTAAGCGAGATCTAATCCCCGTTAATACCAGCAAATTATCATTGGAATCCAAAATCGAGTCGCAGAAGCGTAAAATATCAGATTTGGATCTGGAACTCGACTCTCAACAATTGCAGATAAAAAGCTTGATGCGACAGTTGAAGGAATCACAAAAATTGTTCAACGAATTTGAAGAGGAGAACAACAACAAGAATGCCTCACTTAATGAGTTGTCCTCCTCACTGAAAGTGCCAAAAGAAGGACGTATAGAATACGAAATATTGAGGTCTGACTATTTGGCTTCAAGCGGATCAGACTTGGAAGAGCAACTTTCCTTATTTTTAACTGAAAAGGAGAAAATAGCTGCAAGTATAAGGAGTCTTGAAAATCAAAAGTCCAATGTAGCTGGCAGGATTCATGAACTTAAGTCAGAGCTCAATTTGAATTTGAAACCAAAACTTGATGATATGGTAAATGAAATCAATCAAGTATTGAATAGCAAAGCCGAAAAGGTTCAAGTTCGTGACAAGCTAATTGAAGAAAAAGATAGTCACAACAAGCAAGAGCTTCAAATAAACACAAGGTTACGAGATGTATTATTGAAATTGGAAGAGTTGTCTTGCCAGCAGCGTGAATCCAATAAACAAAAGAAATTAAGAGAAAACGTGTCCATATTGAAGAGATTATTACCAGGAGGATCAATCAAGGGAATAGTGCATGAATTAGTCGAGCCTTCTCAACGAAAATACGAATGTGCATTGCTGACATTATTAGGCAGAAATTCTGATGCAATCATTGTTAAGAGTGCAGCTACAGCTTACAAGTGCATTGAAATCTTAAAAGAAAGACGTGCCGGTTTGGCAACTTTCATACCATTGGACTCAATTGAATCTGAACCAATTGATCTTAACTACTTGAGATCCATAAGTGAAGGTGGTGATACAGTTCCGGGTGTAGATGTGGTTGAGTATAGTGACAAAGAGTTAGAACCAGCCATTAACTACATCATTGGCAACACCTTGGTCACAAAAGACATAGCAGTTGCAAGATCTCTTAGATGGAATTCCAATCTTTCTTTTGAGAATAAAATCATTACACTTCAAGGCTCGGTAATACACAAGTCTGGGCAGATGACCGGTGGTTACCAACAGCAAAAGTCGTCAGCAAGTGTTAGCTGGGACAAACAAGAGTGGAGGAGATTAAATGAACAAAAAGAAAGTTTACTCAATCAATTGGCAAAGTTGCAAGAGTCTAAACCAAAGGAAATGGAAATTAAGATGTTGGCCGAGGAAATCAGTTTGTTGGATGACAAGCTTCCTACATTGAAAAATCAAAAAACGAGTGTGGAGAGAACCATTAAAGAACGAGAAGACGAAATTGCATTTCAAAGTCAACAATGTGCTGAATTCAAAACTGCTATACAGAACAATGAGTTAAAGTCTAGGGATATCGATACGAATGTTTCACGAGTTTCTGAGCGCATCAAAACTTTGAAAGATGGAATATTTGAGAACTTTTGTGTCAAGTGGGGGCTTGAAAATGGAATTAGTTCCTATGAAGAGTTACATGATGGTAGTAGCGCAAGAGCAAGAACCAAAGAGAGATTACAGTTTGTAAAAGCTGTATCAGTTTTGAACAATAAGGTAAATTTTGAAAAAGCCCGATATCAAGAAACTGAGCGCAGAAAGAATGCTCTACAGAACCAAATCTCGGACTTGGAAAAAGATATGGAGAATGTTATAAATCAACAAAAAACGTTGATGGAGAAGTTGGATGTTTTTGAAGCCGAACTTGATATTTTGAAAGCAGAAAAGAATAAAATATACTCCAAGTCGCAGTCAAAGTCCAAAGTCTCCAAATCGGTTGAAGCCGATATCAACGAACTTTGTCTTGAAATATCTGCATTGGCGAAACTGATTATTCAACAAGAGGAAACTTTACTAAAGGTTGATACTGACAGAGGTAACTTGTTGAAAAATTGCAAGATACAAAACATTTTTGTACCTTTGCTAAGTGACGGCGACCTCAGCACAATTCCTGTTGTTGGAGATGACTCAGAAGAAGCAATGGAGGTTTTGTATAACATCAAAGTTGACTATGAAATGCTTGATGATAAGTACAAGGAATCAAATAATCCGCGGGTTGAGATTGAGCTTGAAGCCTCGTTGCAAAGTACTATTGAGATCTTGGAAAAACTAACACCTAATAGCAAAGCTATGGAGAGGTTTAAAGATGTAGAGGAGAGACTCAGAAGTTACGATATGGACTATAGCGCTGCTAGACAGAATGAGCGGAAAGCTAGTGAAAAGTTTAGAAAAGTCAAGGATTTAAGGTATGAAAAATTTATGCAAGCTTTTAATCATATTTCCGGTTGTATCGACTCTACATATAAGGAGTTAACAAAGTCTCGCATGTTCAATATGGGAGGTTCTGCATATTTGATGTTGGAAGACGAAGATACCCCCTTTTTATCAGGTGTCAAATATCATGCGGTACCTCCAATGAAAAGATTTGAGGACATGGAATTGTTGTCAGGTGGTGAGAAGACTATAGCGGCCCTAGCCTTGCTTTTTGCTATACATTCATTTCATCCTTCCCCCTTCTTTGTACTAGACGAAGTTGATGCTGCATTGGATAATAGTAATGTTGCGAGAATCGGTAACTTTATTAAAAATCATGCAAGTCAAAACCTACAATTCATTGTAATTTCTTTAAAAAGCAACCTTTACGAGAAATCGGATGCTCTAGTTGGAATCTATAGAGAGCAAAGAGAAAACTGTTCAAAAACCGTGACTCTTGATTTGAGTCAATACCAGGATGAAGAGCAACCAATACGTCTGGAAACCGCAGTTGCCACTTGATAGTATCTATATAACTGTAAAGATTATATATAGATATATGTATACCTGGAACTTAGAATTGTGAATTCGCCAACTCCATCTCTTCAATATATCCTTTATGACTGATTATTATGGGTACTGCTTATGGGTATCGCTTAAGGGAATTGCTTATGGGTATCTCTTAAGGAGCTTTTCTTAAGGGGCTTTTCTTAAGGGGTATTTCTTAAGGGGTATTTCTTAAGGGGCTTTTATTTTTTTTTCACTTGAAGCTCATCGCATCCAAGAATACTTTAATGGTTGGAGGATGCACCATCTTCATCACTTGATGTTGCGTCGAGTTTGTGCTGTTGCAGCTTGTAAATACCCACGTGTAGCTGGTCTTGGTCTATGTTTCTACTCGAGTACTTTACAAGTCCCCCAACGACAGCAGAGGCTACTGAATTTCTTGAATACATTCAAGAAGACCAAGAGAAGAAAGGATGTTTCTGATGCCACGCATCCCAGTAATATTACAGTACTTGAGATCAAGCAATTTTTACAAGAATATGCCAAAGAAAGCGGTTCAGATATATTGTTTGAGGATATTTGTAATCAGTATGATATCATCAAGGCATTTCTACCAGCACAGCGACAAGAACATGTCCTCTCCAACATTAAAGTTTGGCGCACCACTTGCAATGGAGACGGGATAGCAATAATACCCAAGTCAATGTATTGTTTTGAGTATACAGATTCTGAAAGCATTTTGGACAAGTATACCATAGTTCTAATTCCCAAGACAACCACGGGCGATAAGGTTAGGGTGTTGTTAAAGATGCATCACGAGTTTTATGCAGAAGGCGAGTTGATCGAGGTGACTAATGCAAATTCCAAGCATTCAAAGAGGAACGACGAGTTGGTGTTGTGCAAGCACTTTCGAGAGTGCAATGGCTGCCAATTGCAAATGTTGTCTTACGAGGAGCAGCTCAAGTTCAAGCAAGATGTCATAAAAAGGGCATTTTCCTATTTTTATCCTCAACTATCAATGAAATCCAACTTTGGTACGGTTGTAGGATCTCCGTTGCAATATGCATACAGGACGAAATTGACGCCTCACTTCGAGGTAAGAGACGGCAAGAACACGAAATTGGGATTTAAGCATGTAAATAATAGAGGAAAGTTGGACATTGAGCATTGTCCTATTGCCACTGTGGAGATAAATGAAAAATTGTCAAAGGCTAGAGACAAGTATTTGAATGAAGCCCCAATGGGACAACTCACATTACGACAGAGCTTAAGAGTTGATCACGGTACTGGTGAATTTATTCCAATAGCACTTGAGGGTCAAGATAAAGTTGTAGCCGAGAGAATTGAGGATTTTGTTTACCAGTTTGGTTCAAATTGCTTTTTTCAAAACAACAGTTCTATATTGTCTTTGGTTTTAGATTTGATCCGTTATCATTTGAAACAGTTGTCCAAACCAGTAACAAATATAGTTGACACGTATTGCGGTGTTGGTTTTTTTGGTATCGCATTATCACAGTTGCATCCGGAGATCAATGTGTTTGGCATCGATGTGAGCGAGTGGAGCATAAAATATGCACAGCATAATACCAAGTTGAACGGATTGGATCCAAAAAGAATTCAGTTTATTTTAGGTGACGCTTCAAAGATTTTCCAAAATGAAGATTTTGAAAAAGCCGGAATAAAAGGTGAAGATAGCGTCGTTATCATAGATCCGTCAAGGAAAGGATCAAATGAAGCCTTTTTAAAACAATTAGTCCAATTCAATCCTGCAATTATCATTTATATCAGCTGTAATGTGTTTACACAAGCTAGAGATTTGGCTACATTTGAAAAACTACAAGGTGAGAATGTAAAGTATGTTTTGGAGAATGTTGTGGGTTTTGATTTCTTCCCCCAAACAAAACACGTTGAATCTGTGGCAATATTGAAAAGAGTTTGAAAAACAAACTCCATACAAATACATACAGGGATTGTACCGGCTATCAATATTCACCGGCGCTTTTCAACAACTCATCAATAACATTAAGCATTGCTTCGACACCCCAAGATATTCTCATCCTTTGTTTTCTCCCTAATATAATATCACTGTTTTTCACATTTGTCGGTAGGAAATATTGTAAGCCTCTTAAAAGCGTGATCTCATCTTTAGCCTTTATTACTCTTTCAATCAATAACCTATCGTCAAATACGAGGTCATGTTTGGAGCTTTTATCTATAATCAACCCAGAACCAACTGAATTCTTTGTGGATTTTTTACCGAGCTGGTTTAAAAAGCTCACAAAAACCACTTCAGCAAACAATACGGAATCCATTGAGGTTGTTATAAAGTTGAATGTTCGAAGACTATGTAAAGGTAATGAATTTTCGGCTAACAAGTATCCATATAGTCTTCCCAAGTTCATAATCTTTTGCAACTTAGTTTCTTCATCAACATCGTTCAACCCCATGAAATTGGTTTCTTCTTCATCATCATCGCCATTGTCACCGCCACTGTGACCATCGAGCTCTTTGATTAGATCCCACAACATAAACTGGAATGTCTTTTTCAATGAGTGTGAGTCACATAACTTATTTGCCAAAATCGCGTAGTACGGATTCCACGATGGTTCCATTGTGGCACAATGTATCAACACCTTTGGTATATCACGCTCTTGGGCCCTTTTGAGAGCTAATTTATCCAATTTAGTTTTTGCATCAATATAATCAGTTGCTGACATTATTGAAATGAATATGGCTCGACGAATATCTGTATTCATTCTTTGTGCTTTAGCAAGCGCCATCCAGTTTGGTTCTGCCGTATCGAGAATATCACTTAATGCTACTTGGTCCACCACTACAGATTTGGAATCATTGCTTGCACCAGGAGTGGTGATACTATCATGCCCCTTCCAAGCAGATCCTACTAACCACCACTTTCCCCTGGTTTCAATGCTTTCAATATCCTCCAAAGAAGCTTGTATTGGTTCTCCGCCTAAGTTATTATTGATATGTCCCAAGAATTTCTTCAACCTGATGGATAATTGATGATTACCCTCATTCAACACTTTTAGCTTGTTATTCTTTAAAGATGATATTGTTTCAACCAAGAACTGAATTCTTGTATTTTTGGCTTCAGAAGGTAAACTTGCATATTTTTCGTTAAGTAGAAGCACAATATCCTTCAAGGAAGTAGGATCATCTGAGCGCATTAGGTTTCCCAGACTTTGAATCAACCTCAATAACAAATCGGCATTGCTTTCGTTTAAATTAATAATTAATTGCTTGATTAGATCGTATAATAGCCTTGATGAAACTAAATGAAACAAGTAAACAGAAGATAAAAGTGAGATTATATTTGAAGCTTCTTTGGAATTTGTCCTTGTAAGATGATACTCCTTGAACTTCTCCACTAATCTCTGAATGAAATATGCTCCAAATTCGACACCTTGTAATCGATAGAGTGCAACAACAACAGTAGCATGTAAGTAAACAAACGTATCCAAAAGACGACCTTGTTGTATGATACTATCAAGTATGATTTTGGTAATCTCCTCGTTGAGAACTTGCCTGGGGTGTGACATAAAAAGTGTTTGTAAATCATTAACAACTGTATTTATATTGGCTTCAGAAAGCTTGTTCAAAGGACCTTTGATTAGTTTACGAAGGTTTAGTAAGTCAGCAGAATCTCCATTAGATGTTTCCAAGGCCATCTTTCGACGTAATGCAGGCGGAACGTATTTTTGAGTCAATGAATCTGTCTCATCCGAACCACCAGGTGCAACATACGGATTCTCTTTTTCTCGTTCCTCCTCTTCAGAATCCTCCTCTATAGAATCCTCCTCTTCAGAATCGTCAACATCGTTAACCTCGCCTCTATCCTCAACCGTATTCGACTTAGAATCAGTATCGAAAGAAAAATCAAGTCCTTCCAATAAATCATCCAACCCATCGTCTTCATGACCCTTTGGTAACCTGTCATTCTTCTTAAGCCCTAGTTTCTTAGCATAATACTCGATATCGTTGTCGTCATTATCCCAAGAAAAAAAATCTGGTGTAGCAAATTTATCTTCCTTCTCCGTGTCAGTTTTGAGTCCTTTCAATCTTTTCAAATCATAGCCATCATGTTTCTGGTCCAGCTCACTTTCTTCTTCACCATCATCATCAAGCAGTTCATATACATCATCATCGTCAAGCAGTTCATATACATCATCATATTCATAGTCTTCTTTTGTTGCTCCTCTTGGAGCCATGGGAGTGGTCTTTAAAATCAGTTTTAGTTTTCCATTAGTTTTATTTACATCATTGTCAAACCCTTCAAATTCGGACTCCTCCTCTTCATCCTCTTCCATACTTGACCACTCATCATCCAAATCTTCCTCTTTCACTATCCTTAACTTTTCTCCATCATCATTATCCCTTTTGGCCAACTTTTTCATTTTCAACAAGCGTAAAGTTTCCAAAGGATCTGTAGTTTCGCCTGGACTAAATTCCTCCTCCTCAGAAAGTTCCACATCCTCAGAAAATTCCTCCTCCTCAGAAAGTTCCACATCCTCAGAAAATTCATCACCTGAAAGCTCGTCGTCTTTATCCAAATCCTCTTCCTTGACAATTCTAATATCCTCTCTCTTGCCATTTTTATTCCTTTCTCCTTTTAATTTCTTCAACTGTACTAATGGATCATCTTTATCTTCTTGCTCTTTTTCAGCCCTTTTCAGCTCTTTTTCAGCCGCTTTCAACCCTTTCAGCCCTTTTCTTGACACATTTCCTTCTAATTTCCTCTTTGCTTCTTTTAATTTCCGTAGTTGTTGCAACGGATCGTCTTCCAGCAGTTGAACGGGTTTGTTTCTCATTACAACACTATCTCGCTCGGCTCGATAGTGGAGCACGGGTTTGTTTCTCGTTACAACACTATCTCGCTCCGCTCGATAGTGTTGTTTTTGCTTCTTTTTCAATCTCTCCTCTTTCCTCTTTTCCTTCCTACAAAGTGGTTTCTGTGCATTCCTTTTCCTCTTGTGTCCTTTGGGTATTTGTCCCATAATATATCTAGAGTCATTCAGATCATACTCACCATTGGCTTCTTTAGCATTGATTTTTTCCAACAACTGAGTAGGAAGTCGCATAGACTGCGCCCCACCATCAACATCAGTCATCGTCATTATACAAACCACCCTTCTTCTTACCAAAAACCTCTTTTTTCACCTTGCTCCTCCTCATACAATGCCTCTAGGACTCTTTGAGATGAGATGAGATGAGCATCGCAAAAGGAAAAAAAAGTGAAAAATTCGACATATGGTAGCATAAATCAGTGGTAGCATGTAACATATGGTAGCACTTGACATCTGGGTTAGGTCTTAACATATGGTAGCTACTTCCTTTTTTTTTTTATTCAGAAGCAAAGCGAAAAGAAAAAAAAAAAAAAAAAAAACGTTGGGGGAGTGTGTGGCCCAATGGGGGAGGCGGTGGGGCGCGCGGGCACGACGCTTGCACGCGCGCTCGCTTGCCTTTATTGGACTCACCTTTTTGTTATATAGGCTTTGATATATAGGCTTGATATATAGGCTTGATATATAGGCTTGATATACGGGGGTTAGAAGAGTAGTATCAGCAGTAGTAGTAGTACCTGGGGGTTCAGAGGTGTGTTTTTTTTCAAAAATGTTCAACAGGTTCAAGTTAGATCTTGGGAAGTTTAAGGTTGATCTTAAAGTACTTGGTGATCTTCTAGTTTTAGCTGGTGCGGGTTTATCAGTGTACTACTTATTAAATGCGATAATAAATGAATATTTGGACAATACGATAAAGAATAAGCTGGCGGATAAGAAAGGTGCTGGGATATTGAAGAAGCTTCAGAGTAGCAATCCTCACTTGAAGAATATATCGCTCAATCAGTATGAGAAGTCGCTTCTTAGTTCCTTGGTTACACCTGAAGAGATATCCGTTACATTTGAGGATATTGGAGGGTTAAAGGATATTATCGATGAGCTAAGAGAAGCTGTTATTTTGCCCTTGACAGACCCCGAGATATTTGCGGCGCATCTGAACTTAATCAGCTCGCCCAAGGGCGTATTGTTTTACGGCCCGCCCGGCTGCGGCAAGACTATGTTGGCCAAAGCTATTGCTAAGGAAAGTGGCGCCTTTTTCCTTTCGATCAGAATGTCGACTGTTATGGACAAATGGTACGGAGAGTCAAATAAAATAACTGATGCTATATTCTCGTTGGCAAACAAGTTACAGCCATGTATAATATTTATCGATGAGATTGATTCCTTTTTGAGAGATAGATCATCAAGTGACCATGAGGTGAGCGCCATGTTGAAAGCCGAGTTTATGACATTATGGGACGGCTTAAAGTCGAACGGGCAGATTATGGTCTTGGGAGCAACAAACAGGAAGAACGATATCGACGAGGCGTTTTTAAGAAGAATGCCAAAAACGTTTGCTATTGGGAAACCCAATGCAGAACAACGCAAAGCCATTTTATCAAAGATACTTAAAGATGCCAAAATCGACAAGGAGAAATTCGATTTGGATTATATCGTTCAAAACACAAGAAATTTTAGTGGTTCAGATTTAAGAGAGTTGTGCCGAGAAGCGGCAATTTTACCAGTGAGAGAGTATATCAAGGAAAACTATGATTACAAAAATGGCAAACTCAGTCGAGATGAAAATGACGACTTGCCAGTTAGAGCATTGAAAACATCTGATTTTGAAAAAGTCAAGTCTGTTGCCTCTGCTGAAATGACAAGTATTTCAAGTCTAGCACTTGATTAAGGCGACACTATCGAGCAAAGCGAGCTAGTGGAGCAACACTGACTAGCGACACTATCGAGCGAAGCGAGCTAGTGGAGCAACACTGACTATCGACACTATCGAGCGAAGCGAGCTAGTGGAGCAACACTGACTATCGACACTATCGAGAGAAGCGAGCTAGTGGAGCAACACTGACTATCGACACTATCGAGCGAAGCGAGCTAGTGGAGCAACACTGACTATCGACACTATCGAGCGAAGCGAGCTAGTGGAGCAGTACTTTGTAGCAGCACTGACTGACTATCGACACTATCTCGCTTCGCTCGATAGTGTCGATAGCGTCACTGTCGCCGTATCACGTGATGAATTCTTTTTTCAATTGTATAACCCAATTCTTATTTTTAGTGTGAAAATTTTTCACTAGTACCACTATAGTAGTTTTCAATAGTATAGCTAGTGCTGCTCCAGTGACTAGTGACACTATCGCTCTGCTCGATAGTGGAATACTGGCTATGTATATGTGTCTATAGACTGGAATAATATATTAGTTCTCTGACACCAATATTTATTCTCTAGCATTGGGATCGTTTTTTTGACGTTCTCTTTACTAGGCCTCTTCGAAGATCCTTATACCCAGTAAATGGTATAATGATTCAAAGCGAGGCCCAAATGGAAATATCACAGATTAACTTGGCTGCTATCGTTGAGAATTAAAGGAAATCTTTATGTTTCATGGTAGTTGGCAAGATGGTAATGTAATTGCTTTATCAGTGAGACACCTACAAGCCTCACTATCGAGCGAAGCGAGATAGCGGAGCATTGAACAACGACACTATTAAACAACGACACTATTGAGTAACGACACTATCGAGCAGAGTGAGATAGTGGGGCACTGTCTGCCACCGATACACTCGAGGTGTAAGTTTTACGTTTTTCATAAGGGACAAGTACAAAAGAGTCCACTATCGAGCAGACAAGATAGTGGAGCACAGTGAGTAGCAACACTATAGAGCAAAGCTAGTCAGTGTCATCACAAGCTAGTCAGTGTCATCACAAGCTAGTCAATATTGCTCCACTTTGCTTTGCTCGATAGTGTCGCCAAATCTTTTCCCATTTTATGAATATGAATATAAATATATGAGTTCCCAACCATATAATCTCTAGAGGAACTTTAACGCCGTTTTAACCACGGCCTCCAAGTAGTAAAATTCTCCCATAACTATCGAGCAGAGCGAGATAGTGGAGCAGAAATGACTAGCTTCTACTCCATCCACTCTATCACAGCACTCTACCACTACAACTCACTACTACCACCACTACAACTCACTACTCTACCACCACAGCTCACTACTTCACCACTTGACTCTACTACTACAACTCACCACTCCACCACTTGACTCTACTACTCCACTTACTACCACTCCACTACTACCACCACAGCTCACTACCCTAACTCACCGCTCAATAACTCCACCACACCACTCCTCCACTCCACTCTACTTACAACCACTTTACTATTTATATGTCACCGAGCAAGCTGTCAGTTTGAATCTGATGAAATGCTTTATAGTCAATTTTACATATCGCTAGTCGCTCGCATTTTGGCTCGCTAGTCGCTCGCATTTTGGCTCGCTAGTCGCTCGCATTTTGGCTCGCTAGTCGCTCGCATTTTGGCTCGCTAGTCGCTCGCATTTTGGCTCGCTAGTCGCTCGCATTTTGGCTCGCTAGTCGCTCGCATTTTGGCTCGCTCGCCCGATTGGTGCGCACTTAATTGAAAAATTGCTACCAAATTGATCATTAAAGTAAATATGAAGCCTTTTAATTAGTAATATAAGATAATTAGCTGATTATAAGAATTAGCTTATTACAAGGGATTGGCTTATAAGGATTGGCTGGTGGTTAAAAGAGTTGGTAAGGTATCTTTTCATCTTGGTTATATCTTTCTGCACAGTGCTATTGGTCACTTGGTTCTGGTTCTTGCTTTTGAAATTTTTGTCCTAGTATTGCTATCAAGTGCTGGCGGTTAGATTTTCAAGTGCTGGTGGTTCTAATATCAAGTGCTGGTGGTTATCAAGTGTTGGTGGTTACATTATCAAGTGCTGGTGGTTCCAATATCAAGTGCTGGTGGTTATCAAGTGCTGGTGGTTCCAATATCAAGTGCTGGTGGTTCCAATAGCTATCAAGTGCTGCTCCACTATCTCGCTCTGCTCGATAGTGTAGGTTTACTATTACAACATGTCTCAAAAAATGAGATATTTGGAGCTAGTTAAGCCTCCAAGACAAGCGCAAGCTTACAACTCGGTAAGCTTACACTGGCGCCGGTATCACTCAACAGATATAGAAAATCTCAAAAAGCAGTCTGACTCGACCGAAAGCGACAATTCAGTATTAGCCACTGGTGTTATTGATAAGGAGAGCAATGAAGTCCTATTATACTATTCGTTTGCTGGTTCTCAAAATTTAGCAAGACAGTATCTTTCTAGACTTGTATCACCAAAAATTACTAGTGACAATTTACGAAAAAGGGTTGAAAAAGTGTCCTCGCCATTACCCAAGGATGCCTCAATTACTGAGTTGGTGCCGTTACCTAGAGATAGTGGCGCTTTTGTGAAATTCAAATATCCTCCATTGGTGGCAGCAAAGGACTTCTTAAACGAGATAAGACTGAACGTCATCGAATACGATAATAAAAGGCTCGATAACATTTTCAAGCGAGTGTTCAACTATGTCTGGAATAAATCTCCTCAAGTCTATACTGTTAAGGGAGTACCTTGGATTGAGGATTTGAAAAGGTTCCCAAGTGCCAAACTCGGCATAACATACGAAGGAAACCCACTTACAGAAGAAGAATTATATGTCTTGTTTAGAAGGTACGGTTTGATTGATGATATCAAAGTTTCAGCAAATGGTGGCGGAGGCGCAGCAGCATCATACGTGTTCTTTCACAATGTTAGGTCAGCTACTTGTGCTAAGCATTGTATTACTGGTATGGAATTGAATCATGGTGAAACCACAATCCATATACAATACGTTCCAGTTAAAAAGACCAATTTCTTGGTGAAAATGATCATGGATCATACAAAAATTGCATTGCCTATAATATTAGCTCTTTTAGCAACTTTTGCAGTTTTGATATTTGATCCAATTAGAGAGAGGTTCATACAATATAAAATAACCCATAGTGGCCACATTTTGGATCAGTATAGAGACAGCAGATTGTTCAAGTTGTTTTACGTTCCTTACAAGAAACTCACTGATGCGGTTTCCAGCAGTTATGATTACATAGATAATCAACTACATGAGGTAGCTGGAGTCAAAGTTAAGAATTCTGGAGATGATTATGATGATACCAGTGACGATGGAAATTCTACTTCAACAATGCAAGAAAGAAAGCTAGAAAGTAATATGCTTTGGCAAGAGCGGTTTGAGAAATCTAAACAATTGAAATTATGGATAAAAGAGAATATTGATACGTTTATCATTGTAAAAGGTCCACCGGGATCAGGAAAAGAAGAATTTGTTTTTGATCATACATTGGCATCTGATGCAAAACTAAAGAAACGAGTCTTGTTTTTAGATTGTGACGAGTTTAGTAAAGCGAGATCAGAGAATAGTCTTATAGGTCACGTTGCTTCACAATTGGGTTATTTCCCTGTTTTTACATGGACCAACACGATTTCTCAGTTTGTTGATTTGGGAGTTCAAGGTTTAACTGGACAAAAATCTGGATTGAGTGAAAGTAAAGAAACACAATTAAAGAATATGTTTGGCTTGACTACTCAAGCAATTAGGCATATTACAGATACCGATTACCAGCGATATGTCCAATCAGTTGAAAAAAGAAACCGTAAATTGAAAGATGATGAAAAGATTGAAGTTTTGAAACAAGAAGAATTTTTGACTCAATTTCCTGAATCGAAACCAATTATTGTTATCAATAAGTTTTCCAGGAGAGCCGATATTTCATCAAATGATTTCATATACCCATTAATTGCCGATTGGGCATCCGGATTGATTCAAAATAATATTGCACATGTTATATTCCTGACTGCTGATGTGGGATCACTTCAACATTTGACCGATGCCTTACCTAATCAAGTGTTCAAGACAATATCTCTAAGCGATGCTTCCATAGCAAGCTCAAAGCAGTATATTTGTGACGCTTTGAAGCTCAACGATACAGTTGCTTTGGATAGATGTATTGCGCCATTAGGTGGTCGTATGTTGGATTTGCAGGCTTTTATCCGTCGTATCAAGTCGGGAGAACATCCACCACAAGCAATTGAAGAGATGGTCACCCAAGCTGCTGAACTAATTACCACTGTTTTCCTCCAAGGACACAAATTTCACAATGATGATACCGTTTGGAATCCGTCACAAGTTTGGTTGATTATGAAGCTATTACTGAAATCAGATGCAATAAGCTATGACAGTTTAGTCAAACTGCCATTATTCAAAAAATCCCAACAAACTTTAGATACTTTAACAGCATTGGAGAAGTACGATTTGATTTCATTAGAAAGAGATAAAGGTGTATTGGATAAGATATCTACAGGACGACCACTCTTCAAAGCAGCATTTGAGAACATTGTACTGGATGTTAGGATTTGGAAGTTATACGAAACTGAATATTTGACCAACTTAATTGCTATCGAAGTTGCCAAATTGACCAAATTTGAAAATGAATTGACCAGTATTTATAAGATTGGTAAGATTAATGGGAAAATTGATGGCAGGATTGATTATTTATCTAGAAAGATTGAAGGCTCAAATAAGAATATTGAGGCGTATGAGAAGGAAATCAAAGAAATAGCTTCTTTCAATGTTGAGCGAAAGCATAATTCATTTCTAGGTATATTTTAATTGCTGATGATGGTAATGATGGTGATGATGATAATAATGATTATAATGCTTTTTTTTATTTTTATTTTTATTTTTATTTTTATTTTAGTAGTAAATTATTCAACATTTCATACACAATTCGCCTTCTTAAAGTTTTCATATCTGTTTGCGAATAGTTCAACTCCTTATTTTCAGCAATGTATCTTGCTGCGACTAATGTAAAAACTCCACAATCTGTGCCATTTCGTTGCTGCGGAGCTTTTCTTGAAGGAACCAATTTATAAGTTATTGAATCACGACCTAGTCTTTGAGCTTCTTTATCCATATACATTTGTAGATTTGAAACGGCTTCGATATTGCCTCTTCCTGAACCATCTAATGAATCATAATACACTATACTCTTCTCTTTATTGTCAATCACAGCTAGAGCCCAATGAGTGTTATGAATATTAACAGGAACCAAAATTTTTTCCATTGTGAACAAATCCAATTTTTTCCTCTTTGCCCATCTTTCAACTCCCTTGTATCCTCGTTCCTCTAAAGTTGTATAAAAATGTGTTGTCCATCCAAATATACGGGGAATTTCTTGCATTATCAAATTGATATAAAAATCTATTGCATTGTCATTTAACCATCGATTATCTTTTAGTGTTTGTATATCGCCTGCTACTAATTCGATGCTATATTTAACAACATACAATTTTCTTGGATTCGATTCCCAAGCTTGATAAACTTGCTTTAATTGCTCATCGGTCAATTTTTGAACTGCAGTGGTTGTTGTGCTTGTTTCTAATCTCTTTTTTGTTATCAAGTCTTGAATTTTAGCTTGAGTTTGTTCAAAAGTTGACGTGATCTTCTCCTTGCGAATGTTTGAAATAAGAGTATCCAATATTGAAGGTGATGTGGTAGATAGGAGTTTAGTATGCGCATAGTAATTTAGTACCGATTCTTGGTATTTTGTTATAGGTTTTGGTGGTATGCCGAATTGACCAATGCTGGACAGTGCTGTTGAAGTAGCTTTAACCATGTTGGACAGTGCTGTTGTAGCTTTAACCATGTTGGATAAAACAGTAGCTGCGGGAAGATTATACTGGATTGGTTTTGCAATTGAAAAGTCTGTGCCATATTGGGAAGAAACTGGTTTAGCATTGGATTGTAATCTTTTGATAGCCATCCCTCGTAGCGCCCGACCAACATTTTGCATCTCGTCGTGTCTATCATGTTCCAGTGAGCTTAAAGTCCAATTCCCACCATCACCAAAACCAAAACCATCACCAAAACCATCACCATCGTAGTCAACCAAGATACTGTTTTCACGTAGTCGCGGAGATGTTTGTTTATTTACCAAGTGGTAATCGTTTGTGATGAAATCTTGTTTGCTGATAATCTCTATATCTGAAATGTCGTTAGATTTTGATTCATTGTTTAGCATCTTTGTTTGCTGGACATTCTTTTCGAGCAGCTGCTTGTATAAAAAAGGGTTATGCCTACTGCAATTCCCTAGTAGCGATAATAGATAAACTTTTAAACAAGATACAACTCGATTGATAAAGCCCCAAACCTCTTCTACCAGGGACGTTTTCGCCAGCTGTTGATTATCAAATAATTGCCTTACATCAATATGACCATCTTCTTCTATAAATATCCTCTCATTACGTACTATAGGGTTACCATTGTACATTTGTAACTAACCGTTTCTATATCCCAAAGCTCATTGAATCAAAGGTCCGCTTGAAGTTTTTGTGCAACAAAATCTGAAATTTTTCACCCAATGGTTGGTGAACTTGGTAGCGTTTGGTAAGTATAAGGAGAGTTTGTTGTACAGAGATGAAGGTGATGTGCTAAAGATGAACTGGTGGTGTGCTAAAGATGAATTGGTGGTGTGTTGGTGATGTGCTGGTGATGATATTTTGATGTTTCAAAGTGTGCCTTGGGGGAAGAGGGGGGGGAAGTCTGTTTTCAAGTGTTTAAACAGGGGGTAGCTAACACTTGGTAGCCTAGTCGCTATCGAGGAACGAGATAGTGAGTAGTCCCTACCTCTATGGGTTAGCCTACCTCTATGGGCTAACCTACAGCTATAGACCCACTATCGGGGAACAAGATGGTGAGTAGTCCCTACCTCTATGGGTTAGCCTACCTCTATGGGCTAACCTACAGCTATAGACCCACTATCGGGGAACAAGATGGTGAGTAGTCCCTACCTCTATGGGTTAGCCTACCTCTATGGGCTAACCTACAGCTATAGACCCACTATCGGGGAACAAGATGGTGAGTAGTCCTCTACCTCCTTAGGATAACCTACCTCTATGGGTTAGTCTACCTCTATGGACCCACTAAGGGACGAGATAGTGAGTAGTCCCTACCTCTATGGGTTAACCTACCTCTATGGGCTAACCTACCTCCTTAGGAGAACCTACCTCTATGGGTTAGCCTATCTCCTTAGGAGAACCTACCTCTAAGATAATATAGTTTATACTACTATACTAATCAGAGCAAAAGCGAGATACCTTACTCTCTAGACTAGACTAGTGAAACGAGTCTCTACTCTCTATAGACTACTCTAGTCTCTACTCTCTATAGACTACTCTAGTCTCTAGTCTCTCTAGTCTCTCTAGTCTCTACTTTCTAGTCTCTCTAGTCTCTACTTTCTAGTCTCTCTAGTCTCTACTTTCTAGTCTCTCTAGTCTCTACTTTCTAGTCTCTCTAGTCTCTACTTTCTAGTCTCTCTAGTCTCTACTTTCTAGTCTCTCTAGTCTCTACTCTTACTTTTGACAAGACTCGTTTCACTCGTCTAGTCCCTAGTCTATTATTCTGCTCTCTCCTTTCCATCATCTATACCCCTTTTGGGCTAACAAAGTCAAAGGAAATTTCATTCTCTACACTGTTTTCTCTAGTCTCACTAACTTTTACTTCTTCTCTTTGTAGACTATCGAGCAAAGCAATTGACTATCGAGCAAAGCGATTGACTATTGAGCAAAGCAGTTGACTATCGAGCAAAGCGAGATAGTCCACACTCTCTATCTACATTCTAGCTACACTCTATCTACACTCTATCTACAATCTAGCTACACTCTATCTACAATCTATCTACAATCTATCTACTCTCTATCTACTCTCTATCTACTCTCTATCTACTCTTTCTATCTACTCTTTCTATCTACTCTTTCTATCTACTCTTTCTATCTACTCTTTCTATCTACTCTTTCTATCTACTCTTTCTATCTACTCTTTTCATAGACTATCTCGCTTTGCTCAATAGTCTATCTCCTTTCTCTGCAGACTATCCAACTACATTTCATTTACGATATATATTACACAAGGAATTGAAATAATTTAAAAGTAAAAGTTTACCATATAAATATTGATTAAGCCAAATACATGATAAACTAAGCCAAATACAAATTAATCATCTGCAGACTATCTTTGGTCTCTTTATAGACTATCTCGCTTTGCTCGATAGTCTATATCTACCAATTAGTAAAATAACATGCAATAAAAGTATATATATAGAAAATATTCACACCCCTTTTGCATTTGCAATCACACAGAAAAGCCATTGCTACCCTTATCTCATAAAAAGTCATTGCTCTACAGCGACAATACCGACTAGCTTGTTACAACACTCTTGAGCAGATAGTACCAAAGAGTACTAAAGAGCAACTAGTTCATAGTAACTAGTTCATAGTAACTAATTAATAGTAATTAGTCACTAAGCTCCACTATCTCGCCTTACTCAATAGTGTTGCTATATTTTGCCGCATGAAAGGCGGCTCATAACCACTGTTTCCTGGCTTGTTATTAGACTCTTGACCAGATAACTAGCCAGTAGTGACCAAATAGAAACTAGTCAATATAAATTAGTTGATAGTAACTAGTCAGTAAGATCCACAATGGAGCAGAGCGAGATAGTGTCGCTCAATGATGTCGCTCGATAGTGTCGCTCGATAGTGTCGCTCTATAGTGTCGCTCAATGATGTCGCTCGATAGTGTCGCTCAATGATGTCGCTCTATAGTGTCGCTCAATGATGTCGCTCTATAGTGTCGCTTGAAAATGTTGGTATAGATAGTGTCGCTCAGTAATGTCGCTCGATAGTGTCGCTCGATAGTATCGGTGTAGACAATGTCAATAGTGTCGATAGTGTCGATATTGTCGATAGTTAGTGCTGCTCCACTATCTCGCTTCGCTCGATAGTGTCGCTCGATAGTGTCGCTCGATAGTGTCGCTTGATGATGTCGCTCGATAATGTCGCTCGCACGTGGGCGAAATATTGCATTAATTTTTCATCAAATCTAAAGAGAACTAATTAATTTTATATAGAAGGTACCAACACCAACGTAAAACAAAGTCTAAAGTTAAGTGGACAAGAAAAACTGGTTAATAAAAGGTGTTTGAAAAGTGATTTTTGGTAGCAATTGACTAACCGTTTTCAAGTATCTCTTATTTTTTTTTGTTTGGCATTTTATTAGGCGGTTGAAATAATTTTTGAATCCTATGGTTATGCTGGCAAGTAAGGATTCAAAAGGTGCAACTACTCTTGAAGAAGAAGGACAAGGACAAGGACAAGGACAAGGTACGAAAATGTTATTTAGCACGAAACTTGAGACTGAAACCTATCCTGAATGGAAGGACTACTACATCAAGTACAATCACTTGAAGAAATTGTTAAAAGAAGGTGTAATCTTGAAGAATAACTGGACAGATAAAGATGAGCAAAACTTTGTTTGCGCTTTGGATGAAAATTTGGAAAAAGTGTTTACTTTCCAACGTAACAAGTTTGACGAATTGAGTGAAGAGTTGAATAAATTGCAAGTTGAAACCGAAGCTGTTGATTCTTTTAATGTCGATGAGTTTTCCAAAAAATTGGATAACTTGTTAAATGAAGCTCAAAATTTGGAGCGTTTCCAAAGATTCAACTATACGGGATTTATCAAAATTGTTAAAAAGCACGATAGAATTCACCCTGGGTACTCAGTCAAACCTTTGCTAAATGTTAGATTGAAGAATTTGCCTTTCCATTCAGAAGACTATTCACCATTGTTGTACAAAATCGGTACCTTGTTCCAATTCTTAAGAGACAACTATGAGGTAGACCAATCGTTATCCAAATTATCCTCATTCAATGATGGGTCCTTGAGTGGCGAATTCCAATCGTTTAAATTTTGGATCCATCCCGATAATTTGATGGAGGTGAAAACTACAATTTTGAGACATTTACCTGTATTGATTTACAATTCCAAGCATAAGAATGGCAATGGCAATAATGATGATGATGACGATGATGACGACGACGACTATGAAGATGAGAATGACCCTGAAGGAAATGGAAGACATAAAGTAACTCAAACTGATCAAACCATCAATTGCCTATACTTTGATGACAAAAACTTTAGCCTTTACAATCACAAATTAACCAAATTAAATAATTCAGCAACATTGAGAATTCGATGGATTGGGAAACTATCCGATAAGCCAAAGATCACAATGGAAAAGAAACAATTTGATGTTAATTCCAATTTTCATATTGATGATAAAATTGAATTGAGACAAAAGTATATTAATCAATTTGTTATAAACAAGACTATACCTCCCAAATTTCTCAAGATTAATGATGAATCAAAAGTCAAGAGTTTACTCAAATTTATGGACGATAACAATTTACAGCCGGTATTGCGTACCACATACAAGAGAACAGCATTTCAAATACCTGGAGACGATAAAATTAGAATCATCATTGATTCAAATTTGACATTTATCAGAGAAGATTCATTTGACCCGCAATTGCCCATTAGAGACCCCAAGCAATGGCACCGCTTGGATTTGGACAATTCTATAAATGGACAACAATTTTTAAGAAAAGGAGAATATAACAAGTTCCCCTTTTCAACTATGGAAATAAAGATCAAAAAATCCTCAGTCAAGAATTTCAAAAAGTTGCAATGGATTAACGAATTGATTAATAGTTCTCATTTGGTCAAAGAGATACCCAATTTCTCTAAATTTATTCATGGTATTGCTATATTGTTTTTGGAAGATGAAAAATTGGATAATATTCCAATGTGGTTCAATGAGTTGGAAGGAGATATTAATGATGATTTATTAAAGGTACCACAAAAGATTAATAATGAGGGCATCACTGAGATAAGTCACGACGATAACTTATCTCGGTTTAAATCGATGATTTTAAAGAATAAAACATCCAATTTCCAACCCAGATCTGCTTCTTTTTCGGGAAGTTTATTATATAAAGAAGATGGGGAAGAAGAGTTTGATGGTAAAAAAATCAAACCAATTGAAGAGGAACAAGAGCAACAACAACAACAACAACAGGACTCCAAGGTGCCAATCAAGAAGTTACAAGATGAGCAACATCAACAACAGATCAATTTCACTACTGATGATCAATCTTCAGACTTTGATGAAGATGAAGAAGACGAAGAAGAAGATGATGATGAAGAAGGTATTGGTAAATCTGGTAAGTCGTTATCTAGGATTAGGAATTTATCAACCCAATTCTCCAAATTGGCTGGTGTTGACTCTGAGGATGAAGAGATTGATTTACCACCTGGTGTTGTGAAGCCAGAGCAATGGATTAAAAACATGGGACCAATCAAGATTGAACCAAAAGTCTGGCTTGCCAACGAACGTACATTCAACAGATGGTTACATGTGACGCTATTATTATCATCGTTGACTTTTATTATTTACAATTCACAAAACAGCTCCAACTTCAAAAACTTGAGTCTTTACTTGGCTTGGTTCTATTTTTTGTTAACAATATTTAGTTGTTTGTGGGCATACTACATTTACATTACCAGAAGAGGAATTATTTTGGAAAGAAGCAGTAAACATTTAGATAACTCTGTTGGTCCATTAATTGTAGCATTTGGCTTGATGACAGCTTTGGTGGTGAATTTTATATTTGGATGGAGAAACTTGAATTTGAATGTCAATGATGAGTTTTATGTGAATAATCCATTACATAGGAAAGTACATGAGTTTATAGTAACTATGGTCAATTAGAAAGAGAGATTGTATAGTGTATTATGTATACATCGACACTAGCGAGCGACACTAGAGAGCGACACTAGAGAGCGACACTATCGAGCAGAGCGAGATAGTGTGGCACAACACTTGGTAACTTGTCATAATTCTGACTAGCTCGTTGCTCCACTACCTCGCTTTGCTCGATAGTGGAGCATACTATCGACACGATCTCGCTCTGCCCGATAGTGGAGCACAACATTGACTAGCTCGTTAAGTCACTGACTAGCTCGTTATAACACTAAGTAACTTGTTATAACACTGACTAACTTGTTACTACACTACCTCGCTTTACTCGATAGTGGAGCACACTATCGACACTATCTCGCTTTGCTCGATAGTAGAGCACACTATCGACACTATCTCGCACTGCTCGATAGTGGGCACAACACTGACTAGCTCGTTATAACACTGACTAGCTCGTTATAACACTGACTAGCTCGTTATAACACTGACTAACTCGTTATAACACTGACTAACTCGTTACTACACTATCTCGCTTTACTCGATAGTAGAGCACACTATCGACACTACCTTGCTTTGGCCAATAGTGGGACTAACTCGTTACTCCACTATCGACACTATCTCGCTTTGCTCGATAGTAGAGCACACTATCGACACTATCTCGCACTGCTCGATAGTGGGCACAACACTGACTAGCTCGTTATAACACTGACTAGCTCGTTATAACACTGACTAGCTCGTTATAACACTGACTAGCTCGTTATAACACTGACTAACTCGTTATAACACTGACTAACTCGTTACTACACTATCTCGCTTTACTCGATAGTAGAGCACACTATCGACACTACCTTGCTTTGGCCAATAGTGGGACTAACTCGTTACTCCACTATCGACACTATCTCGCTTTGCTCGATAGTAGAGCACACTATCGACACTATCTCGCTTCGCTCGATAGTAAAGCACACTAACACTATGTAGCTCGTTACAACACTATCTCGCTCCGCTCGATAGTGTCACTCCGCTCGGTAGTGTCGATATTCGCTTCTTTAGGTAAAAATCGGTGATTATATCCATGTACTGCATGTAGATCCCTTATTCAAACCACGGTGGTTTTTCAATTTTTTTTTTCAACATCAACTAGCATTAAGAAACTGTTGGTCTTTGTTGACAGGGTATACCTTGATATTGTTCTTTTCCTGAGTGTAACTTGCCTGAAAGTATAACAACGATGTCATTGAATATAACATTATATACAATATCGGCTTTGCTAATATTAGATAACGAAGGTAACAGATTATATGCTAAATATTACACTCCATCGCTAGAAGGATCAGTAGGTACAGGGAATAAGGAAACTGCTCTGAGCAAACAGAATTCCAGATCGAAACAAGCTGCTTCTGCTGCTTCTGCTGCCTCTGCTGCTTCTGCTGCTTCTGCGTCATTGCAAAAGGAACAACAGTTGAAATCAGAAAAGGCACTTTTTTCGAAAATCAACAAGGTCCATCAGGATATCCTCCTATACGACCAGCAAATTATAGTGTACAAGCAAATCAACGATGTCACAATGATTCTTCTTTCTCCAATCAGCGAGAACGAGTGTCTTTTATTTTCTACTTTGAGCAATTTGATCGAAGCATTAACGATATTACTTAACAATAATGTAGATAAACTGACAATCATAACTCATTACGATTTGGTGACATTAGCAATTGACGAGACTATTGATGACGGGATCATCATTGAGTACGATCCAGCTACAATCGTCAGTCGAGTGACTAATGCACCAATCAATAACCCTACTGTTGTCGATTTGAAGAATATTGATATTAGTGAAAAGGGACTATTCAATGCTTTGAGTTTTGCTAGTAAGAAGCTTGGTGAGAGATTACAGCAAGGTCTATAGAAGCTCGGTGCAAGACTCGACGTTAGAGCTGGTACTATCGAGCAATGTGAGATAGTGGAGCACAACACTTTGTAACTTGTTATAACACTATCGAGCAATGTGAGATAGTGGAGCACAACACTTTGTAACTTGTTACAACACTATCGAGCAATGTGAGATAGTGGAGCACAACACTTTGTAACTTGTTACAACACTATCTTGCTCTGCTCGATAGTGTTGCTCGATAGTGGAGCACAACACTTGGTAACTTGTTACAACACTATCTCGCTCTGCTCGATAGTGTTGCTCGATAGTGGTGCTAGAGCTAGTGCTGGTGCCGAAATGTGTATAAGTTCTTCTTAGCAGACACTTGTAAAGCTCGATTTGATATATTTGTATTGCGCGCACTAAATAAACCTTTTACTCATTAGTAGACATTTTATATAGAACAGTAAGAGTGAATAAACAAGTATACAGATACTGGTGATATATTGATGATGGAGGATTCATTCAACTTTTCGCTTCTACGAATATCGATTGCCCAGATTCTTAAGGCACACGGTGTTGATAAGTGTAAGCCGTCCTTGTTAAATATAGTTACCGACATATATATTGAATTTTTCACTCGATTAGTACAAGAATCCATCAAATGTAGTCATCTACGTATAAGTAGCAATGAGCCAGAACTACAGGATGTTATGCAATCTATGATCAATATTGGATTTATCAAGGCAAGATTTCCGTTGCGTATTCATGATGAGTATTTCAAAGAAGATGAAGAATACAATACAAAATCTGTCAACTCATTCCGTGACTGGGTATTCAAGAGTTTTGGGTTTTCAGTGGCGAGTAAATTGAACCAAGTCCCTCAAGGGTTGGTTAATGGGTTGGTAGAGAAGAGAAAATTGGATCTTGATGATGCTGCGGAAACAGAAGCCGAGAAGAGAAGGAGGAAGCATAAGGAAAGACAAGAGTTTTATAATCAGTTGAAATTAAATGATGATCAACAGAAACAGGCAGAGGAGGATCTTAGAAAACGGGAGGAAGAAGAGGAGAAAGAGAAGGAGAGGGACAATGTAAGGAGTGAGGTGATAGAGTCTCAATCTGAGCAGGATAAACAGCAATTGAAAAATATGAAATGGTTGAATTACTTGCTAGAGAAAGACTTGAAATTAGGACATGATTTGAAATTCTTTAATGCTAATGAGTTCATTGCTGGCGAGTTTCTCAAGTTTCAAAATAATAAGGAGGTCCACCCGATGGCAGGTGACAGCACCAGCAATAGTGGATTTAGTGACAAGGATGATTACTATTTGGTGAGTGAGATACCGAAACATCAATTTTCGGAAGAAGATGAAACGTCAACCGTAGCGAAAGCTAAGGAAAAAGAGAAGGAGAGTGAAGGAACTGTTAATGAGAAGATTATTGCTGATGAGGCGGTAGTCCGTGAGTATTTACCTTATAAATTGAAGTATCCAGATGCATTATTATCTGACACTATCGAGCGAAGCAACACTGACTGAAACTATCGTCACTATCGAGCAGAGCGAGATAGTGGAGCAACACTGACTGACGCTATCGTCACTATCGAGCAGAGCGAGATAGTGGAGCAACACTGACTCGATAGTCAATCGCTTTTATCTCGCTTCGCTCGATAGTGGAGCAACACTGACTCGATAGTCAACCGCTTTTATCTCGCTTCGCTCGATAGTGGAGCAACACTGACTCGATAGTCAACCGCTTTTATCTCGCTTCGCTCGATAGTGGAGCAACACTGACTCGATAGTCAACCGCTTTTATCTCGCTTCGCTCGATAGTGGAGCAACACTGACTCGATAGTCAACCGCTTTTATCTCGCTTCGCTCGATAGTGGAGCAACACTGACTCGATAGTCAACCGCTTTTATCTCGCTTCGCTCGATAGTGGAGCAACACAGACTAACACTAACTTACAGCACCATTGACTAGGTTGCTGAGTCACGTGGCTAAAGTAACTTTTAAACAAACATTGTTTTTTTATTTATTATAGATTTGTTTCTATCTTGATACCTGTAAGAATTTATCTCATGAGGGTACCAGAGTAGTTAAAAGATTAGAATGGTTGAATGCGATAGCATTGATACGTGAGAAATAGGCTTCAAAAATTGGTACATTCTATTAAATAAAATAAAATAAAATAAACAAAATACACAATCCAAATTGTTGTTCAACTATGAGCTCATTTTGATCTTTTAGCTCAATCTTTAGTTTCTAGAGTTTATTGAATTGATCGGATGATGATTGACAAAAGTAGAAAATGTAATTACGTCGCATGTTTTTCATCTAAACCCCATCTTTAGTTGTTTCCTCTCGTATATCCCCTCTTTCTATCGAGCAGAGCGAGATAGTGGAGCACCACTTTGCACCACTTTGTATCACTTTCTGATAGACATATGAAAAGAAATTGCTCCAAGGGCAGAAATAAAGAGAAATTGCTCCAAAGGCAGACATATAAAAAGAAATTGCTCTGCGTTTGGGGCTCTGCGTTTTGGGCTCTGCGTTTTGGGCTCTGATAGGCATATAAAGAGAAATTGCTCTGCTCTTTGATAGCAGCAGATAATAGTAGAAGCTAGTTAGTGTAGGCTATACTATCTCGCTCTACTCGATAGTATAGCCTACACATTAAGGCGATAATGTCAAATTAAATAGTGGGTGTTTGATGATGGTATGTTTCCGAGTTGTTTTTGAGTTGCATCCGAACTGTTTAGCTCAACTAGTTAACCTGGTTAGTACCACTGGTTCAAATGGGTCTACTAGGTTATTTAGATAAATTAGTTGCATAGATCACGTGTAAACAACTCGAAACCCAAGTGTTCCCCAAAACAAAAAAGAACACGACTAACAAAATGAGAGACAAGGCATGTTAGAGACTACTGTTACTGAGTAGATAAGAGTTACATACCGGAGTAGATGAGAAATTACAATTACACATGTTAGTACAAGACAATTGTTATATATACTTGTGTTGTGTTGTGTAGTGACACATATTAATATTCAAGATTCTAGTTGACAGGATAGATATAAATTGAAATTTTCTAGACTAGATGGGTTACGCGTCTTAATTTAACCTAAAACGGAAATCACGGAAAATGATCCCGAAGCAGAAGAAAAAAAAGAAATTTTAAATTAACTCAATAAAGCAATATGAATTTTTCATCTCTCGGCGGTTAATCAAAGAGTCAACGGAAAGTGATAAGACTCGAAAGGTAATAAATAGTTGAAACAATCTACCTAATTCTCCCCGAAACATATTGGGATCTAGAGGAATAGCTCTTTCTTTTTTTCTTTTGGCAACGTTACAAGAATTTGTTAGGTTGATCTAATCGTGAAGGTTAATTTTTATCTTAATAGGGGTAATATTATTAGCTACTACATAATTTAAGGAACATTAAGAACTACATATAAGTACATAAACACGTCAACCCCCCCCCCTTATTTAATTGACACGTTTGTTATCTTACACGTTTCATAACTTTATATGACATCGGAGGTATAACAACAGGAACCAACTTTTTCGCTACATTATTTGGACATATTCTCTCACGACGAATACTGTCATTTTGCTATTCTTTCTATTTGCTACATCTACCACGCGACCAACTGATACCAAAATATTTTTCAGATTTTTCATCCCCCATTAAAGTATAGTTGCACAACTCACAACCCACAATTCACAACCCACACCATGATTAACAAGAACCTTCATTTAAACTTGAAGTTGAACAAGCTAGATTTCAGTGCATCTCCTTCCTCCTCGTCGGCACAACCATTCACACCAATAAACCAAACCACTAGTACTCCATTGGAAGCACCATCACTGCCACATCCAGAGTATCCAAATGCACCACCTTTTAAACGCCAAACCCTGTACCTGTTTTATCAGTCAACCAATTCCTCTCAATCCCAAACACAATTGCCACCTCTACCACCGCCACAACAGCACCAACAACATGGTATATATTTAGACCCATTAGCTAACCAATCAGATGATATACTCACAGATGTCGATGAACCAACTAGTTTCACCCCAGGTAGTGCTCCTAAGAGGCCAAGCCAGTATCCTATGTCCAATAGTGGAAAAAACTCCTCAATCTCAAATTTGTCACTTAATGAAATTAATGTCATGAAGTATAATCAACAGCAGCAGCAGCAGCAACAGCAACAGCAACAGCAACAACTACAAAAGGAGAATGGATCGGTGAGATCTCATTCTTCGCTGGTAAGTTTGCGCAAACAATCATTGACTAGAAACAATTCAAATAACTGGTTACACGTGGGTAACATATATAGTCTCAGACCCAATAGTTCTAGTTCTAGTTATAACTATGGCTATGGTGTTACTAATAGCGTCAGCGGAATAAATTCTGCCACTGCTATTACCAATGATACAGAAATTCCCGATTTCAATACCAGTACCGACTCATTGGTGGATTATGCACCACCGGCGATGAGTTTTAGAACATCGACATTTACATCCTCGTCGTCCAATTATAATGGTACAACTCCCATAAATACCAATTTCCCTGTTTCTGCAGGAGGAAATAATGGCGGCATTCAGCAATACTCTCAATTCCCTCAATTACAGCAATCTAATTTATTAGCAAATGGACAATTGAACTCAACAATGCCAGATTATCATATCAACACGCCTCCTTCTTCACATAGAGGTTCTGTTAATACACCAGTAACCATCCACAGTCATGGGGTGATGCCCAATTTGAATACACCAACACAGCCACAGGTTATCCAGTACGATCCTATTGCACTTGGTCAAAATCATCAGCCTTCAAGTGATATTTATTTGAGTTTGAGAAGGAACCAAAGCTCATCGAGTTCTTCTTCCGGATCTACAAGGTATATAAACACTGAGAATGCCAATATTCAAGCATTTAACGCGTTGAATGGTAGAAGCTGTTCCAATAGCAATGGCAATTATGCGAATAACTTTGTTTTGAACTCGCCATTTAGACCTGCTGTTGCAACACCGGGTGATGAGTATTTTGTCAATGGGTTTAATCAATCACAAAGTCAAATGGGCCAGCTGAGTCTGAGTCTGAGTCAACTGAGTTTGAACCAGCAACAGAACCAAGGCGATGAGACGGATTGTGAGAGAATCAATCTTCCAACGAGTGTTTCACTTAATGAAAAGAAGAGAGATTCACTAAAGATGAAAAGAGGAATACATTGAGAAGACTACCGAGCGACACTATCGAGCGACACTATCGAGCGACACTATCGAGCAAAGCGAGATGGTGTCGTAACTAGTCAATGTGCTCCACTATCGAGCAAAGCGAGATAGTGGAGAAGTACTGACTAGCTTGTTATAACACTATCTCGCTTTGCTCGATAGTGGCGGATTTAATTGATACAAATATGTACGTATAGAGACAAATATGGGCGATAATATGGCAAACTCTTTTATATAGCACTCTAGGAGGGAGGAGGAAGAGGGATGAATAAACAAAATTGAACAATTTATCAAGACTTATTGGCTATAGTGACTTTGTTACATTGAGTAGCGAGCGCAGCGAGCGAGATAATGGAGCACACTGACTACTCTCTTATCAACACTATCGGACAAAGCGAGATAGTGTTGCTCCACTATCGGAAAAAACGAGATAGTGTATAACGAGCTAGTCAGTACTGTTCCACTATCTACTAGGTGTTTCTCGATAGTGTATAACGAGCTACATAGTGTTGCTCCACTATCTCGCTCTGCTCGATAGTGTCGAGTAGTCAGTGCTGCTCAATAGTGTCGAGTAGTCAGTGTTGTACAATGTTAGAGGCTATCCCATGCGAGTGCAAAAATATTGTAAATATCTGAGATCAACATTACTAGTATCGCTACAAAGTATTGCTCGATAGTGTCATTACTAGTATCGCTAAGCTTTTTCTTTGTAGGATCAGTGTTTCATCTATATTTAGAAGTTGTAGGAAATGAAGCATCAGAAACGAGTTTGATTCATCATCGCCTCATCGCTCGTTCCATTCGCCACATTGCTCGACCCACTCGCCTCATCTCTCGACCCATTCGCCTCATCGCTCACGAACAATTTTGATAGCAAACATTTTTTTCTCTTACACGTTTGAAATAGAATGCGTTTATAAACAGGATAGCTTTATATATATATATATATAAACCTCATTCAAACAAGGTTGAATGGTTCTGTTTGCTGATAGTAGCACTCATTGATAGAGGGTAAATCGTTATATGAATAATGGGAGATATCTTTTCCCAAATTGTGGAAAAGTTCGATTGCAGAGCTCGTTGAATAGTAGTGGTGGTTTTAGGAGAAGGTTTTGTAACAGTGTTGTATTTTGGTTTCCTTGTGGAAAAAGCAAACTTATCACTAGGGAAGGTCAAACAAGAATCAAAGAGGGGATGCCGCTGGATTGGACGCTGCTAAAGCAGACGCTACTTGACCAAACACTGCTGGACGGGACGCTGCTAAATCAGACGCTACTTGACCAAACACTGCTGGACGGGACGCTGCTAAATCAGACGCTACTTGACCAAACACTGCTGGAAGGGACGCTGCTGGATCAGATTGAATCGGTAACATGCCATATTCACCAATTACTGGTAAAAAGGGATGATAGTAATCTTCCTATAAAAGAACAAGAAATAACAGTTGAAACAATGGTTGAAAACGATGATGTGCACAAGTTAAAAAAGGTAAAAAGCTTGCTTGAAAATATTCCTGCAAATGAAGAGATGAACAAGTATGAGCTACAAAATCAACTCAAATCGTACAATATTGCAGATATTCGCAACTTTGAGAAAAGCTTGAAACCAGAAGAAAAGGTACAGTATGTTCAGTCGATAATCAGACAAATTGTCAATTTGTCAATACCAGAAGAAACTTCATCATCATCATCATCATCAAAACCAAAACCAAAACCAAAAGTAGGTCGAGGGAAAAAAGCTAAAGTTGGTCTGTTGAAAAAGGATAAGCTTTTGTCTAATGCAAGACTTGAGCGAATCTATGACTATTGGCAATTGCCACATAATGTGTCACTACCATTAGTCAATCCTTTGAACAATGGCAAATCTACGCCATTTCAATTTTATCTGACACACAATTCTGATAAATCAATACTAAAAGCTCCTAGATTATCAATAACAAAATTGTTGATTGATAATTGGTGTCAGTTGAGAGATTATTATACTATTTTTTCAGGGAACATCAAAGTAAGCAATGCGTATATGGAAAAGGGGTCTCGGCATCATGCAAAGTTGGAAGTTGAATCACATCCAGAATCACAGATTGATTTTAAAAATATTGATGAGTTTCTCATTGAGAATGTTGAGCAGTTGAAATTGAAATTAATAGGGAGTGAAGGTGTAGAAGGTGTAGAAGAAGGCACGGAAATTACTGAGGAGTTGCAACTGTTGATAAATATTGATGATGGGGATTTGTTGGCTATGGATTGGTGTGAAAAGATTGTCTATCGGTTGTTTTCGTTACTTACTAAAGGAGAAGCCAGAGAGATTTTGGTTCATGGGTATATCAGATTCAAGGAAAAGAACTTTGTTGAGCCGATGGGGACTGAAGTTAATGCAGAACAGTTTGAAGATTCCATTCTTGTTAGCGGAGTAGTTGATTTACTTCAATTTTCCAATCCTCGAAACAGGTCCGATTTGAAAATGCTTATTGAAACCAGAGATATGATTAAGTTTGAGTTTAATAGAAATGATGATGATGATAATGACGATAGTCGTAGCTCGATTGTTGATATTTCTTCATTCCTTAAGGAGATGAAAATCATTTTAAAAGATTACAATAAAAAGGAGTTGGCCTTGACTATATGTGATGTCAAATCCAAAACATGGAACGCTTTACCATCATATGACTCTGTTTTACAAGGAGCAAAATTGCAAACCTTTTACTATCGATATTTATTTGAATTATTAAGCCAAGATGAAAAGTTCACATACCAATGTCTCTTGAGAAACGCTGAATTGCGTGGCTTGGATATAGACAAACCATTAAGCTCTTTGGTTGTTTTGAAGATGTTGATAGCCCATTATGATTTATTTTATAAAGATTTTGAAAAATTGAGTAATGGTGAGAATATCGGATTTGAACCATATGATGAATATATCACTCAAGAAAAGAGCAAGGAGAATTCCAGCATCAAGCCATATCCATTTTATCTAATTTTCCAAATGGCAGAGGACTTTTCATTTGATGATAAAAAGCATGAATCATTCTTTGTCAATCTTGAACAGTATACTTTGATGATCAACAACAATTTCGATATTAATCAATATCTTAAGCCACTATTAAAAGTTTGGAAGACTCCACCTACATTAAGGTACTTTGCTGCGCGATCATCTCAGTTTTATCGTATTTTCAACGACTTTGTTAGTGATGAAACTAGAGTAGAGTATCATAATTCAGAAACTGATAAAATCTTCAAAACATTCAAGTACAAGTATTCTAGTGATGAATTGAAGAGTCAAATTAAACAAGCAAGTTCATTTTGGAATGGTGATCTAATACCCAAACCAGTAGATGACTATGGAAAATGTAAAAATTGTGACTTTGCGTCTAAATGTACCATATCATTGAGCCAGGGTTTGGATAAGGGTGAGAATGAGCACGATTATGGTTTGAATATGGGAAAGAAAATGATTGGACCTATGCTTTGCAATTTCTTAAGCGAGAATGGTAATGATGAGAAGAGTAGTAATCGATGTACCTAGCAACACTATCGAGCAGACACTATCGAGCAGACACTATCGAGCAGACACTATCGAGCAGACACTATCGAGCAGACACTATCGAGCAGACACTATCGAGCAGACACTATCGAGCAGAGCGAGATAGTGGAGCACTTGGTAGGTTATTACAAGAAACACTATCGAGCAGAGCGAGATAGTGGAGCACTTGGTAGGTTATTACAAGAAACACTATCGAGCAGAGCGAGATAGTGGAGCACTTGGTAGGTTATTACAAGAAACACTATCGAGCAGAGCTAGATAGTGGAGCACTTGGTAGGTTATTACAACACTAGTCAGTACTGCTCGATAGTGTGTGGTTATAGTCAGTACTGCTCCACTATCTCGCTCTGCTCGATAGTGTCGACTAGCTCTGCTCGATAGTGTGTGGTTATAGTCAGTACTGCTCCACTATCTCGCTCTGCTCGATAGTGTCGACTAGCTCTGCTCAATAGTGTGTGGGTATAGTTAGTACTGCTCCACTATCTCGCTCTGCTCGATAGTGTTACTAGCCCGTTACAACACTATCTCGCTCTGCTCGATAGTGTTGCGATAGTGTCCTGAGTTATCTTTTTGGTAATAGAGATTTAGGATTTAGTTTCCAGAGATTTAGTACGACTTTTAAGAAAATGTCGTGTCTATAATCTATACAAGTAATTACATTAACCAAATATCCACCTTGTTATGTTGCCTTGAACCAAAAAAAGAAAAGTGGACAGCAGGTTAGAACTTTTGATTGGCCAAGGTTTATAGCATGGTTTTATTTTCTTTTATTTCTCCACTAGAAATTGTAATTGAGCCCCACCAAAATCCACCCCACCCCCACAATTCAGTTTTTTAATTAAAAGCATAAAAGAAATTTGTTATGTTTGGTAGCTCAGTAGGTGCAACAAACTAAAAAAAATAAAATAAGCAGACAATAAAATGTAACAGCAGAATAAAGAAATAAAACTCCGAGATGACGCATTAAGATATTTCACAATAGCAATAACCACTGGCTACTGGCTACTGGTAACTGGGAATTGACTACTGACTACTGACTACTGACTACTGACTACTGACTACTTATTTGGGTATATTTGTAAGTGCTCCACTATCTCGCTCTGCTCGACAGTGTCGATAGTGTCGACCATTGTGCCCAATCATATCATTGCCAATGCAAAATTCACTCACAAGTTTTAGTTTCTTGAAAAGTGGTGTAAGTGCTACCGTGTGTATAGATACATAATATTATTTTGAATTATCAATTCCGAATATTATATTTCAACATATTCTTGTAGTGGTTCTATATAGTATGAGTGTAAAGCTCCATATAGGATTGTTTGGTTCAAATATGAGTGTATCTGATTGGATATGTTCAATTAACCGTTATTATTGTTTCTTTATGGCTTATAACATGACCAATATAAACGCCATTGAGTTATTTCCCATGGATATCTTTTTTTCTTTTTTTTTTTTTTTCTGCTTTTCTTTGCTGTGGAAAATGTCCGATGATGTAATCAATTCATAGGGTGCTGGAAAAAAAAAGTGTCTGAAAAATTCAAATAGATAGATTCTTAGTTGGAACTTACGAGATTCTATCCGATCTTTGGGGTCACACATTGAAATGTCGTTAACTAAGAAACGAATGGGTTTATCACATCTTCGATAGCAGAGTTTGGGGCTAATGAAACTGGCGGTACTTTGCATAAACATCCGCCCCTTCCTCCCCAATGTGTAGACAACTCAATAGAACACCAACATACCAACCAATGCTAAAAACAAAACTAGTTTTAGTTTTGATTGGTTACCGTTATTCATTATTCGTTTTGTTTTATTTGATATCCCTCGGATATTTAATGTTTTTTTTTTCGATAATTCAAATTGTTCATGATAAAGGTACAAGGAATTAAAGATTTGCACAACTGCCAAAAATTAAACAATTGAGTAAGAGGTGGTCCCGACCAAATACTTTCTATCGGGCTAACTTCTCTTTTAACCAGACTGTCTCTAACTTGATTCTTTGAGCTGTCAATAAACAAAGCTCCCTTGAACATATTTCTCAACTTGTCCATCAATCATGCCTATGAAAAACTTCATGTGTCGTGTATTAAGAAAACTTATAATGTCGCTTTCAATTATGACCGATTGGGTCATGTATCTCATAAAATAAAAAGCTCTTATTGGTCAAAGATCAAACATTCCCGGGTTTAAAAAATATATCTCCCAAACTGTTTAAATGACATTTTATCACAGGGAAAGAAAAAAGAAAAAAAAAAAAAAAAGCTACATTATACCACGACATTCATAACTACGACATATTTATAGTCTTACCGAGTATGTTTGAAACTGTTTTGAACTCTTGAAAATAGGCATTTGTTTCAAGAAGTAGATATAAACAGATAAGCAGTAAGGATCAAAATAAGGACAAATGAGCCTTATTAGTCATGGGCTAGATACCATTATGGTAAAGGAAGTTAATGAGAAGAGCAAAACTTTCGCTGGCGGACTCTGGTGTACATTACTTCACTGTCAAATCTTTGCTAATTAAATAAGACAAAAATCAGACACTTTTATATTCTCAGACATCAATTAGAAAGACAGACACTTTCTTTTAATCTGCGACATAAAAAAAATGGGCCATTTGAGAACCAAGGCTCTAACATTTCATATAAATACCATCATATATTTCAATCACAAGCATTACCCTTTTTTTTCTTCCTCTTTTCTTTCCTTTCCAGTTTAGAAGGAAGAAAAATCATTGTTAATAGTATATTAGCTCATTTCCTATAAAGCTTACTTACATCTCCACGATTGTTACTTTTCTTTTTTATTTTTTTTTGTCCCGGATTCCCCTGAGTTTTCATCCCTATTACACAGTAAATACATATAGTCCAGTTTAGAATTATGTCATTGAGAACATCTATTCAACGTTCATCAAGCTTGGCCAAATCTGCTATTGCTTTGAGGTCAATCAGAACTTTTGCAACCACAGCAGAACCAGTATGTAAACTTTTATGGAAAGAATTGTCATCTTTTAAGCTGACTTCTTTTTTTTTTTTTGTATATATATAGATTGATTACTAACTATTCCCTTTTTTTTTTTATTATTCCTAGACATTGAAACAAAGGTTAGAAGAAACTTTACCTGAGAAAATTGATCAAGTCAAACAGTTGAAGAAGGAACATGGTAAGACCGTTATTGGTGAAGTCTTGTTGGAACAAGCATATGGTGGTATGAGAGGTATTAAAGGTTTGGTTTGGGAAGGATCTGTTTTGGATCCAATTGAAGGTATACGTTTTAGAGGTAGAACCATCCCTGATATTCAAAGGGAATTGCCCAAAGCTGTAGGTGGCGGTGAAGAGCCTTTACCAGAAGCATTGTTTTGGTTGTTATTGACTGGTGAGGTACCAACTGAAGCTCAAACTAGAGCGTTATCTGAAGAATTGGCTGCTAGATCCAAATTGCCACAACATGTTGAAGAGTTGATTGACAGGTGTCCCTCTCATTTACATCCAATGGCTCAGTTTTCCATTGCTATAAATGCCTTGGAATCAGAGTCTCAATTTGCCAAAGCTTATGCAAAAGGTGTAAATAAGAGCGAATACTGGAAATACACCTATGAGGATTCTATTGAGTTGTTGGCCAAATTGCCCGTTATTGCTGCTAAGATTTATAGGAATGTTTTCAAGGATGGTAAATTACCAGCTCAAATTGACCCAAAATTGGACTATGGTGCCAATTTAGCTAATTTATTGGGTTTTGGAGAAAATTCAGAATTTTTAGAGTTGATGAGATTATACTTGACTATTCATTCTGATCATGAAGGTGGTAATGTTTCTGCTCACACTACTCATTTAGTTGGTTCGGCTTTGTCTTCACCATTTTTATCTTTGGCTGCTGGTTTGAATGGATTAGCTGGTCCATTGCACGGTAGAGCAAATCAAGAAGTTCTTGAGTGGTTATTCAAATTGAGAGATGAATTAAAGGGTGACTATTCAAAAGAAGCAATTGAAAAGTACTTGTGGGAGACCTTGAATGCTGGAAGAGTCGTTCCAGGTTATGGACACGCTGTTTTAAGAAAAACCGATCCAAGATATACTGCTCAAAGAGAATTTGCATTGAAGCATATGCCTGATTACGAATTATTCAAGTTGGTTTCAAACATTTACGAAGTTGCTCCTGGTGTATTAACAAAACACGGTAAAACCAAGAACCCATGGCCAAATGTCGATTCCCACTCTGGTGTATTGTTACAATACTATGGTTTGACTGAAGAGTCATTCTATACTGTATTATTTGGAGTTTCAAGAGCATTTGGTGTTTTGCCACAATTGATTTTGGATAGAGCAGTTGGTATGCCAATTGAAAGACCAAAATCATTTTCAACTGAGAAGTACATTGAATTGGTTAAAAACATTAAAGCCAATGGTAATTAAAGAAGCGGGAAAAAGAAGAAAAAAAAAGTATTTGTGAGTAAAAGATTGAGAGACAGAGAGACATGAAAAAAAAAAAATGAAGAAGTAATGAAGGATTAAAACAAATGAAATAACGAATCAAAAGGAAAGTCTGTAGAATCACCATCATTGCTACACAACAACCAACTATTAACCACCACACCCCACACCCCACACCCCACACCCCACACTCACGACCATGTGTATTAAAGGAGAAACAATTTGTTCAAACTTTGTTGAAACTTTTGTTGAAACTTTGTTAGTAAGTTTTTTTTTTTCTTTTGAACTTTCCAAAGTGTATTTATTATTATTATTATTATTATTATTATTATTATTATTATTATTGTTATTCTTTTATCATTTATTTATATGTAAAGAAGTAGCGACACAACACTATGGACACTATCGAGTAGAGCGAGATAGTTGAGCAGAGCGAGATAGTTGAGTACACTGATCGACACTATCGACACTACCGACACTATCGAGCAGAGCGAGATAGTGGAGCACACTGACCTTTTACATACATAGCTTAGACGTGTAAATGTTCTTTGTAGGAGACACTATCGAGCAGAGCGAGATAGTGGAACACACTGATCGACACTATCGACACTGTCGACACTATCGAGCAGAGCGAGATAGTGGAGCACTGACCTTTCCATACTTAGCTTAGACGTGTAAATGTTCTATGTAGGAGACACTATCGAGCAGAGCGAGATAGTGGAGCACACTGATCGACACTATCTCATTCTACTCGATAGTAAAGCACTGACCTTTACATACATAGCTTAGACGTGTAAATCTTCTTTGTAGGAGATTTATACAAGAAAGTATATGTATATAAATATGTGCTCTTTATGGACATTGAGCATTAAACAATAAGCGATGATGCAATAGAGTATTAGTATTATTAGGCTATTACTTGAAAAAAAGTATGTTTAATACCAATACATTTACAAAAGAGATGATTAATTCGAGCGTGGTATCTTGCATTATCGCTCGGTCCTTTGGAGCCATTTTGGTCGAGGTGTAGGTCGCCTTGTCGCTCGGTCCTTTGGAGCCATTTTGGTCGAGGTGTAGGTCGCCTTGTCGCTCGGTCCTTTGGAGCCATTTTGGTCGAGGTGTAGGTCGCCTTGTCGCTCGGTCCTTTGGAGCCATTTTGGTCGAGGTGTAGGTCGCCTTGTCGCTCGGTCCTTTGGAGCCATTTTGGTCGAGGTGTAGGTCGCCTTGTCGCTCGGTCCTTTGGAGCCATTTTGGTCGAGGTGTAGGTCGCCTTGTCGCGCTACTTGAAAAATTTGAAAAATTTGAAAAATTTAATACTTCTTTTATGAATGATTGTGAGGTCTTTTGTTAATGATGCTGCTGCTGCTGCTACAAACACTAACCCTACTACGAAGCTTTACCACTGGGTCGCCCTGTTTTAATGTAAAATTATATTCCCAAACTCTATTACTTCCTAAAACTCAATTTAGTCCTAAAATTCCTCAAAATGAACAACGAGATTGTTTAATCCAATCAACAAGTGAAAACCTTTATAAATGGCAGTTAAGTAGAGATGACTCAACAACTACAGGAAAGTTTGTACTACACGACGGACCGCCCTATGCTAATGGAGACTTGCATATGGGACATGCTTTGAACAAAATATGTAAAGATATAATCAATAGGTTCCAACTAATTTATAAAGGTAAAAAAGTTAAATATCAACCAGGATGGGATTGTCATGGCTTGCCAATTGAATTGAAGGTAGAGGGCAAGTTGAAGGATTCAGACCTTCAAGAACCAATAAATATAAGAAAAGCATGCAAAGAATGGGCCCAACTACAAATCGAGAACCAAAAGCACCAATTTCGACAATTGGCTATAATGACTGATTTTGATAAGCCATATACTACAATGACTCATGAGTATGAGATTAACCAGTTAAGAGTGTTTTGGAAACTAATGCAGTTGAATCTTTTGTCGCGGCAATTGAAGCCTGTTTGGTGGGGGTGTGAGACTCAAACGGCATTGGCTGAGGCGGAATTGGAGTATAACGATAATCATAGTTCAGTGGCTATATTTGTCAAGTTCCCCTTGGTGAGTGATGAAATAAGAAACAAATTCTTAGGTGATGCTGTTGATAAAAAGTTGAAGTTATTGATTTGGACTTCTACTCCTTGGACGATACCTGCTAATAAAGCAGTATGCATCAATAAAGAAATGACATACACATTGATTGAAAATGATTACGAAGCTTTAATCGTTGCAAAAGATTTAGTTGACAACGTTTTGAAGATGGCACCTGAGGGCGGAAATTATAAAGTGATTCAAGTCAATATACCAGGTTCCGAATTGGTGAATCAAAAATATACTAACCCTGCTAATGAAGATAACGTTGAACGCTCTGTGCTACACGGAGATCACGTTGTGAGCACTGCAGGTACAGGATTAGTACATAACGCACCTGCACACGGTCGTGAAGATTATTTAGTTGCCAAACAGAACAATATCCCTTTGGAAGAATCATTTGTTGACAATAAAGGGCGATTTGTAAGTGATGGTGCGTTGCCTCCTGGCTTTGCAAGTTTAGCCTCACACAAAGTGAATAACCCTAAAACGAATATGCTTTGTGTTGATATTATGAAACTGCATGGCATGATCTATCATGTAAACAAGAGTTTTAAGCATTCGTATCCTTACGATTGGAGATCACAAACTCCAGTTATACAAAGAGCTACACCTCAATGGTTTGTTAATGTTGAGAGCATCAAACCGTTTGCATTGAAAGCTTTGGAAAACGTTGATTTCATACCCAACGTTGGATTTAATCGATTGAACTCGTTCATTGGAAATAGAAATGAATGGTGTATTTCGAGACAAAGATGTTGGGGTGTCCCGCTACCGATTGTTTACAATATCAAGACTAATGAACCATTAATGGACTTAAAAGTGCAAAAGTATATAATTGATAAAATCGAGGAGTATGGAACAGACGAATGGTTTGTCAAAGAAGATGACATAAGTCGATGGATTCCTGAACATCTCAACGGAACACATTATTATAAGGGACAAGACACTATGGATGTGTGGTTTGACTCGGGTACTTCTTGGACTACATTGCAAAATAGTTTGGAGGAGTGCAATAATTTGAATAAACCATTAGCTGATGTGTATCTTGAAGGCAGCGACCAACACCGAGGATGGTTTCAGTCTTCTATATTGAATAAAGTGATTTTCTCGGGTAATACAGAAGATAGTGGCGAGACTACTACATTTGAGTCTATGGCTCCGTTCAAAACCGTTATTACCCATGGTTTCATTACTGATGGCAAGGGACAAAAGATGTCTAAATCTAGAGGCAATATATTCACTCCTCTCCAAGCTATTGAAGGTACAAAGAAGCCATTCACACCACCTCTAGGCACGGATGGGTTAAGATTATGGGTTGCATCTTCTAATTACAAGCAAGATGTCAGTTTCAACCCCGAAATTTTAACGCGGGTCTCTGAGATGAGCAAGAAATATCGACTTACTTTTAAATATATCTTGGGGAATTTGCACAATTACAAAGAATCAAACCAAACAAGCTTATCTTTATTAGACAAGTATATCCTACACACCTTGTACGTTTTGCAAGAAACGTGCACTGAGAATTATGAGGCCTATAATTTCTCGCGAGTTGTTAGCTCGATCAATACCCATGTCAATTCCGTGCTTAGTGCATTTTACTTTGATGTTTGTAAAGATTGTCTATATACTGCTAGCATAGACTCACCTAGACGACAAGCTATACAATTTGTGTTGAATGAAATTTTGAAATGTTATATATTGGCCTTAGCGCCAATACAGCCTTTATTAGTACAAGAAGTGTGGAGCCAGTATTCCAAGGATAGTAGAAATGAGGATGTATCTCCTTTCAAAGAGCCAATTGGCAGGTTCCTACTACCCAAGCTGTATAAAAATCAAACGATAGAAGATCAATTTTCGAGATTTTTTAAATTGAGAGAGTCGGTATTTAAGCAAATTGAATTGATGAAGGAAAACAAATTATTCAAGAACAAACTAGAATTGGAAATCGAGTTTTTAGTGAGGGACAAACAATCTAACATCTACCAATTCTTGAAAAATAACGAAACATACCTTGATGATTTGTTCTTGGTATCCAAGGGATCACTTGTACAGGATGGCAACTTGGATGCAACCGCTATGATTGACGGTGAAGAAGTTGGATTTTCCATTAGATTATCCAACGAGTATAAATGTCCACGGTGCTGGAAATTCAATGCAGAGAAGAAGGACACACTATGCAAAAAATGTCACGACGTAGTTATGTAAATAGATGTAAATATATATATATATATATACACACACAAACTTATCTTATATAAGACTACCAAACCCGAACCCAAGAATCAACTTCAACTCTTCCACCACCCACAATGTAGTACTGGTCGATTAGCTTTTCCACTAAACGCTCCCTATCTCTCTCTCTCTATCTTCCCCAGCAGGTAAGGGAAAATAAAAGTTTAAACCAAATGGCGCGTAAAAACCTCGAATGAAAAAAAAAAAATAACAAAACCATCAATTCAAGATACCTTTCCAGAAGTCCGTTGTATCATACTGGCCCTAAAAAATGTCGTCGCAGCGGAAGATAAACGGGTACCTCGACCGTAGAAAAGATCTCATTCATCAATATAATTCCCTGTTAAACTCATTCAAGTCGGAACTCGAATATGAAGCGTATGCCAATCTTTTCTATATTTTGCAAAAACTAGATGAATACAAATACCAATATGCCGTTGTTAAGTCATATTTGGATAGTCAAACCCAGAATTCAAACGTATCAATAAGTATACAAGAATCGTTGAAAGGAGTTGAATTAAAGATCAAAATGCTAGAGAGTGAGATTTATCTTGAGGATTTAATTATGATCGAGCCAAATTTAGCTATCATCAGAAAGAATTTATTAGAAAATGCAAGTGAAGGTGGTAAGATTTTATACCATTGGGAAAAACTGAATCCAAAGGAACCATGGAAGTTTTTAGATGAGAGAATATTCGATTTGAAAAAGAATCATTAGGGGGTGTTGGTTGTTTTTATTACCCTTTTTATTTTTTTCTTTTGGCAGGTTCTCTACCAATCTTTCTCTTTATTCAAGTAAAATTGTATTACTATTATTATTATCATTATTATTACTATTACAAAATCTGTTATTTCCTACAACCACTTTTTTATTCCATCTATGGTTTTCGTTCACTTTTTACCACTCATTAATTGTGTGAGTAGTTGAGAGCTTGAAGATTGTGGGTTGAGGGGACCAGAAGATGCTAAAGGTCCTTCATTGGAAATGCCAGGAACTTTACCAGTGAAAAGTCCTGGTGGTGGTGGAGTCGACGTGTTAATTCTATTGCTGGATTTAATCATGTTTATTTGGGGCTGTTGTTGTTGTTGTTGTTGTTGTTGTTGTTGTTGCTGTTGCAATTGGAGCAACAATAATTGTTGCTGAGCTTGCTTTTGCTGCTCTTCTGATTTTTGAACCATTTGCGCCATTGCCACAATTGGCGTTTGATGTTGTTGTTGTTGTTGTTGTTGTTGGCGCTGCAACAAGGCTTGTTGCTGCATTATTGGATGGTTTTGATATGCTAAATGATAATTCTTAATAGGTCTCAATAAAAACCTCTCTATAACTTGACGTGCAATAACTTTTTCATCCTCGGACTTTGTATCGTTACCAAAATCACCTTTAAATGCAAACAACGGAATTTTATTACTTGTACTCAATTTTTTGAATTTAACAGACTTGATATCATCCAAACTCTTCAACTGTTCGCCAAGCTGTTCAATAAACTGTAATACAGAAGTGTCATCTACATCCATATCATCAGGCGTAATGATGGTAGCGCCGGTGCTGGTGTTGTTATTAGAGTTGTTGTTAGCCTTGGAGCCCTTTGTGCCAGTGGCCCTAGACTTTGTTTCTTTTCTCTGTTGTTGTTTATGATCACGAGCTATTTCGCCCAAGGTTGGAAATGCCGCGGAATTGGCCAATGGGATATTGTTATTGACTGTTGGAGAATTGGTTGCAGATGCAGTGCCTGCGACATTAGCCCAATGTGCTGTAGCTGGCAAATGCTCTCTCGCAGATTCGTAATGACTTTGAGTTGTTGTTGCTGCTGCTGCTGCCAATTGGTTTTGCGGTTGCTGTTGCTGTTGCTGCTGCTGCTGCTGTTGCTGTTGCTGCTGCTGCTGCTGTTGCTGTTGCTGCAGTTGCTGCAGTTGCTGCAGTTGCTGCAGCAGTTGTTGTTGTGATTGATGGGGATCATCATCGGTTATTTGATTGAGTTGATGGTGTGAGATATACGATTCTTCGCCAAATGAAGTTGTATGCGGTCTTGATGTCATTCCCATCTTGATACCCTGTTGCGTTGAAAGATCCTTTCTTGTAAATGAGTCTGCTTCTTCACCTGGTTCATGCAAGAACATACAATTTGGATTGGGACAAGGATGGCCACGCAAATATGATGAGCAGTATTTGGTTGTACCGTGTGCAGCTCTCAACACTCTTCCGTCACATAGTGATCCATCTAATTCTGTAATACAATTCAATGCATCTTCCTTCCTGGCAAAAGTCACGTAAACAACAAGTCCTGGATTTTGATTGTTATTGTTGTTGTTGTTGTTGTTATTATTATTATGATGTGAAGAAAGTCCGGAATTCAGGGGATTAGGGTTCTTTTTGTTGATTACTATTTTAGAAATTTTACCATATTGTCCAAAATACTTATCTGATCGTAAAACTGCATGTAACTCTTCTGGATTGCATGGTGGATTTAATCCTGTTACATACACCAAATTCTTCTGCACTACTCTTAAACCAGATAAATGTTTTTTGCTAGCAATGTCCAACTCCTTTTTCTCCTTTTCACGTTGTTTCTTTTCGCGATCGCGTTTTTCCTTCTTTGATTGTAGTACCTTGTACTCTTCGGGACTAACTGTTTTGTATTCGACACTTTCGTCATCGTACAATCTCCGGCACCCGGGACACCTGCCGTTCAATTCAGGATTTTGTTTGATGTTGTTGTAGCAAAACTGACAAATCTGGTATCCACAGGGACAAGGTTTAAAGTTTTTGTCGGAGATATCCATTTCCTCGACACATAATGGACTATGATATCTATGGTTAGTATCGATGCTAAATAAATGCCAAATAAATGCCAAATCGATGCTAAATCGATGCTGCCAAATCGATGCTGCTAAATCGATGCTGCTAAAGCGATGCTGCTAACTGATGATTCAAAATTTCTCTCCTTTTTTTTATAGAAAAGAGATGCTTACAAATCTATACATACCAATACTCCTCCTCGTCATCACTGATAAATGAATCGTTCGATATCATAGCTACTAATCCCCTTTGATTAAAAGAAACCTCTATTAATTTGGTTGTAAAAACTGCTGCTAATCTTCTTCAAGGGCTTTTTTTGCCAACCATTTTTTACAACCAAAATCAAAATTTAGCTGCTTGGTAGCGTTTGGGTTAGGTGCACGACTTTGATACCTAATACAATATAATACAATACAATACAATGCTCTCACTATCGAGCAGAGCGAGATAGTGAGAACATAGTGTCTACCTTTACTCCTTTACTCTCCTCTCTTCTGCCTACCATTTACTGTCTACTGTCCACCATTTACTGTACTCTATACTTTGCTCTATACTATGCTCTATATGATGCTCGATATAATGCTCTATACTATGCTCTATACTATGCTCTATACTATGCTCTATACTGTAATCTATACTGTACTCTATACTGTACTCTATACTCTATATACTTTATGATTCCCCTCTATTTTGTTCTATATTCTATTACACTCTATATTTTACACTGTATACTCTACTATTTATTTTATTATACTCTACTATATATTTTACTACGCTGTGTATTCTTTTACACTGTATACTCTACTATACTCTACTCTCTACTATACCTATACTCTACTCTCTACGATACTCTACTCTACTATACTCTACTCTCTACTATACTCTCCTCTACTATACTCTACTCTTTTGCTATTCTCTCTAGTTTCTTACTAATGATTTATTCGACTCTGTTAGTGAAACTATCTCATTCTGCTCGATAGTCGATAGAGTAAAGACTAACAAGCTACCAAGTATTGCTCCACTATCGAGCAAAATCGTGGGTTGTAACTAGTCAATGTGCCCCACTATCTACGCTCCACTATCGAGCAAAATCGTGGGTTGTAACTAGTCAATGTGCCCCACTATCTACGCTCCACTATCGAGCAAAATCGTGGGTTGTAACTAGTCAATGTGCCCCACTATCTACGCTCCACTATCTATGCTCCACTGTCTCGCTCTGCTCGATAGTGGAGCATACTGTCTACCTTTACTCCTTTACTCTCCTCTCTTCTGTCTACCATTCACTGCCTACTATCTACTACCTACTATCTATGAAAACACCTGAAGATTTGGTTCAGGTAAGATTTAAGGTAAACAAAGCTATATCACGCTGACTACCAAATGAATCAAGCAGCCAAACTAATAAAGGATGTGGAGAAGAACAAAATACATAAACAGATATCGCGTAGTTTGCAAGTTTATGGAAGTTTATCTCGCTCTGCTCGGTAGTGTCACTAGTGTCACTAGTCAGTGTTACTCCACTATCTCATCTTCTCATTTCCATCATCCTCTCTTGTACCCATGCACTTTTAAACCTGTCATTTCCACCTCGCTCTGCTCGATAGTTTTAAAACTTTGTTTCATTTTCGCACCAAATTTTATTTCTTCCTCATCACCTTTTTGAGATGGATCATAACCACCTTCTTTTTTCATAAACGGTATAAACGATAGTCAACATCTAGTTCAAGAAATGTTTATTGTTGAATTGTGGGAGTCAATCTTCGTACCGGGTACAACGCCTGCTTTAATCACAGCTACACATGTCTCATTTATCTTGTTAATCATATCGTTAGTGGCATTAATCTTTTTATCAAAATCTATACATTTTGTTAATTTATTGGTTATTGCAGTCTTGTTATATGCTACAGTGGTATGGTTTATTGGAGAGCTACAAAGAGTCAAATTACAGAGCAATGAGGAACTAAATGAGGGGGAAAACGTAAATGATGAATCTGTTTCAACTGGAACGGCTAAACCTGCAAAGAATACACTCCATAAAAGAAAAACTTGATACAAAGACATCAGCAGAGACTAGATGAGCAAAGCGAGTCTAGTCGAAAGAGAGTAGAGAGTAGAGACTATAGAGTAGAGACACTGACACTGTAGACTGACACTGTAGACTGATACTAGAGGGCATCTCGTTCGAAAAAAACAATGTAAAAAACACAATCAATCAGTTACATTTAATCAGTAATTAGTCAAACTAATCAGTAGTAAATTAAATCAGTTGAATTACTACTGATTTATATTTAACCAGTATATGTCACTAGTCTTTAGACTGGCCACGCCTCTTGCAATAGTCCTTGGCTTAGGGTACTTTAACTTTGCGCTAAACTACTCTGTAGGGTACGATGTGTACAAGCATCATTCGCGAGCGGCGGGGATAGTGGTCTGGGTGATTTCCGGATTTTGCCAAGTATGCATCTTTGCATACTGGGCCCTTGTTGTTGTTGTTGGGCCAGGAAAGTCGCCACGATTCCCAGTTGATATCAGATCAGATACATTTCTTTGTGATGCAGGTGGGTTCCCATTTTATGACTCGCAAACTCAGTCACTTAAATTGGCCAGAACGTTTTATTCAAAGTATGTTGGGTACAATGTCCTTCGGTATGACCATTATTGTTTGTGGATAGGCACAGCCATTGGACTCAAGAACTATCTATACTTTTCAAGTTCACGCTCTGGTTTTTGGTTTTCTTTATAGTGCTGTTGGTCTACGCCAGCATCAACCACAACCACTACAACCACAACCACAACCACAATTACATTGTTATCTACATAATGAGCGGGTTTTGGATCCTTGCTATTGGGTCTCTCTTTTTGACGCATATTAGGTACATTTGCTTGAACATGACCACTTTGGATGATATCACTATTAAGCAGAAACGGAGGTACCAGCGATATCAACAGAATCAACAGAGCAAGACAGCATCCACCACTACATCTACTAATAACTACTTTAACTGCTTTAGCTGCTTTTCTTTCAAAGGGCCGCGCAGAGAAGATGGAGTGAGGTATGTCAGTATGAAAGTTGATGGTCTACGGTATGTGGTACAGTACGATGTAAGTGAGCGGCCTTTTGATTTTGGATGGAAGGTGAATTGGGTAAACTTTGTTAACCAAACACGCTGGAGCGAGGCAAGCACAAGAGAGTTTATTCTTTCGATAATCATTTTAGTGGTACCCTTTGCCGAGCTTTGGAAAGCCATACGGAAGACACCCATATGGAAGACACCCGTATGGAGTGGTGCTACCGATGATGAGAGACTTTTATACCTCTATGACGCCTACACTGAGCCGCTTGGTCCTGAATTTCTAGCAAAAATAGAGCAGAAAATTCTTTGTGGCGATGTAGTAAAAAAATAAACAACAAGTAATAAGTAACAAGTAATAAGTAATAAGTAATAAGTTTATACAATTAAAGAGTCAAATCATCATGGTATATGAGCAGTCACCATGTATATGAGCGATGCATCTCTTCACTCTGCCTCTTGATAACTAGTAAAATTTTTTTTTGAAAAAAGTTGTTTAGAATAAACTCTTGTCAAGCTTATTGACTTGTGTTGATGTAATCAAGCTCATTAACTTTTGTTGATGTAATCAAGCTCATTAACTTTTGTTGATGTAATCAAGCTCATTGACTTTTGTTGATGTAATCAAGCTCATTGACTTTTGTTGATGTAACCATTTGTATTTTGCTTACCAGTAGCGTAAAGTTGCAAAAGAAAAAAAAGGGTTCACCACCTTCTAATCCAAATTCAAATTGTTTGTTAATGAGTTTCAGAGACGCGCTTCAAAAGATTATAAATCAGCCTGAAAAGCATGAGTCGGTTTTGTTTTTTGACAAAAATGTGGTTATAATCAAGGACTTGTTCCCTAAATCGTTTAGACATCTACTAGTTATTCCAAGAGCTAGTGATGTTTCGCATCAACACCCCCTCGAGGTGTTCAATACTCATTATCAAGCATTCACCGGAGAAGAGCTATATAAACAATTGGGCGAATATGTTGAAGAGGCAAGATCTATGATTCTTGATAGTCTAAGCAAAGAGTTTAACATTAAAGAGGAGGATAAGGAAGCATTTATCCAGCGTCAATATGACTTTGTCAAAACGGGAGTTCATTCAGTACCTTCATTACGCAACTTACACATTCATGTTATGACTCTGGATTTTAATACACCTTATATGAAGAATAAAAAACATTACAATTCATTCAATACCAAATTCTTTGTTGCGTTTGAAGAGTTGGATCCTTTTTATAATGAAAAGTATTGCAATCTCGTCAACAAATTTTCCGATTTCGATTCCGACTCAGACGCGCCAATAAGTGGAGAGTCCGATGATGAACTGACAATGTTTATAAAACATTCCAAAGATGAGACTTTTTTGCAAAATCTCATCAAAAATACTCCTTTCAAATGTTCACTGTGTTCTGAAACGTTTGGAAACTCAATGGTCAGATTGAAGGAACACTTGAAAATTGAATTTAGTAAACGGTTTGACCTATTTGATTGTGATTTAGAGACATTAAAGATTAACAACTTTTGACATTTATAAATGCTACAACATTGATCAACTCAAATGCTACTAGTATTGACTAACTCATATGCTAATATCTTTAAGTTATACACTATCGAGCAGAGCGTTAGTGTTGTAACAAGCTACAAAGTATTGTACAGGTGATCAATATTGCTTTAATATTTAATGACCATTCCCTGTTATTTATAGTCTTGATAACATAAAGAGGGCAATGACTTTAAAAACAATTTACCATGATGATAAGAGAGAAGAAACTAGACCAGAGACTAGAGAAGAGACTAGACTCGCTTTGCTCGTCTAGTTGAAAGAGTGGTGGCAGTACTGTGCTCCACTATCTCGCTCTGCTCGATAGTGTCACAATTTGGGGCCATTTATTTTTTTTATTTTTTTTTTTATTTTTTTTTTTTTTTGCAATCATCTCAAACATTGAATTAAATGCTGGTTACAAGAATATTGGGTGGCATCTACCTATCTTCAATATCCCCCTTGAATGCTGAAGTAGACTTTAAGAGCGAGTTTGGTATTACTGCTATTCTTTCTGTGGTTCCCGGACATATCAAAGAAATATATACCACCAACTATAAATGGAAGCAAATCGATGTGACTGATGAAGAAACTACAAACTTGTTACCCTACTTTAATGAGTGTTTTCACTTTATTGAGGAGACTGTTGGTAGTAATAACGGTAAAGTATTAGTTCATTGCTCACAAGGGGTTTCTCGATCAGTTGCAGTGGTTGTAGCATACTTGATGAAGAAGCACAAATTAAACCTAGAGCAAGCTTTGTATGCGGTAAAGAGAAAAGTGCCCGATGCAGAACCCAATCGAGCATTTATTCAACAACTAGAGCTTTATCAAGCAATGAAATATCAAATAGATCCATTAAATCGGGATTACAAATCATACATTGCAACAATATCTTTGAAAAATGATCCTTCGGGACAATTATTACGAGAAACAATAATGAACAAGAGATTTGTATCAACAAAACAAACGAGTACCTCTTTTGACTTGCGCTGTAGAAAATGTCGTCAAGTTTTAGCCAATAACACCCATATAGAAAAGCATGATATCCCCGAGGCTGATTCGCGCCAATCTCAATTTATCAAGACTGCACCAAATTCAAGAAGAATTATATCAGTTCAAAAGGCAAGTGCATGTTCGCATCACTTTTTTGCAGAACCCGTTGATTGGATGAGAGATGAGTTGGAAAAAGCAGAGTTGGAAGGTAAATTCCAGTGTCCTAAATGTAGCTCAAAAGTAGGAGGCTACAGCTGGAAAGGTTCGAGATGTTCATGCGGTAAGTGGGTGGTGCCAGCCATACATTTACAAGATGCAAAACTAGATAAAATTTCGCTACAAAAAGAAAGCGATAAAACAGCAATCATTCAATCCACGAGCATATCATGTTCTGAGTAATCATTCTCATTGAAAAACTCATGCTCTTCGGTTCGAATTGACGCGGCAGTTGTGGGGTTGGTAGTGGAAGTTCGAGTTTCGCCAGCTTGATTCGAAAACAATCCCGTAGTTGCCCCGCTACTCATTACCATGTTTGTATTAGTATCGGACAATAAACTGTAGCCATCTTGGTACTCTACTTCGGAAGCCATAAACCCTTCTTCATCAGTAACTATTGATCGCTTTCTAGCTCTCAAATTGGATTCCTCCGGTTCCGAATCGCGATCTAGAAAATCATCACCATCTTCCTCTTCCTCTTCCTCTTCCTCCTCCTCGTCGTTGTTATTATCGTTGTCGTTGTCGTTGTCGTATTCATCATCATCATCATCATCATCGTCGTTATTCTCTGAATTGAGCTCGTCAGCGTTCAATATTTGTGCATCCAAGTCAATTTCGTGATTACTATTTGTATTCGCCGCCTCTAGATTCAAAGGCAAGGTGTTCATCTCGCCATCATTGGAATTTTCTTCTGCAATATTGTTTGCTGATACATCATCGATATGACTCAACTGAGAGTTGGCAAATTGTAATTCTTCCATAGTTCTTCCAATGCCCAAAGGCCTTAATACTGAATAACCTGTAGTTCTAACCTTTTCCATTTGGTGATTCCTCAAGCAAAGCAACGGACCTAGGTCTTCTATCCTATTAAAACCATCAGATCTTGACTTCAACAGATATTCAAGCCGAAGAGGATCAGGTCCAGAAAAATCGGCCGTATAAGCTGATAAAGGCGGCGCATATAGTCGCTTCAATTGGTTCGAGTCTGCTCTATTTCGAGTGCTAGACGTTGGCTTAAAAATAGACGACGACCCCGCACGTTCATTCCATAATCCATGCAAGCTTCTTGGATACAAGTCTGCTGAATACATTTCCACATACCCCCTTATGAAACAAAGAATAAAGATTAAAGATTAAAGATTAAAGAATAGTTTCTGATATAAAAGAAGAAAAAAAGATCTAGATTTATTGAAAAATAAAAAATCAAAATACAAAAATACAAAAAGAAGAAGAAGAAATGAAATAAATAAATGATATGGAGTCGAGTCTACAAAGTGAAGCCAAAAAATCTTGTCCTGTCTTGCCTTGCCTTGCCTTGCCTTGTCTTGTCTTGTCTTGTCTTGTCTTGTCTTGCCTTGTCCTGTCTTGTCTTGTCTTGTCTTGTCTTGTCTTGTCTTGTCTTGCCTTGCCTTGCCTTGTCTTGTCTTTCTTGTCTTGTCTTGTTACTCATTGTCAGTTAGAATGAATTCTTTTAGAATGTTTTCCTTTTCCTTTTCCTTTTCCTTTTCCTTCTCTATGGTGTTTAGATTCCCCCTTGGCTGTACTGGCCATACAAGACCTTTGTTATCTTTTACTCCATTAAATGCCACAATGCAACCATAACACAAATCAATTGGACTAGATGATTGAAGATCTTGAACAATTGTGTCATTGGGGTTTGCAAAGTACTCTGCTGCATATTGCTTTTCTTCTTGACTAAAAAGTGGCGCAGGCTCGCTCACAGTTATCATCTTGAGCCAATGTTTTGGATTATTGTAGATCTCTGTACCACAAACCTGACATAAACTCGTTGGGTTTACTAATAAAAGTGGTTGTGGGGGTGGCGGCCCCAATTTTTCAGCAATCTTCACTACAGTGGAAGTTGTCGATACATACCCCGATTCATCAAGATTTTCGAGATAATTGGCGAGTATCTCGCCAACAGTTTGGTTTTTGGACACTTTGGACTTGACATTGGTTGAACGCACTATATATTTTTCCAAATGCGAGAGTTTGGCGTATTCTTCCAACTCGACTTGAAGAAGATCTCGAAACGGGTAAATGATGCTGAATTGCTTGCAACCATACAGCTCAACGCGATTAACAATCTTCCGATGAATCATTGAACCACGCCCCTTAACTGTTAAGGAAAGGACCTCATTTGCTAGCCGACTCATTGAGTGACCATAAACAATAGTGCCGCACTTTTCTTCAAAAGCAGTTTTCAACAACAAGTGCTCACTAGCAATGGTTAGCAAATCCTCCGCAGATGATTTGTTAGAACAGCTGTTTAGTAGTTGACTTAGGGTAACACCATTGCTTTCGTCGTCGTCTACTTTGTGCTCCAAAGACGTAAACTCATGGTCAACAGTAATCGACCGCAAACTTGTTGAATCAATATAGGAGTCAAGCGATATAATCTTGACAGCACAGTTGATAGACGGAAATCTTTGCAATAACTCAACCAATATTCCCGAAACGCTTTTTTCCAAGGACTTCAATTCATACTCATCCAAGTTCACCACAACCAATTCAAATCCTTGTAACCCTCTATGCATTTGTTTCTGCTCCACTAATAAGTTCGCCAATACGTCCAACAAAACTAGAGAAGACGTTCCGCCAGAAAAGGCAAGCAATACTTTCTCTAAACCTTCGTTAGCAACTTGCCTTTTGTAGTTGACCTTATATTTCTCGCTTGACATATGTTTCCGCTGTTTACCTCGAATGAACCTCAAATAACAGGAGCAACAGTACATTTCGCTCCTATTTTTGAGTATAACTTGCTCAGTTTTGCATTTCTGACATATAATATCGCTAGACTGTAGGTATTCAACAGCTTTCATTATGTCTATAACTGTCTACAATCTTGTATAAAGTAATGATATCTAGACTGATTTTTCTTTTCTGCCTATGGGTGAAAAATAAATTTCAAAAACTGAGATGAGATGAGATGAGATGAGATGAGTATCATCTTATCGAGTGTACTCCACTATCGAGCAGAGCGAGATAGTGGAGTAACACCGACTAGCTGCCACCACTCTTTCCACTAGCGAGCAAAAAGCGAGTCTACTCTCTGGTCTACTCTCTTTCGACTAGACTCGCTTTGCTTTGCTCGTCTAGTTGAAAAAGTGGTGGCAGCAGTGTGCTCCACTATCTCGCTCTGCTCGATAGTGTGCTATGTAAAAATATACAGAATAGATTATCTTATACACAATATAATATTTTATACCGAATAAATCCTCTTCTTTTCTTCTTGTACACAGTTGAAACTGATGACTACAAAAGTCTTGACTCGCTATCTATCAAGTTTAGTAAAAACTCAACTTCAAGTCGTTTTCTTGCCTCAACTACCCAATCGTTGGCTAATCTTCTTGTCCATCCTTTCAAGTTGGCAGCTTCTTCAACGGCAATATCCAATTCACCTCTAACTAAACTTGACTCGATTCTGGCAATAACAGATTCAATATCTTTACCATCTTTCTTAACACCTTTTACAGGCATTAAAAGCTTGGAAAAAATTAATGAAGACAAGTGGCCCAATAAACCTGCATTGGGCGGCAATAAAGAGCTCGATCTCAAATCGGGCGCCAAATTCTCAAACCTGGTTAGCAATTGGGCAGTTGTTAAAATTGAGTGAGACGAGTCTTTGGCAATCAATGGAGTTAATTCCTTTAATGCCAAGTTTAAGATCTCATCGTCTTTAGACACCTGTGCCAAAGCGTCTATATATGGTTTTGGGCTCTTTGGTTTTGCATTCGCATCAATAGGAGCAAAAAAGAATGCTTTCAAAGCAGAAGCAGATCTTTGGATTAATGTCTTTTCGTGTGTTTTAACAATTTGGTCTTGGAAGGATGCTGCAAACTTTTCTAGCTCTTTGACTTTGTCATTCAATTTTTCCAAGTTGGCCAATCTACCGTTTCTTTCCTCGTTTATTCTTTCAGTTACCAATTTTTCAAATTTCTTTGTTTGCTCGATTCTAACCATTGAAACTGCATTTATAGCTGCTTGATTAATAGCTTCTCTAGCCGCTTTAACTTCTCGCTCCAACTTTTCATTCAATTTCTTTTCCAATTGCGCTTTTTCTTGGTTGTATCGAGCAAGCAAGTTGTCGGTCAATTCCAATTCCTTTTTCGAAAATGACGATGCCAATTCTGTTTGAGATTCCTTCAACTTGTTCTTTAGCTCATTGTCAAAAGTAGAGGTTAATGTATTCATTTTAGCCCCCAATTGGTTAAGACTAGCGCCAATAGACTTGACTAAATCTGAATTAGAGCTTGGGAGTAGACCAGCATCAATAGATTGTATAAAACTGTTCAAGGAGGTAATAATCTGTTTAACAGAAGAATCAACAGAGTCTGCGACATCCGAGCTGAGTTCAATCAATGGGAAGCGTGTTACATCTCGTGTAACGCTTTCAACTTCAACTGGTTTTTGTAATTGTTCAGCTGGGGTTAGTTCGGTTCCTTTTCTTTCGCCGCTTGGATGTTTCTTTAACTTATTTCTTGTATCTTTGAGAAACTCTTCCCCCTTGCGTTCCATGGCTGTTGCGATATGATCAAATTCACTATTTGAAAAAGAGGTTTTGACCTTGAAAAATTGCTGCTTCAAATTGAACCAAGCTTCTCGTATATCTTCTTTTGACACATTGTCAAACAGTTCAATAATTTGCTCGTGGTAGGGCAAGTCGTGGTCAATAACATAGTCCATAACCTTATCGTTCTTAGTTGCGATATATAAAACACCACCATAAAACACCACTGCCAAAAGCGAGGTTTTGAAAAGGAAACCAAACAAGGAAAATCTTTTGCCCTTTACTTCAGAATATTCAGGGAAACCTTCAACAACCTTCTTGGCCTTTACCTCTTGTATTGGTATAGGCTCTATACTGGGTGGTGTAACTAATGCCTCACCTTTTTTCACATCTGGTAAAAAGGGTTTTCCACCAACATTCTTCCCATTGAGCCTAAATGACGTAGAAGCAACCCAACGAATACCACTAGACCTTACTCTAACACTTGCTACCTTCAACATCTTATCAATAGCCCTACCAAATCGTACCTTGTTCCTCTCCTTCCAATGGTTTGATAACAAAACTCCCCTTTTTTTTTTACTAGAGTGAAAAATTTGGTGCGATTGAAATTTTTCAGTCTCTCTACCAATCACATCACAGGTTGACCAAGCAAAGGGGGTCTATACTTTGCAGGTTTTTAGTGTTGAGCTGAGATGTCAATTAAGCCCGTAGCTATTACGTCGCCACAACCGTCGACGCAAAGAGGTCAGACGACTCATTTATCGTATGACGTTGTGAATGATAGAGTAGCTTATGTCAATGGTAAGTCTATAATAGTAAGACCTAGTGATTTTAATTTTGAAAATTTGGAGGAAATGGTGGTTACGATTTTCTGTAAACATATACATCCTACGAGTGCAGTTAGATTCTCACCTTCGGGCTTTTATATTGCTTCTGGAGATACTTTTGGTCAAGTCAAGATCTGGGATGCTTCTTTGAAACAAGGTCAAGAGGTGTTTGAACAGCCAATGGTGAAAACCGAGCTTCAAGTGATGTCTGGTGCCATAAAGGATATTGCATGGGATGCCGAGAATAAGCGCTTGATTGCTGTAGGCGATGGGAAGGAGAAATTTGGTTATGCATTTACATGGGATTCGGGAAATTCTATAGGTGATATTCAAGGCCACAGCTCCCTGATAAATGCCGTTGATATCAAACGGCAAAGGCCATATCGTGCAGCTACTGTCGGTGATGATTTTGCAATGGTTTTTTTTCAGGGCCCGCCTTTCAAATTCGACAAGAGTTTGCGTGGACTCCATTCAAATGCTGTGCGCGACGTGAAATTTAGCGCTAATGGAGAGCACTTGGTTTCAGTTGGGTCTGATAGGTCAATTTGTATATACAATGGCAAAACGGGCGAGTTGGTTAAAAAAATTGAGAATGCTCATGATGGTGGAATATCCTCAGTCGAGTGGGTACCTGACTCAAATGAATACTTTATCACAGCATCAGCCGATGGCTCTTTAAAAAAATGGGACATCAATGAGGGCGTAGAGGTGGAAAAATATAAAGTATCAGAGCCTTGTTCCATCTCAAGGCAACAAGTAGGGTTGGCAGTAACAAACAAGTATGTGATTTCCCTAAGTGCAAATGGAGACTTGAACTATTTCAGCCATGATGGAAAACTAGTTCATGTCCTCACTGGTCATCAGTCTCCTGTAACAAAAGTTTTATTTCAAAAACCCTATTTATACAGCGGTGGCTCTGATGGTAAATTTTTGAAACAGGAAATTAACAGCAAAGGACCAAAATCTTTTCCAATGAATAATAATAAAGACCAGCATCATTCGAATTACTTGGTGGATATATTGGCAGATGGAGATTTCTTGTTCACCATAGGTTGGGATGATGTACTCAAAAAATGGGAGAATGGAAATGTTACAAATTCTGTAGAGTTGCCAAACCAACCAAAGCAATTGATCAAAATTGCACCAGGTATCATTGTGCTATTTGAGTCAGAAATCCAACTTTATTCGCATGATCTCAAGTTGATTGAAACGTTTAAGCTTTCTTTTATAACAACTAATCTTGTATCATTAACCGACTCCAGCTTATTGCTAACCAACACATCTGCAAATACCATAACAAAGCTCACAATTGATAAGGATTTGAAGATAAAACAAGCAGAGGGTCAACTTCTTACATTGAGATCACCTCCAACTTTGATTCGAGTATCACCAAATGGACAATATGTTTCCGTTGCCGATTCTACTGGGAAATACACTTTACTTGACGCCAACCTTGAGGTAGTGACAACAAGATGGGCATTCCATACTAGTAAAGTATTTGATGCGCAATGGACGAGTGATTCTAAATACTTAATCAGTGGAGGTCTCGACGGTGGTTTATTGTTGTACTCCGTTGAGAAACCATCAAAAGTGGTAAAGTATCCGTTGGCGCATGCATCTGGAGTTTCAAGCTTGACTTGGATAGATTACGACCCAGCAAAGAAAGCAGGAGCTTTTGTAAGTGCTGGTTTGGACGGAACAATTCGGACATGGCAAGTTGAATTATAAAAGAAGGAAAATAAAAAGGTAAAAAACGAAAAAGATAGAAATAGAGGTTGAATAGATTACTATAGAAGTAGAATGGATTACTGGTAGTAAAAAGAAGACCAAAATGCAAGTAATTGTCATTGTAGATGGTGGTAATGGTACTGGTGGTGCTGTTGGTCTCTGACTAAAAAGCCGTTATCTATGCGGCTTTAATATATGTTATTTTTTATTTTTCAATTTGTCTTTCTTCTACAGAGAAGGGTATTAGTTACTTTGGTTACTTGTGTTAGGTGTAAGCTGGTACTTCACAATCGAGTCCAATAGCCATGTCGAACAAGGAATATGTCACTATAGTTCTCGACTCATCTGAGTATATGAATTTGAAATCAACTCAGAATCAAACAAAGACGGATTTTGAGCTAGGATTACAATTTACGTTTAATTTTTTTAATCAACAATTGTTGAAAAATAGGAAGCTGGATAGGTATGCTTTTGTAGTATACACCCCTGGTGAGATTCAAAGCGTTTACTATAATGAGCCACTTTCTTTGAGAGTGGTTAAGGAATACTACAAACTTGCAGTGGATGCACATGAGAAGGGAGATAGCCATAGCCATGGTTATGGAAAAAACGATATCATTGACGCGTTTGGTGAAGCCTTGAACAAGCAAATAGCAAATAAGTTTGTTAGAAGTGTTTTTGTAATTACCAATGGTAGAGGCAAAATTACCGACCCTACTGCGAAAGTGGATAATTTCAAGCAAATTTGTTTGAAATATCTGGTGAGTTGTACATTTCTTTTAGTGGGAAAGAAGGATAATAATCTAACTAGAGATTACTTGTCACAAATGTGCAGTGAACTCGGCGACTACTGTAAAGTTTTTGACTATGCCGACTATGTGGAAAACTGGCGGGCTCTTAGGCTTATAAATCCTCGTAGCTTGTGCGATACTCATATGTCCTTTGCTTCTATTGGTGGTAAAGAGCAAGATACTCAAGGTATTAATCTCAGGGTTCAGGTTTACCCGGCAATCAGGGTGCAATCACATATTCATGGGCATGATTACATTGTAGAAGATAAACTGTCGTCACCCACCAAGGTGAAAAGAGATACAAGATATTATATGCTAAACGATCCAAACATTGCAAACGAAGTGTTTGACTACATTAAGGACCAGACAGAGTCTAAACAAGAGAGTACGAAATTATATTTGAAACGCGCCGATGTAAAGTACGGTTTCAAGTATACGCAAAGAGACATCTACGCTCTTGGACCAGAGATTGAGGAAGCTGCAACTTTAAGCACATCATGTGGTATCAATATCCTCGGTTTCATTAAAACCGACAGGTTATCTATTCCATTTTTCTCCGAGGAATCCTCTTATGTGATACCAAGCACTAAGTTTTACAGTGACAACAAAATTGCATTCAATTCCTTGGTGCAAGCTTTATTGGAGCTGAAATCTGCAGCAATTGTTCGCTATGTTCAAAAGGATTCCGATGAGGTTCAGATATGTGCTGCATTACCCCAGAAAATCGTTATAGAAGGGGATAGGCATGGGAGGGTGCTACTCATGATTAGACTCGCCATGAAAGAAGACGAGATGGTTGGACATTTCCCAAGGTTGGAAGAAAAAGATGAGACACTAGACATGGAAATGGAAAAGCTCATTTCCATCAAAACTCTTGCTAACGACAATACTAAACCCGATGAGCTTGACAATCCAAAATGTGGTTTAACACAGTCGAAAGCAAGTGTAGAGCGTGTAACTAAAGACACGCCATTAGAAAGAATACTTTTATCAACGTGTCCAGCAACAAAACGGTTCAATTATTATGTTGAAAAAATTTTATATCAAGCCTTGAGCAAATCGTCCCTAACCGATTTTCTTGGTGAAGAAAACTTTGTTGAAAAGTATTTAACAAAGGACGAAGCACATACGCTATTTAACATGGATAATATATTGGATGCAAAGCAGGCTCATTTGTATTCACACCGAGAGCTAAAAGAGGCAGATGTTATTAGCAAGACTTTAAGGAAACGGCTCGAAACTAAGTACAAATTGAAGGAAGCGCAACCTAAGAAGAAAAGAAAATTCATGCCTGTATTTGGAGTGGAGAATAATGACGGAAATTTCGATGAGTATTTTGACGTTGATGATATGCTAGCTTAACAAGGAACTAGGTTTCGTATCTGTTTTTTATTTTTTTTTTAATCCTTTTCTTTTCTTTTCTTTCCATTTTCAATCGATTATTATGAATAGCTTTTTCAAAGTTTAAATAATCGATTTTTCATATCGGCCATCCTATCTTTTGCAGTTCTCTTTCTGTGCGCTAATTTTGAAGAGCCGTCAGATCCAAAACTGTCGACTATTCTCTGATGCACATTTGTATGATCGATGCGTTCTTTTTCCTGATTTTGAATTTGTGCATACTCTTTCTCATTTACTTTGAGAATTGCTGGCAAGTCGAACAAACACTTATATTTTGATGTTTTGGCTTGTTTCCAAAGATTTAACCAATGCGTGGCTATTCCAAGCTCATCGTAACTTCCATCCCTTTTCAACGTTTTTCTCTGCTTTGCGATATTGTACATTAGCTCGTAAATATCATTAGTTGGATGCGACATGTATAAGTTATATGCTTTGCCGCTTGGATCTTGCAAGTTTAAAACGAACAATAAGTAGTCGGCCAAAATGACCGGATCAATGAATGAATTATGAACGCAACCAACGAGGCCCAAAGCTAGCATTGTTTCAGCGTTTTTTACAGTGGGCAAGAAAACCCCTGGAGTGTCATAAACCATGAGTTCCGGGTCTCTGGACAATCGTATTATTTCGCTTGTAGATCTGGTGACCCCTGGCTGCCCGCCAGTTTTTGCGACTTTTCGAATCTTTGTTGATATGGGCTCACCGTTGTTTTCATTGTTTTCATTGTTTTCTTTTCCCTCGTAACTACTATTTTTCAAACCCACCAGACGCATGGTATTAACCAATGTGGATTTTCCAACATTTGGCATCCCCACAATGACCAGTCGCAAGCCCAAGGGCGGTTTGGGATCCATGGATTGGTACATTTGTATCATTTTGTCAACAATCCTTTTGCAATCACCGAGACTTCGACAATCAACCAACATGTACTCTTCATTGTTTGATTTGTGCCACCTATCCAAGATGCTAGGTTTTAGTATCGACAAATCCTTTTTACTGTATAGTACCAATTTCCTCTTCATGGCCAAAAGCTTATCAAATAGCACATTGGTCGTGGCTACTGGTGCGCGACAATCTCGAACTTCCAAAACCAAATCCAACTGGGGCGAAAGATGTCCAAGTTTCGTCAAGGCTTTTTGATGGTGGCCCTTGAAATTGGACAATGTTACATTGTAGTTGGGAAACACAGTTCGAGGTATAAATTTCGTGCTCATCTAATAAACAGCAACTTGAAGAAGGTTACTTTTCTTGTCGACTTACAAAAGTTGCAAAATTGACAGTCAGTATTGCTCCACTATCTCGCTTCGCTCAATAGTCTCCTCATCTCATCTCATCTCATCTCATCTCATCTCATCTCATCTCTTTTCGTTTTGTGTTATGGAAATCTTTTTTCTCCAATTTAATTTTTCATTGACTTCCTTTTAAGCGAAGCAAGAGGAAGAAGAGGAAGAGCTAGAGGAAGAGCTTTAGTTTAGGGATGCCATTGGTTGTAGTTACAGGGTACCCGTGTTCGGGCAAGACTACTTGGGCCAAGCGATTGAAAAGTGAGTTAGAGCGGAGGATTTTGGCGGCCAAAGCTAATTCTGATCCTGGGTACAACTACAAGGTTACATACTATAGCGATGAGACATTTGGAATTACTCATGATGTTTATGGGGACTCAACTAAGGAAAAAATCGCGAGAGGCTCCCAGATATCTGCTGTTAAAAGAGACTTGTCTAAGAATAACATTGTTATATTGGATTCCATGGCGTATATCAAGGGGTTTCGATATCAGCTATATTGTGAATCAAAGGGAATGGCAACGTCGCATTGTGTATTGCACGTTATTGCCCCCTTGGATAAGTGCCTTGAATGGAATGCCAAAGTTGCTCAACAAGTACAATGGGACGTAGACATAATGAAACAGTTGCAAATGAGATACGAGGAGCCCAATAGGGACGCAAAGTGGGATTCACCTTTATTTGAAGTAACGCATATGGAAGGTGATTTATTGCCCATGGACGAAATTTGGAATGCATTGGTTTTGAAGAAAGCGCCTGTTCCAAACGCAGCAACCACAATCCAATCCACATCGGATAACTCCTTTTTACAAGAGTTGGATAGAAGAACCCATGAAGTGATTTCAACGGTGCTTCAGCAACAGCAACTCACGGGAGGACGAGTGCAGATAGATAAGGATCTAATTGTCACTATACCTATGGGGACGGCAAGCACAGCCCAACTACAGAGAATAAGAAGGTCGTTTATCAGCTTGAATCGAATGAGAACAATCGAGAGAGATCGAATAATACCTTTCTTTGTGGATTACCTTGATAGAAGCTTAAATAATGAAGATTAATAATGCACACCATCTGTTTGATCACCTTTATTAATCACCTTTCTTTGATGTTCACCTTTTTCTTTGATTTTTCCATTTAAAGTAGGTTTTCCCATTATTTGCAATTTTCTTCTTACTACCACTCTTCATCTTTTCTAGGTTTATCTGCATTATTTCCTCAACCTCTTTTAATTCTTTTTCCTTTGCTATCCTCCTTTGTAATAGTTTGTACTGTTTTAGCTTCTTCTCATCTGATTTGTCTTTTTGAGCACTGGAAACGCCTTGTGAAGAACCAACAATGGGAGTATTTGAAAATAGTTGTTCTCGACGAAGCCTGTTTTCCTTGTTATTTAATAATGCTTCATCGGTATCAAAATAGACATGTGGCTTGAAATCGGCCTGTTCCTTGTTAGAGTCGACAAAGATGGTGTGTTTCCCAGATCCTTGAAACAATTTCATCTCTTGTTCCTTTTTGATCTTGTTCAACTCTTGCATACGCATCGTTCGTATATAATTGATATCCTGAGTTTTCAATAATTTAACTTGGTCTACACTTAACGCTTCGTTCCCTCTGTCTGCAATTAAAATCCCCTTATCATCAGTTTTTCTCTTAGTCATAGCATGGAAGTACTCATCTGGGTTGTGTGACTTGGCCTTCTCCTTCAAAGCTTTTAAAGCTGCTTGTTTCTTGTGATAATCAGCAGCTCTTAGCTTATAATCCTTCTTTTTCTCAAGCAAACCATACCTGGCCCTGCTTGTCTTTTGAGACCTCTCCCTATGCTGTTTCTTCTGTACATTATGAACAAGTTTCGTCATACCTTTGTTCTACCAATAAATGCCGGTCTACAAAGCAAATAACTAAAAGGTTAATAGGGTATCTCTCATGAGATGAGCTGAATTTTTCAATACTTTTCAATTTCTTTTTCTTTTTCTTTTTTTTTTTTTCAACCAAACCTTTCAATCATTGAATTTCCTTTCCTTTATCAAGACTTTCAAAGATGATTCCAAGAGCAGTAGTTAAGGAAGTGGTAAAGTATAGTAGTCGAAGCTTGATATATAGAACATTCACCATTAGTAGGTGTATTAGAAATGGCGGACAAAGTGATACAGGTGACGAAGCATCTTCTATTCCTTGGTATTTAAGAACAGAAAATAGATCTCAAGCTGAAAACATTGTTGAATTGAAAACCTATGATTTTCCAGCAGATCTCCCCTCTAGGGTTCAAGAGATTTTAAAATTGTTAGAGGTTAAATATGGGTTGACTGATTTTAAAGTGTTTGATTTATCTTTACTTCCTGTAGATCATCCCAAGAGTGTGGAGAATCAATCTAGTGAACGGTATGTTATAATTGCTTCGGGAAAGTCTGAAAAACATATATATAAAGCTTCATACGATTTAAAGCAGCACATCAAAAACGAATACGGTTACCAGTCACAGATAGAAGGCATGGTTTCGAACTCTATCAGTCCTACAATGCGTAGACGACTAGCCAAGAGAGCGAGACAGGGGCCACCTGCTACGCATAAAACTTATGGAATTGAACCAAATACATGGGTAAGATGTGAGATTGGAGTTGATGGTGCAGTGGTGCATATTCTAAGTCCCGAGAGAAGAAAAGAATTGCAATTAGAGCAATTGTACCAAGAAAAGCAGGACCAGGATGATGTGCAAGAGCAAGATGTTACAGGGGGAGCAAGGATTGCAGCAGATACAACCTTAGATAAGGAAAGTATCTTTTATGGGTTGCGGAGAGGTTTTCATACGTCTACTCAAAAGTGCAAGTGCAGTAATGCTTCTGTTGATGCTGCTCAACACATGGACATGGACACGGACATGGACCTTGTTTACAATCAGCTATTGGGAGAGGAAAACACAGTAAACCTTAAAGGGTATAAAGAGAAATTTGATCTGCTTTTTGAAGCAAGCCCGGTACAGTTACTGTCCATTGACAAGAGATTCCAGTTCTATAGAGCTTTACATCTTGTGGATCCATCAGTTGCTTCTCTCGATTTAGTTGAGAGGATCTTGTTGGAAAAGTATGCCTCGTTTGAACTTGTCTCGCAACAAATTGATTGGAACTTGGAAATTGTAAATGACACTATAAAATATATGGAGTTGTTGGTGGATACACCAACAATAGGTATAAGCTCGGCCGAGAAACTTGACAAATTATCCCGGTTTATATCCAAAACGGCGACTTTTTTAACTGATGAAATTCACTTTTTTGCGGTGGAAAGATTTCAAGTGTTATTGTGGGCTTTAACTTGTGAGCAAAACACTTTTATAAATGCTTCTAAAATCAACTCGATAATTGAACTTGGAGGTGAAAATTTGGAAACGACAAAAAAAACTGCGATAATCAGTCAAAACGAGCAAGGAACTCGGGATGTAAGAGAAATGTTTCGTCGTATTAATTATGGCAAACGTGGTGCAATACCTCTTTGGTTAAGAGAACAGATGTTATTTACTTATGCCAACACGAGACACTGGAAGTACTTTTGGCGAGAATGGACCGGTTTAAGGCTCTCAATCAGTATCCCTTCTGAGTTTTTGCATTATTTCGTAAGAGTTATAATTCTCTTGTCAATCATTAACGACAAGATCGTATTAAGAGACTTTTTTGGAAAATTTTGGAATAATGCCAATGGTGTTTCCATCATTGGAGAATTTGAAAAGAATAACAAACTTTTCAATAGCGAGAATGAGAAATTGGCATTTAAAAAGGCTCTATTACTCATCTACAAAAACCATTGTAATAGCTTTTGGATACAAGATGCCTACGAATTCGCAAACCGTCTATAGAGTGTAAATTAAACTAACTAACAAATATAAATGAATAAATGAATGAATGAATGAATGAATGAATGAATGAATGAAAAATAAACAACGCGTTAAAAGACGCGCGTTGAAATCTGTCGATTGTTTTTCATTTTAATTTTTCAATACCATCTCTCTGAATTATAAAGAGTTTTACTCTTTGATGCACATGTCTATGTTGAAAGATAGAGCACTATGTGTTCAGACCTACTCGAAATAAAGCAAGAGATTAAGAATTGGGAGTACTCTTTTCGAAATGAAAATAAGAGACTACCGACAAAGGTGGATATTGATCAAAATTCTGAGATCAAAAAGTTATATTCCTTATACAAGTTGGTGAAACTGGGAAAACAAAAGGAAAAGAATAAACCTACTCGAGCGGCGCAATCTAAAGCAGCCACAAAAGACAAGGATGAAGTGCTATTAATTGAAATACCACCAACTCCGAAAGGTGAGCTCGGTCCAACTCCACAGGCAAACGGCCGGGTTCTTTCAATCTTTGACTTTAAGCTCACACCACCTGAGTCGTCACCTTTGAAATGTAAATCCAAATCCAGAACCACCAATACTGATACGTCAATTGAAGATTATCTTGCTGCAGAAAATGGCCATGCACCGATATCTCCCAATCCAAATCGGGGATTATCTTTTTCAACTCCGTCTAAGGTAATAGACCATGGCTCGCCAATAGCTCGAGCGACTCGTAACTCGAATTTTGTAGTAATGGAGACACCAAGGTATATGAAACCCAATTTTCAAACACCCACTTTTACAAAAAGTGTGAGCTTACCCGAATTTCTGGTTTCGCCCTCTCCGCTAAAGCCTCATAGAATGATGAGGAAATTGACTGAAGTTTACAAGACCTCGTTAAAGGAAGCACAAGATTTGAAATTGAGTAATGAAATAGATTTAGACTTGAAATTGAGTAATGAAATAGATTTAGACTTGAAATTGGGTAATGAAATAGATCCAAACTTGAAATTGGGTAATGAAATAGATCCAGGCTTGAAAATGGGAGAGGCAAACGAAAAGAGCGAGGAAGATGAGAAGAAGAAAGCTGGACAGGAAACAACCAGAGATGTACCACCACTTAATGACAAACAAAAGAAACAAAAGACACAAAAGAGGCAAACTAGAAGGGCAAAAATGGCACCGAGACCAAGTGAAATGGACCAAGCTTGTTTGGACAATATCAATATTCATGATACAATCATGAACTTGGAGAGAAAGGAGAAAATCGACTTGACAGCATATATCAATTCTGACAACGAGAATGCAGAGGAGAAGGACGAGGTGAAGGAGGGTGAAGATGACACTTTTAACGCCGCGCAAGGAAGCCCCATTAAGAGGACTAGAAAGCCAATAACTCAAAATTACAAGCGATTAAAAATCAACGACCCAAGATCACGACGTTTCAAGCAACGAATGAGAAGATAACTTTGATGACAATGAGAAATGAAGAATGAGAAGATAATTTTGATGGTGATGAGGAATGAAGAATGAGAAAATAACTTTGATGGTGATGAAGAATGAAAAACTCAAACTATGGCTGCTACTACCAAATCTATTGTATCGTCATTTTTTTCCAATTGAACTCTTGATCTGTCTTCTTTGGGACGCATTTCCCTATTAGTGTTGTTTGACTTATATATAGGTTTTTCCCATTTCCTCTTGTCAGCATCATAGTCCCAAACCGAGTTTCCATATTCTTCCATTTGCGACTTTTTTGATTTCTTCAACTCTTCAATTAATTGAAGCTCCTCCGAGGATACTTCTTCTTTTATAGGGATGTACTTCTCCACCATAGTAACTTTGCCATTTTTTATAACCATCTCGACTTGCTTTTCACCACGCTTGCTTCTTTCATCTTCTCTCGATTTCTCCTTGGCCATCCTTTGATGTCGCTTTAAATTCAAAGCTCTTTCCTCAGGAGATAACCACAATGATTGCGTAGGCATTTCAAAATCAGATGCATTGTCTATTATTCGAGTTCTCTCTTCACCAGTTTCTTGAAACCTGAGCAAAGTCGCCAACTTTTCTTGAGCCCTGCTCAAATCTTGATCGACTTGAGTAGTGTTGCTAGCACCATTTTCAGTTATCTGACTAGGTTCATCATTTTTCTTGTCCTTTTTTTCACGATTGCCTATAGCTTTTTCCGCCAACTGGAAAGCTCTATCCTGAGCTTCCCAGAACTTTTCTCCCGGTTTCATTTTCACTACAATCTTCTTCTTTTGCTTAGTTTGAGTCGTTGAACTTTTCTCTGCATTTTGAAAAGTCGTTGAACTTTTCTCTGCGTTTTGGGAAAGGTTCAATAAATCACTCTTCTCCTTGTTGAGTAACCGAACAATGGCATCCTTCTCTGTAGATGGTAATATATCCAGTCCGCAAAACGAGCACGGCTGTAAACCTTCTTTTGTGCAGATGATCTTGCCACAGTTTAAGCAATTTGGTGCAATCTCATATAGTGGGTGCCTTCTAGCCAAACAATTGCATACTCTTTTCCCCAGAGAACTACCTTGAAATGAACAAGAAGAAGAAGAAGATGATGATGATGGGCCACTTACTTCTAAGCTATTGAGTACAGACTCGATATCTGCCAATGCTATTAGCTTCTTTTTGTTTAATCTGTTTGGTACCAGTGCAGACACTGTGTCTTTCAGCTTTAATAACTGTGACGTTGTAATAGACTTTCTATCTGACATTCTTTACTAGCAATCAAAGCAGATAGATAGCCGCCCATATAGATTAGAAAAAAAAAAAAAAAAACCAATAGAATAATAATTATGACACTTTAGGCTTTTTGAAGTTTGGGCAAGTCCGCCGCATAACCAGGACTACATTGAGGATACCAACCCTTACCGTCATTAGAGCCTTGTTCCACATACTTGCCAACTCTTGACTCTCTTCCTCTGGTTGAGTCTATATAGTAAGCCTTTTATCTTACGTCAACAGTCACCCCAGTATTCAACCTCATCGCAAGATTTCGCGAGCGGAAAAACATTTCCAAATTGGAGCAAAGTCTTTATCATTTTAGCATGCTACTATACTCGAGCCAAATGCTGCACGGCCCACTTTTGGACTCGAACGAGATTAAACAAATGTACAAGGAGATTGCTGTGTTGAAGACCAGTATTCATGAGAGAAAGCTAGTGGTTAAGAATTTTTCTAATAAAATTGGGAAAAGAGTAGAAAGACAACGTCATATGAGAGTAGTTGTTGAGAAGGACTCCAACGGTATACCGCAGCAGTTTGTCACTGTTTACTCAAGAACTGGAACTTCATTGGTAAACATGAGACTATACAAACGGGAAGCGATGCGGCTAACACAAGAAGGTACGTATACAGAGGCAGATGTTGAAAATGTAGGCGTTAAAAACGCAGGTGTCAAATGTGTAGGCGTTAAAAACGCAGATGTTGAAGAAGCAATTATGAGACAAATTAAGATGAGAATTTTTAGGAACAAGAGGTTAAATGATCACTGCGATAGGGTCAGTATCAATAACGTGAAATACAGTGTGGCTCAAAATGGGAGGTTCCTTCTTCCCTTGGGTTATAATGGTACTAATGAACAAGCAGTTGGTGAAATAGTTTGGAACGGCGAAATATATAGAAGGACAAAGGGTGGGAATTACAAGATACACGGTGAAAAGACGCCAAAAATAAGAGAAGGATGTAGGTACTTTACAAGAACAGGGATATGCAGTAAAGGTTTAAAATGCAAGTATTTACATGAACAGTCAAAGGTTAAGATTTGTTCCTTTTTCTTGAATAACAAGTGCACAATGCCCAACTGTTTATTGTCGCATACGCCAAATAGCCACAATACTCCGTTGTGCCGGTACAATTTGGTTAATAAATGTCACAATTCACAGTGTAAGTATATGCATACTGTACCTGAATACTATGATGACCCGAGATACGAGATCTGGACATGTAGACCATTTGCTTTGGGATCATGGTGTTCAAGAGGTAAGAACTGTCCTTTTCTACATTTGTTGAATTGTCCTGATTTTGAGGAGGATAACGTTTGTCCGAGGGGCCATGAATGCACGTTGAATCATGTATTTACATTAAGGACCCAGAAATCAATTAGCACGCGTTTTAATGTATATATCCGTGAAAAGAAAAATGAAGAGGAGGAGGGGGAGGAGCAGGAGCAGGAGCAGGAGCAGGAGGGAATGCAGGGGGTGCAGGGGGTGCAGAAGAAAGAGCAAGAGGAGAAGGAGGTTGTTCTGGTTCCGAAAATCATAATCAATAGCTATAACGTTGATCCGAGTATGTTGTTCATGTATGAAAACACACATGGATTAAACCACTTTATCGATGAAAAGGGGACGCAAGCCAATAATGAATATGAGCCAGCGCCTTCTACGCAATTATTAATTGAGGTTTCTTCTGATTACTCTGACGATGACGAGTAAAGTGTAAAGCAATCCATGAGCAGTAAGTAAAGCAATCCATGAGCAGTAAAGTGAGAGATGTCTTGTACTAGTATAATAGTTTGTATCTATATAGATATTCCTAAACAGTGGAGCAGCAGTAGAACCTATAGAGTGTGCCCTTGTTGAGATTAAGTTGAGATCAAGTAGAGAATAACAGGGTATTTTCTGTGTAGACTTGTTGAGATCAAGTGTCGATTTAAAGGTGTATCGGAGTGTTCCACTATCGAGCGAAGCGAGATAGTGTCGGTGTCAGCTACAAAGTACTGCTCCACTATCGAGCGAAGCGAGATAGTGTCGGTGGCAGCTACAAAGTGTCGGTGGCAGCTACAGAGTACTGCTCTATATCTCGCATTGTGTCGGCGACAGCTACAGAGTACTGCTCCATATCTCGCTTTGCTCGATAGTGTTGGTGGCAGCTACAGAGTACTGCTCTATATTTCGCATTGCTCGATAGTGTTGGTGTATTGGTATTAGGTGGTGTTGAGTAGATGCGAATTATTATTAGGTAATGAGATGTAGAGGTTAGGGTGTAGAGGTGTAGAGATGTAGAGGGGAGGTAAAGAGGTGTAGTTGATTAGAGGTACTATTATTAGGTAGTGTGGTATATCGGTGTAGTTGATTAGAGGTGTACTAGTATTAGGTACTAGTATTAGGTAGTGTGGTATATCGGTGTGCTCCACTATCTCGCTCTGCTCGATAGTGGGGCATACTGACTACACCTAATACAAGTAGAGTCTTGCAGAGGTTGAGTTTAGGTGTCAAATAGAGGTGTCAAGTTGAGATGTCAGGTAGGGACTACTCTGTGTAGTCTTTTAAGGTCAAGTAGAGTCTTTTAAGGTCAAGTAGAGTCTTTTAAGGTCAAGTAGAGTCTTTTAAGGTCAAGTAGAGTCTTTTAAGGTCAAGTAGAGTCTTTTAAGGTCAAGTAGAGTCTTTTAAGGTCAAGTAGAGTCTTTTAGAGGTTGGGTAGTCTATTAGAGGTCAAGTAGATACTACTCTATGTAGTTTTTTAGAGGTCAAGTAGAGTCTATTAATGGTCAAATAAAGGTGTCAAATAAAGATTTCTCTGTGTCTTCTTTTAAAAGTCAGGTAGAGGTGTCAGGTAGAGGTGTCAAATAGAGGTGTCAAGTAGAGGTGTCAAGTAGAGGCCATCTGTGTAGTCTTTTACAGGTTGAGTAGAGCCTTTTAAAGGTTTAGTAGAGGTGTCAAGTAGAGGTGTCAAGTAGAGACTTTTTAGTGTAGTCTTTTAAGGTTGAGTAGACACGCGTTTAATCTATCTACTATCGACTAGACTCGTTTCACTTGTCTAGTCTCTCTCCACAAATAGAGTCTATCAAAGATCAAGCAGAGGTGTAAAGGCCATTTGAGTAGTCTATTAAGGGTTTAGTAGTCTATTAAAGGTTGAGTAGTCTATTAAAGGTTGAGTAGTCTATTAAAGGTTGAGTAGTCTATTAAAGGTTGAGTAGTCTATTAAAGGTTGAGTAGTCTATTAAAGGTTGAGTAGTCTATTAAAGGTTGTCAAGAGGTGTAACCTCAAGTCACTTCTAGAGCCATAAAGTGTTGCAAAAAAATCTGTATACACAAACTCGAAAATTTGTAAACCACCAAAATTACAACACATTTGTGGATTAAGCGCCACCTCTCTTTTTTCTCCCCCCTCCTGTCAAGTTGCCCCAACAACAACAACAGACAACAGACAACAGACAAGAGGAAAGTGAGTTTTTAGCAATATTTTTTCCCCCCCCATAACATGTCCCGGTTCAATTCTTATCCTTCAGACTGTGACTCACCTCCAAGGAACTTAACCGTCCATTCGTACCATCACAACTATCAATCGATAAGTAATTTAGGTAATGGAAGCTTTGGAACAGTGGAATTGGTCAAGGTAAAGTTTCAAAAGTTGGATTTGTTGATGTCGCATGCAGATAAACAAGGCACTTTGCTATATCCACTTGAAGATTCAAAGATAAACAATTCCAACCTCGTCGCTATTAAAACCATGAAGAAGAAACTCCCGCTCTTGCAGGACTATTCAAAAGTCAAGGAAGTCAAGTTTATCCTAACTGTCCCCTCCCACCCTTGTTTAGTTCAAATTTATGAGATTTTCATTGACGATTTAAATTACCAATTGCACATTTCCATGGAGGCGCTTAATCAAAACTTGTACCAACTCATTAGATCCCGAAGAAACATGAAGTTTTCGCCAATAACTTTGAAAAGTATCTTGGCACAGTTGCTTTGCGCGCTCAAACATATACATAACAACCAATACTTCCACCGTGACGTGAAACCTGAAAACATCTTGATTATACCAACTTTGCATTTCTATGGCTCAAAGGATCTAGTCCCGCCATATAGGAAAAATGACAACTTTATTGTCAAACTTGGTGATTACGGATTAGCAAGACACGTATCAAACCTCAGAACTTATACCGCTTATGTGTCCACGAGGTGGTATAGGTCTCCCGAGATTCTATTGAGGCAAAAATGGTATTCTTGCCCAATTGATATATGGGCTTTTGGCGCAGTAGCTGCAGAAATTGTCAATTTCGCTCCATTGTTCCCAGGTTCAAACGAACTAGACCAGATTTGGAGGATTCTTAAAGCACTAGGATCACCAATGATACCCGAGTCAAGTAGCCTCAACTCAAATTACATAATTCCCTTGGGTGGATATTGGAGCGAAGCTTCGCATTTGGCTAACAAATTGGGCGTAGATTTGCCAATGGAGCCAGGTACTAGCATAGCAGAAATTGTTCATAGCCCCAATGACACTTCGGTATACGATGTGATCCAAGCTTGCTTGTTATGGGACCCATTGGCAAGACCCGACGCTACTGAATTAGGCCGTATGTCGTATTTCAAAGAATCCGTTCAATTGATAGACAACAATTTCGAAAAAGAATCAGCAGCATTCGGTTCTTCATCTAATAACAAATGTTCCGAAATGATCCCCAATTCTCCAAGCAGAAAGAAATTGCTTGGAGCTAGACACGGAGGAGTTGACATGACTCTAAATAATAGCGAGACACCTGATATTGAAAATAGTTATGAAAATTATTTCCAAGAATATTTTTCTCAAATTGCTAAAGATGATGGTAGTTCCCATGTAAACGAGAACGACGGCTATTATGCATGGTATAATTACGGTGAAGATTTTCGCAACGATAAGAGCAGAGAACCACGAAATAGTATTGCTTTAAATTTACAACAAATGAATTTAGAGAATGAAAATGAGAAAAAAGGTTCACTAACAACTTTATCATTGGAAAGCGAAGATGTAATGAACTTGTAATTGGGTATGAAAGAAGAGGGGAGCTTGTTACATTTCCCCACAGAAAGAAAGGAAAAAAAAAAAAAAAAAAAGAAAGAACAAAGAAAAGAAAATACAAAAATAGAGGTGGTTAATAAAAGGGAAAAACTAGACCTCGAGTCGTTGGCTTTTCTACCAAAATATTTTTTTTTTTCCTTCTATTATTACTCGTTTTAGGAGGGAAAACACCAAAGGGGGGGAAGAGAGAAAATAAAAGTGATCCAAGTGAATTTTGTATAAATAAATAGCCTATTGGTTATTTGTAATCAATAATGTATAATTTGCTTTAACCAGGGTGAAAAAAGAAGAGATAAAGAGAAAGAGATAAAAAGAGAGAGAAAGAGAAAGAGAGAGAGAGAGAGAGTGTGTGTGTGTGTGTCTATTTATGAAAAATGTGTATTTCAATTGCTACTACAGGACACCCTGATTATCCATTTATACTTTTATCAAATAGAGATGAATATTTTAAGCGACCCACTATGCCTGCCCATTTCCGGCCATCAAATGGGGATACAAAATTGTTATCGCCCTTGGATTTAGCACGGCCAGAACATGGGACGTGGATTGGTGTTACTACGAGTGGAAAAGTCGCTGTTTTGGTGAATTACCGTGATGTGGATACTGAGTGTACGTATAATGTAAAAGGAGAAAAATAAAGAAATGCTTTACAATACTAACTACTTTTTGCCAAATTGCTTGTTTTCTTTTTGGCCCTTTTTTTTTGTTACAGATAATATGAAGGAGACTTCAAGAGGAGTGTTGCCATTGAACTTCCTATGTTCAAATGATTCAGACGAGGAATGGAAGAAGAGACTAATGTCAAAGATGCAAAGTGGTACTAGTGATGTTGATTTTAAAAAGATTGGTGGTTTCACATTACTATATGGAAGTTTGAAAATTGACCCGAAAACAAATAGGATAGACCATTTAAATATTTTGAGTAATCGTGGTCACTATGGCAAAGTTTTCGAATCCCATAGTAGTAGTGAAGAAGATGAACATTGTTCCCATTATGATGATGATGATGAAATTGCTTCAAAGTCGACTTTTGGATTATCCAATTCGCTATATAATGAGCCGTGGAAAAAAGTGTATTTAGGAGAGGATTTGGTAAAGAGAATGATTTCAAGATCTATTGAGCAAGGCAACTGGACTGAAAATCGTTTGGTTGAAGAGTGTTTTAGTATTTTAAGTCAAAATACATATAAACAATCCATTGCAGATCAAGATGATTATGATTTAAAGTTATTGGAGTTGAGAAACTCTATATTCGTACCACCAATAGACTTGGGAGGAGAAAATAGTACATGTGTTTCAATTGGCAAGTACTATGGTACGAGAACACAAACGGTGATACTTCTAGATAAATGCGGCTATTTGCATTATTATGAAAAAAACTTGCATAGCTCAGACATTGAGCAGCTTGATAAACCACAAATTGTATCACACTACAAATTCAGTATATTCGACGACAGTCAGGATGGAAAACTGAACATGAACATGAAAAAATCAATGTAATGCTTTTAAAGTCTTTTTCTTTTCTTTTTTTTTTTTTTTCCTTTTTGGTAATTGCATTTATGTATAGTGAAAGAAGTAATAAGTTTGTACTGTACGATATTGTCGATGGTATCGGTGGCAACTAGTGTGCTCCGCTATCTCGCTGTGCTTGATATCCTTTTCTAACTTGCTTGGTGACTTTATATTTTTTTTCTTCTTTTTTTTTTTTGTTTGCAATCTAATCTGATTCACCAAATTGATTTTGATATTCGTTTGCAAACTTTGATAACAGGAAAAGGTAACTGATCTTTATTGCTCTTTTTCTTCCTTTCTTCTTCCCCCTTTATCGATATAGACTCTTAGATATGTCAATTGAAAGCTCTGCAAGTGATGTTGCAGCTGCAATCTACCATAAAATATCAACAATCCCCGATAGCAATGATATTTTAATTATGATTCCGGGAAATCCTGGATTAGTCGAATACTACATACCATACCTCAATCTCATCCAAGATTCTATTGCGCAATTTGAAATATTTTGTATTGGATATTTAGGATTTGTGAAGGAGTCGACTCAGCAGCTGCAGAGGACATATAGTGTTCAAGAACAAATTGACCATAAATATACCATTATCAAACAAATTGTTACTCAACATAAACAAGTAGAACCAAGCCTGAGACTGAAACCACCTAGTCTTTATTTTTTATCACATTCCTTAGGTTCGTTCATAATACAACGTACAATATTGAAACTTTTCCAAGACGAAGAGCTTGCTGGTAGATTTGAGATTAAATTCAATGGAATGATTACACCCACTATATATGATATTGCTGGTTCTGAATCAGGAAGTAAATTTGTCAAGATGATGCAATGGGGGCTTCCGTTTGTTGGAGTTGCGGCAACTCTAAGTATGTTGGCATCATATATCCCCATTGGCATTCAAGAATGGATCTTGAACTGGCATTTCCGGGATATAAAAGAAGATACTATTGTTGATACAGGTATTGGGACAAACTATGGATTAGACAATCTGATTAATGCAACTATCCAATTCATCAATTCGCCTATTGCAATAAAACAATGCCTATGTATGGCCAAAGACGAAATGGAAGTTATTGATAAACTGGATTTAGTCAATGATTGGTTTTTCAGTAATAGCAATAAACAAGCTAGATTTAAAAACTGGATATTTTTTGCACAAAATGACCATTGGGTTTCTCAAGATACAAGGAATTATTTGTTGGGAAAATATAAAGTTGGGCAAGATAATACAGGGCCCAATTTTTTCGAAATTTGTCAAAATAGAGAAAGACCAATAATGCATGCTTTTTGTATTAATCAAAGTGAGGAGTTTGCAAATATTACAATTGATAGGTTGAAGAAATTGTGTAGAGAATTGCACTAGTGTAATTCTCTACACTTGGATATTAGATACAAACAACGGAAGCAAAAAAAAGTGTAAATCATATACCATACAATTCTATATACTATATACAATTGTTATACATATACACAGTAGTTAACATTTACTATTTAATACTTAGATTCTTCAAGTTGCACAAAAAAGAAAAACCCAATTTAGACTCGTATTTATAATATGACTCAGAGTCATCGTCTAGTCATCTTCTTGTATATGTATTTTTGGATGTGGTTCTATTTTTTTTTTCTTTTTTTTTTTCCCACCTTCGCATATAGTTTGGGTTTGATTAGCCAAACTATGAACAGATATTGCAATTAATACTACTGCCTTCACATACTTTCTCACTCTCTGGAATTGTAGTGGATTGGCATGAAAGTTTATAAAAGGTGCTGTTTTGTACGTTATCGATTTTTTTTTCCCATTCCTTTTCTACAAGGATGAGTAGCAGTGTTATTAATGATAATAGTATTTCCGATGAAGGAGAAGAGTCAAGACTTAAGGGGCTTTCAATAGAAGAAAACTATATTGAGCACCAAGAACAACATTTTACTGAGGAAGAAAAAATCCAACTTGATAGGATTTATATGAAACTCGACTTTCGTATTATACCGGCATTATGGTGCTTATATTTCCTAACCTCATTTGGATCCAGTTGCTATGGCTTAACTTTAACTATGAATTCTGAAAATGGACACTCGTTGATCCAATCTTTGCATCTTACGTCCAAGCACACATCTACTGCATCAGCATTATACTATGTTGGTTATATTATATTTGATGTTCCCATGAACTTGATTATGACTAAAGTAAGTCCGCAATCATGGTTAGCTAGAATTGTTATGACTGTAGGGTTGGTCTATACTTGTTATAGTGCAGTTCAAAAAGCAGGAGCATTGATTGCTTTGCGGCTTATTAGTGGTGTAGTTGGCGCAGGAACCTGGCCAGGTATGAGTTATTATATATCATTATGGTATCCCAATGATAGATCAACTAGAAGAATTGGGTATTACTTTACGGCGGCACAAATCTCGGCAGCTGTTGCTGGTTTGGTGAGTGCTGGTTTCCAAAAAATTGATGGAAATAGAGGCTATTATGGGTGGCAATGGATGTATATGTGTTATGGAGTTATTACCATAACCGTGGGGATTTCGTTACTTTGGTGGTTACCCGATCGGCCCTTTAAACTTGATATGTATAATGGTGATGGTGATGGTGGTGATGGTGATGGTAAAAGGGGCAAGTTGAAGAAGTATTACAATAAAATTTTCACGCCAAACCATCCATTACATCAAGAGGATAAGGCTTTACATAAGAGAGATTTGGAACATCGGTATAAACTACTTGTATGGGGTTGGAGAGACATTGTTGCAATAATTAGAGATTTGAGAACTTGGCCTTTGGTTATTATGTATTTTGGAGTAGTTGGTACTGGCTTTGGCTTGGCGGTATTTGGATCAACAATTATCAAGACAAACAATCCAAGTTTGACTTCGATTCAAGTCTCCTTGTTGTATGCGCCAATTTGGCTTTTTGATTTAGCGGGTATATTAGTAATTACACCATTTGCTGATAAGTTCAAGAGAATTAGACCATTTATATTTAGTGGTGCATGTGTTATCATTATAGTTGGAATGATTGTGACTACGTTTGCAAAAGACTCTTGGGCGAAATATGGTGGATTGTTGATTGCTGGATTTGGACTTGGTCCAACTGTGCCGATTTGTATGTCATGGTCAGCGGAAATTTTCCAGCCCGAATATGGCGATGTTGGCACTGCAGTTAGTGCAGCATTAGTTAGTGGGTTGGGTAATTTGGGTTCAGTTACAGCAACATATGCCTTGTATAGTGGTTGGCCAGCTGATAAGGCGAGATTGTATCGTAATTCGAATATGATGTTGGTGTTGATGTTGGGAGTTAGTATTGTGGCATCGGGGGTATGTTATTTGATTAATAAGGTGCACTATCGAACGACACTATCGAGCGGAGCGAGATAGTGGAGCACATTGACTAATGACAATATCGACACTATCGAGCGACACTATCGAGCGGAGCGAGATAGTGGAGCACATTAACTAATGACAATATCGACACTATCGAGCGACACTATCGAGCGGAGCGAGATAGTGGAGCACATTAACTAATGACAATATCGACACTATCGAGCGGAGCGAGATAGTGGAGCACACTGACTAGCTATGTGATGATACTAGAGAAGAGGGATCCTACTAGAGAAGAGGGAGAAGAGAGAGTAGATACAGACTATTTTGCTCTGGTTGATAGTCTATTATAGTGATACTAAACAATACTTGTGATAATTATTATAGGTACAAACAACCTATTTTAAATGATTTTGATACTAATTATAGATACTGGACAACTTATCATAGATAATACTTTTAATGCTAATTATAGATATCAGACTACTTTTAATAGATACAACTTATCATAGACTACTTATGATACTTATTATAGACTACTTATGATACGTAAATAATATATATTTACTCAATAGATTCTAAATTATATTTCTCTACCCTTTTATCGTTTTAGACTATCAAGTATAGCGAGATAGTTTGTATCTACTCTCTCTTCTCCCTCTTCTCTAGTACGATATTTATCTACTATTATAGATACTAAATACTTTTTGCATATAGATACTACTGTCTTACTTGGCGACACTATGGAGCAGCAGACTAGCAGCGACAGCTGTATCTATATGCAAAGTATAAATACTGTCATATCGTCACTATCGAGCGAAACGAGATTGTGGACCAGCATTGACTAGTGAGGATAGTGTTGGTAGTGCCATTAGTCAATGTGCTCCACTATCTCGCTCATCTCGATAGTGTCGCTCGATAGTGTCGCTCACAAAAAGCATGACCCCCTAAAATGTATAAAATAGGAGTAAGACAAAAAAAAAATGACTATATTTTCCTTAACAGTATAATGTTTCACTAGTAAGGACTATACACGGAGTTTCTACTATACTCAACCTATTAGTACAAGGCTGAGTTGCACTTTGTAGATTACACGTGACTAATAATATTCCAGCATTGACTAGTGACGATAGTGTTTTTTGCATATTGCCGATACTATTGAGCAGAGCGAGATAGAGGCTAGATGTGAATTTCGTGACATGATGTTTTCTATGTCGGTTGAAAATTTTGTGTTGATAGGGGTTTAATAATACTTATCGTTTTTCAATATTACAAATGTGGTAATAAATAATTTTTTTCTCGGGTTAGTCATTACACACACAACACTATCGAGCGAAGCGAGATAGTGTTGAAGCATTGACTATCGAGCAAAGCGAAATAGTGACGATAACGACACTCTGCTCGATAGTGACGATAACGACACTCTGCTCGATAGTGACACTCTGCTTGATAGTGACGATAGTGACACTCTGCTTGATAGTCGAGCCGGGATAATCGTATGCATAATTATGAATATGACAGTATTTATATGTAAAAATTTTGCATATAAATTTGTCTCAGCACCCAGCACACACTAATAAATTTGTCGGTTGCAGTCAGTGTTGCTCGATTGTGTCACTAGTCATTTGGTGCTCCACTATCGAGCAGAGTGAGATAGTGTCACTCGATAGTGTCACTAGTCATTTCGAGCTCCACTATCTCGCTCCGTTCGATAGTGTCACTGTCTTTTCTTTTTCAGTGCGACTAATCAGTAAAAATACTTTTAAACAAAGCACGTTTAGAACAAAGCACATTTGAATAAAGCACATTTGAATAAAGCACGTTTGAATAAAGCACGTTTGAATAAAGCACGCTTTTTGTCTACTCTTTTTGTCTCTATACTTTTGAGCCTAGTTTAACCAAGGCTCTAACTTTACAATGAAGAATTTTCTCTTTGAAAATCCTCTACAACCCTTTACAACCATTTAATCTCTACAACCCTCTACAACCATTTAATCTCTACAACCCTCTACAACCATCTATTACCCTCTACAACCTCTTTACAAGTCAATGCTCCACTATCTCGCGCTGCTCGATAGTGTCGATAGTATCGATAGTGTCGGCAGCTAGTCAATGCTGCTCCACTATCTCGCTCCGCTCGATAGTGTCCAGTCGATAGTGTCATTTCTGCTGCCAATTTTCATGATCCTCCTAAATTTTGTTTGTATTTTATTTTCTTTTTTCTTTTGCCTTTTCTTTTTTACAACCAAAATTTGTTTTACTATTCAGCTATTAAGACCCCATAAGAATAACCAGTAATTTAGGTCAAGTATTCTTTGAGAAACCCGTTTGGGAGAAGAGAGAGACTTATATCACATAGTGATACTGAGAAACAACTACATTATACGGGGTTTTGGGGCGCTACAATGGAGTCGATCTCGTTGACATTTACTCATGAAGATAAATCCAATCATTCACTTTATAAGTTGTGGAAGTTAACAAATGATCTACTGTATATAACGTGCAACAAGTTGTCAACTACAGAGAGGTTAAATAACCGGTCATGGAGACTTCTTAACCAGCGTATATTGAAGTTGAAAACTGATCCCGCTCTTGTTTGTGAGGCCGATTTAAACGATTTGTTTAAAGAGAATCCAATAGTCTCGAAGCCAAAGCAATCTCAGTATATGCGCAATAGACCCTCCTTGTTTAGTCATTCGTCAAATCTAAGTGTTTATCATGCTAGAACGGGAACCACCGGTGGTGATGTTGCTGGATCGCAATATTTTTCAAATTACAATGATTTAATTTTCCAAAATGGCACTGAGAAGGAGAAGGAGAAGGAGAAGGAGAAGGAGAAGGTAAAGGAGAAGGAGAAGGAAAAGGTAAAGGAAAAAAAAAAGGAGCTTGACCAGGAGCTTGAGAAGGAGCTTGAGAAGGAGCTTGACCAGGAGCTTGACCAGGAGCTTGACCAGGAGCTTGACCACCACGATAACTGCTCATCAGATGCATCGAAATCATCACAAATGTCAAGCAAACAACATTCAGAAACCAATTTTCAAACAAAAACACTGCCATTCAAATCAAACAAAGATCAAACGTCACCGCGGCATCTCCATCAATATCATAAACCCGACCTAATCAGGGAAACTAACTTAAACCGAGAGGTTTCAATTAAGCAACAATCTCCATCTGATCGTGTATCATCAATCCATTCAACAACTACTAAATTAGAGCAACCAGAAATACAGCGACAAAATTCATTATTCAGCAATTTCATCCTCAAGGACAAATCCACAGAGACAAATGCATCTAATTCTGAGAAGCAGATGAACAACTCAATTTCATTCATAGTAGACGATTCATTGTCAAGTATCCATAGCGAAGTGGAAAAGAAGGAGAATTCAAACGTGAAAATGGAGGACAATGAAAAGGAGGAAGAAGACAACAAACACAACAAAGACGACATAGACTACAACGACGACATAGACGACGAAGAAGAAGATGACGACGACGACGACGACGAGGGTTACCTGTCGACAGATATATCTGAAGACAGTGATATAGACGATATGGAAAACGAAGAACACGAAAAATCCATGGAAAATGAAACTTGTGAACCACTAGAAAAAGAGGATAATGAGAGCGAGTGGGTATCCGTCAGTTCTAGTTCACTCAATTCAAGCACCCCTTCAAGTAAAAGGCAACCACTTTGTTTCCCAAAAGTTCAACCACCACTTTCTGCAGATTCAATAGGCTCAACCGAAACCATGTCCTACATAGAAAACAATAGAACGCATTCGACACCCATAGCAGAGAAACCTAAATCACTACTATCTGGCTTGTTTTACAACGAGTCAATGCATTCGGTATCGGCACCTGTTCCACCTTCAGACTCTGTGAAAAAGCCCAAATTAATAAGATCAAGTACTACCGGGGTAACAACGATTGATTTAGAAACAAAACGCCCATCAATCATATTTAATCAAAAGTATCCGTCGTTAACCGATATCCCACAATTGGTTAAAAGAACAAATTCTCTTTTAGGTGCACAATCAGCGGCATCTTTTAGAGACCATAATCACCAATACCAACACCACCATCAAATGAGCAACTTTTCCAATGAAATTCCACCGGAACTTCACAAGAAACAAACAAGTATAGTAGGAATATCTGATATTAATGTGTCCAAAGTCCCTAAAGACAAGGCTGCAACCGATGAAGAGCACGAATTATTATCTACTAGTTTGAACAAATTATCCCGATCAATGTCTCAACATTCTTTGATCAGCTTGATTTCCAAATCATCTTTGAACTTGAGTCGACTTTACATATCTTCGAAAAACAAACATAAGACCGAGCACACTGAAGATGCAGAGGCTAAACACTATAATCATAACGAGGCGATTTCAAGAAAAGAACAACGAGAAGAAGAGCATATGCCACTGCAGCAACGTATGTCGCCAAATGAGCCTATTCACAAGCACTCACCAAGCTCATTGACCTCTTCTTCGTCAATTCTAATACATTCAGCAAAATCATCAAGTACACCACCGCCTCATATGGGACCTGTCCCTAAAATAGTTACCACCGATACAGATTTGGAAAAGGACTTGTTTTCAAATGAAGAGCTTAGTCTGTCACTAAAGGAATCGCTAATAATTGATAATAAATTGGGTAAAATAGCAATGCCCGACAAACTATTAATTAGAAAGAATCCAGCTGATGCAACTATTGTCATTGGAGAAGAAGAAGATTATGATGATTACTACGCTAAAGGTTGGTAAAAGAGAACAATTACAAGAAGGTCCCCCTTTAGTTCTTTTTCTGTTCTTTTTTTTTTGTTTTTTTTTCCCCTTCTTTTTTTTTTTTTTTTTTTTTTTTTTTTTTTTTTTTTTTTTAAAAAAAATACTATTTAACATAATTTTAAGTTTTCCTTTACTCTTTAACAAGGATAGATGCTGCACCCATACCAGTACCGATACACATTGAAGTTAAACCGATTTCTCCAGCTTTCAACAACCTTAAAATGGTAGCATACTGTCTTGCTCCAGTGACACCTAAAGGATGGCCCAAGGCAATAGCACCACCATTCTTGTTTAATTTCTCTGCTGGAACATTACACTGTTCAGCACTGTAAAGACACTGAGCAGCAAAAGCTTCATTAATTTCAAAAACATCAATGTCGTCAACACTCAAACCTGTTCGTGACAAAACTTCAGGAATAGCAAAAGCTGGACCAACTCCCATAATTTCAGGTGGCACACCAACGGAGCTACAAGCAACGAATTTGGCAACAATTGGATATCCTTTCTTTTCGGCCAAGGATCTCTTCATCAACAAAACTGCTGCTGCACCATCACTGATTTGTGAAGCATTACCGGCAGTTGTAGTACCTCCAAAAGCTGGTTTCAATTTGCCCAAACCTTCTGCATCGACACCTTTCCTTGGACCTTCATCGGTATCAACAACAATCTCTTTTTCAGTAATGTTTCCATCTTGATCTTCTGTTCTAATAATAGATCTAATTGGTAAAATTTCATCTTTAAAACTACCTTTGGCAATAGCTTGTTCGGCCTTCTTGTATGAGTTTGCACTAAACTCGTCTTGAACTTTTCTATCGATATTGTATTTTTTGGCAACATTTTCATTAGTGATACCCATTGGAACCAAACAGCTAGAAACAACTTCTTCTGCACCGTCTGCTAAATGAGGGTCCATTTGAGGCATAGCTTTTTTGTAATTTTGAGACATGCTCTCCACACCACCACCAATACCACACTCAATTTCACCAACAGCAATCTTATTGGCAATATCTGAAATGGCCATTAAACCTGAGGAACAGAATCGATTTATAGCAATGAAACCACTTGTATAAGGAATACCGGCAGCCAAACAAGCACCACGGTGTTCCATGGCACCAATACCTTGATTCAAAACGTTACCCATGGCAACATCTTCAATCAAGCTGGGATCAACTTTGGTTTTGGCTAAAAATTGTTTTAAAAATTCAGTCAAGATAAATTCACTCTTGACACTTTTGAAGCCTCCTTTGAAACCTTTTCCAACAGCTGTTCTATAAGCTCCAACAATGACCACGTCATTGGGATTTTTTTTGAGGATCTGTTCTTTACCTTTAGCACTGACTGGGTTGAGTTGCATTGTGTGAATATGTATTTTTCAAGAGTCAAGAGAAAGGAGGGGGGAGTAAGAAAAAAAAAATATGGTTATGGGCAAGAAAAAAGAAAAAGGGTAATTTAAAAAGGGCAAATCTGATCAAATATATTTATATCTGATTCTTATGCTTGTGAATTTTATACAAAATCTGGAGTAACAAAAAAAAAAAAAAGAGAGCTTGACTGATTGATTAATTAGGAGTAAATTTCCCTTTTTTTTCTTTTTCTTTTTTTTTTTTGGAGAAGAGAAAAAGAAGCTTCAACCCCACATAAAATGGAAAAACTACATAAGGAAGGGGGAGATCTCTTAAAGTTGGTGGCAGCAAGTCCTAATGGCGAGTCCTAAGAAAGCGAGAGTCACTAAACCTTATGAGACGGGGAAGAGGGGGGAGTTTGTCCTAATCCTTTTCCATTTGCTTTTTCCCCGTTTTGACGTTTCCGTGTTTGAATATAGTAATATATACCTATTTCTAACAACTTTTTTGTCATTATTGTCTCTCTACCGAGGTCAATTTGAGGTCAAATTTTTTTTTTCGGTGAAAAAAAAAATTGACCTCTTGTCCACTCCCGAAATTGTATTATGTAATTCTTTACATCACTGTTACATAATACACCTGTGTTTTATTACATAATTGCATAAATCATAAATGTTACGCTCTAAAACCTTGAACTAATCAGTAAAGAATATATTGTTCCTAGTAACAGAGAAAACTCAATCAATCAAAAAAACAGAGATGTCCTCTACAACTAATTCTTCAGCTCTTGAATCCCCGGACCAGACCACCTTTCAATATGCAAATGAATGTGATTTGGAAATACACTGCTCTCCATTCGGGTTAAGTGGTCTCTATATAAGACTAGGAGGCACAAATATCATGGGTATAGGTTCCACAATGGGATTGATAACGGGGAGCACAAAGGGATTAATACACTATAATAATAGTAACGATTTTATTGACAAGAAGTTTAAACTATATATTGTCGTGGAGGATTCTAATCTCCGTATCGATTTTACCGCGATTAAAGAAGAAGGAGGAGCTGCCAAAGGCGGCATCGATGGAAAAGAAGAAGAACAACAACAAGAACAAGAAGAAAACAATAATGAAGAGGAGGAAGTACAAGAGTTGCCGACACTAATTTTCAAAGGTCCTTGTCCCGAAGGAAGACCCGATAATATAGAACCATTTATAGGAATTTTCTCATTTGAAAGAGAAACGGTATAGAAAGGAAGAGATGAACAGTATGCATTTTTGAATTATCAGTAAAACAGCCTTGCATTTTTTTTTTTCCTCTTCTTCTTCTTCTTCTCTTTCTATCTTTATTCTTTCTTTCTTTCGGGTAGCGTTTTTATCGTAAATTGCCCACTTTCAATCCATATGTCCTTCATAACAAAAGCCACAAAGGCTAAACGAGCGAGTGTAGCCTGTAACACTTGCAGAGAAAGCAAGTTGAAATGTTTAAACAACTCCGATCTATCTAGTTGTCAAAGATGCAAGAGTTTGAAAATTAAGTGCACGTATACTTTGAAGACATCACAGTATAAGAGAAGGACGTTGAGACAAAAACAAAAGGTCAATGTACCACCACCACCACCACCGTTTCAGAAGGTGAAATTACCGGATAAGAACCTAATCATCGAGGTTGTTATGATATTTTTTGAAAATCAGTATAAGGGGATTTTCCCCATTTTTCATAAACCTTCTTTTGTATCATTTTTAAGATCAGACTTGTTTGATCCAAATACTTTTATTGATATTCCACCACCAAATCTAACTCCTTTGCAACCGGACCCTGTAACCCTTTTAGCTGTGCTTGCACTTTGCTCTCGACTACATCCAGAATTACCAAAGTTGTATGGTACGTTCAGTGAGTCCCTGGCGCATGTTTTTCAACCTACATATAACCATGTTCCAGGTACAGACTCTGCATCCAATGCTTCAAACTACTTTGGCTGGCATGCAAGAAGACTTCTTTCGGATAGATTTGATAACCCATCTCTCAGTAGGATTCAAGCATTATGTGTGTTGAGTAGCCACGAGTGGGGGGAAGGAAATGCATTTAGAAGTTACATGTACTGTGGAATTGCAGCTAGGATGGCCATGGTATTGGGTTTAGATGAGGAGGAGGAAGAAGAAGAAGAAGAGGAGAACGGGAAGGAGGATGGGGAGAAGAAGGAAGCAAATAAGGAAAACGATTTACAGCTGATACACTTTTTGGAGAAGGAGATACGAAGACGAGTTATGTGGAGTGTTTACATGATGGATAGGTGTAATGCCAGTGGTAGGCGCAGCCGGTCGTGTTTATCGTTAAAAGACATTCACATTCGACTTCCGTGTGATGAAAAGAGCTTTATATTTGGAACCGGAGTAGAGCAATGCTTTAGGGACGATGTTGGAAGATTTATTAAAGAAAGGGATGTTAGAAGATTGTCCCAAGTTTCATGCTGTGGGTTCAAGTTGTATTTATTTGAGTCTTGGAGAAATATTTCAAAGTGGGTTGGTGAAACTGGTGCGAAGCTTGAGTTGATGGCGCCATGGGATGAAAAATCGCCATATTATCAATATTCAAAAGAACTAGATTTATTTGAGGAGAATTTACCCAAGGACTTAAAGTTTGACGCTTTGGATGCCCACATTGCAAACGGTCTGGCAATAGATTTTGCTTATTTCCATGGCCTATTCTTTTTGAGTAGGATTTTTTTATGCCGAGAGTATTTCTATTCCTCGCCGGATTCATTACCTCCTAACTGGTGGAAAGAGCAAGCGACTAAACTATTTGATAGCTTGGACAAGTTGGATCTTATTACAAAGAGTTTAAAGCCTATAAATCTTATGGTCATTGCGCCATTTACGGGATTTCAAGTGTTTACCACTGGCGCAACAAGCTTATATATTGCAGTGTATCCCAGTAAGATTCTAAAGATGTACTTTGGAGGAGATGTTTCTAGAAAATATTTGAAAATGGCAGAGAGTTCGTTAGAAACATTAAAGAGCTGGCTGGCATCCTGGGGATTGGGTAAGAAATGGATAGAAACTTTGAAAAAACTAAAGGAGATGTTTGCTAAGGTATCTGATGTTCAAGATGATGAGTTACGACATAAGATGCATGATTATGGGAACATTGAACCAAGAGTAAAAGCCGCTAAAGAAACTACAACCGGAAGCGAGACATTAGATTTTATGAATAATTTAAATTTGGGGAACATATTTCCAGATTGGAGTGATGCAATGAATGTACAGTAGAAACTTACAAAAAGAGTAGGACTGTAAACAAAGTCAAGACTATAAGGTATCCCGGGTTGAATGTCATTGCCTTTGAATCGATAATAATGTTTCTTTTTACTATTGTAGTGGGAACCACTGTTGTGGTGACGGTAGTATAGCTTGTGACGCGAACTATTGAAGGTGCTACTGCTGCTGCTGTTGTTGTTGTTGGTTGTGCATCGAAGAGTCCAAACCAGTTGAACGAGGATGTTGTAGATGTAGTAGTTGGGAGAAGAGTAATAGCTGACGGTGTTGGTGTCGCCACTGTTGCTGAAATAGAGCCAAATAAGTTTGTTAGCCAACCCCAGAATCCACCTGATGTAGTGGTAGTGGTGGTAGTCGAAGTAGTATAAGTACTTGCAGAAGCGGTACTAAATGTGCCAACAGAGACCGAAATGGTAAAAGTGTTTAAAGTTGCAAAAGTGAAAGGTGCAGATGGTTCAGGAACAACAGATGGTTCAGGAACAACAGATGGTTCAGGAACAACAGATGGCTCGGGAACAACAGATGGCTCAGGAACAACAGATGATTGAGATTGAAATTCAGGTGGAGAGTAAGATCCAGCCAAAGCATTGTTGATATCTTCAAGAAAGTCACGTGGCGCTGAAGATATATCCCAGACGGAGACACCGCCAAAACAAGGGTCGTTTTTAATGCTAGCAACTGTGTTTTGTACCATAGACACATCCGCATACCCCGAACCAGCGGAAGATGAAGAGCCTGGAATACCCAAGTACAATTTTGTCTTTTTTCCTGACGCATATTGGGACCAGGTTTGCCAGTTGAATTGTTTGTCAATTGAGCAGTAGTTGTTGTAGAATTGGATAAATGCGAAATCCAACTCCACCTGGCTAAGCAAGTCACCCACGGACTCATCAGGGTACGGGCATTGAGGAGCCGCTGATAGATAGTATTGTTTTGAAGATTTAGCAAAGTGGCTTCTAAGTTGTTTTGCCAAAGCAACGTATCCAGTTTGAATTTTGTTTTCAATATCGAAATCAAATCCGTCAATAACAGCATCATCAAAGGGACGTTCAGTATCAGTGCCTTCTCCAAACATGTTCCATAAAACATCTGCAAATTGCTGGGCTTGTGAGTCAGAAGAAAATCCATAACTTCCTGATTCTCCTCCCAATGACAACAAGATTTTCTTTCCTTGTTGCTGACAGGACTTGATATCATTGCCTATTTGCGAGCAGTGCAAAAGACCATCACCGAACGTTTGGGAACATTGATTAGCAAAATTTAAATCAAGAGAGGGAAAATTGTTTAAAAAGGCCAATATGATGATATCTGCCGGTGACAGTGAACAATAATCACCTAATGACTGCTGATTCCGACCAGCATTCTGTCCCCAATAAGCTGCTATATTAGACCCCAAAGAAAAACGAAGTAAAAGGAGCGTAATGAGAAAAATCATTCTCTTTGGTGGATGTTTTCTCTCCCCACTGTGTCTGTATATCAACGGAAATTCATTGCCTATTATATGAAAGATGAACTTATTGAATACTACCCCAGTTTCAGAATCTCTCTTTTTTTTTTTTTTTTTTTTTTTTTTTTTTTTTTTTTTTTTTTTTTTTT